GTGTGCAGTGTAATTCTCATCCGAATTCAGTAGCAAAACGGCTTCCTAATTCGAATAAAATCGTATGTTACACACTACAGAAGGAAAATCCGCGAATAACGGTGTCTTGTTGAAAAAAAAATCAAAAAAATGTATGAGAAGCAAATACGAAACATTTACTGACTGCACCCTGTATTTTGAAATTCCACCATGTACTTGCTCGAGTTCTTAAATTTCTCTTAGTACAATCTTACTTGTCATTATTATTATTCTTCCCTTGGGTTCCGAGTGGAACATATGACTTCAATAACACATCTCCACTTCGTTCTATTTTCCACTGTCCTCTTCATCTGGGTCTAAGATTGCCCATAATATCTCATCTCTTCCTCACACGATTTCCTCCCTGTCACCCTAGGATGACCCACTCGTTGATTCCCGCTTAGACTCCCCTAGAGGGCCTGGCGGGCGATATCATTCGGTGGCCTCCTGAATGTATGCCCTATCCATCTCCATTTTCGCCCACATATTTGTTGAGCGATCGACTCTTGGTTGGTTTGTTCCCAGGGTTTCTTGTAACTTATTCTTTCTGGCCATTTGATCTTCAGTATGGAGCCGGCAGAAGCAGGAGCTGTTGATAAAGGTCTGCAAAATGTCAGAAATCATTTTTGTGACACTCATTACGAGTTTCCGACCCATACAGAAGCAGTGACTGACTTCACATTTGTGTTGAAAGTCTGAATCTTGTTATTTATGTTGAGTTATTGCAGAAGAAATCCGAAATGGTTTTAGATTGATGACCAGGTTTGACATCTTCATCCGTTCTGACTCTTTGTAGTTGAAACGATGCTGTCTGCTTAGATAAGTGAACGAAGTAACCTTTGTTAAATCTTTCCCGCTGATGGTGATTGGTTCTGGTTGTTGTTGTTGTTACGGTTCGCTGGTTATCTTCAATAGTCCCGTCTTATCTATGTTCACCTGGAATCCTCTCTTCGCAGTTTGCTTCTTCCTCCAATTTGTCGGTTTTTGTCTGCAAGTCTTCAAGTTTATGTAAAAACAGACACATATCATCTGCAAAACCCATACATTCTGGAGTATTCTCATCGGTAGTCCAAAGTATTCCTCTCTACCCGCTCCCACACACAGTCTGACGCGAAATCCAATCTATCACAATTGGGAATATCACCGGTGATAATAGGCAGCCAGCTTGTATTACTCCTGTATGCACTTCGAATGCATCGTTGAGTTTTCCATTGTGGACTACCTGACACTTGACACTGTCATATAGCCAGCTTTTGAATGAGGTTAATAAGGACTTGAGGCACGCCGTAGGGCGGTAACAGTTTCTAAAGTAATTCTCGGTCAACGCTGTCTGTTGAATGCCTATTCGAAGCCGGTGAAGTTGAGGCAGAGGTTTGACTGCCATTCTACGCTTCGTTCGATGACGATGCGTACAGCTGCAATTCAATCAGCGCATGATTTCCCTTTCCTGGATCCAGCCAGCTTGTTCCGGTGGTTGGCGGAGTTCTGTATCCAGTGTATACTAACTCTTTCCACGATGGCGCGACTTAGTATTTTACTTGGCGTTTGTGGACAAGAGCCTTATTCCATGCCAGTTCTTGCACAGGCAGGTATGAATCTCCCTTCTTTGGCAGCTTGACGAGGTAGCCAGCCTTTTTCTAGCCGGTAGGTACCTTTCTTTCTTTCCAAACCTTCTGCAATAATGGCTTGAGCCTATCTGCCGCAGTTTTTGGGTCCACTTCTAGTGCTTTGGGGGTAATTCCATCTAGTCCTGCTGCCTTCCCTGCCGGACTTCAGTAGCTTTATTGAATTTGGGATTTATGCTTCCATTGGAGGAATGGTGTCAACTGGCAGGCAGTTCTGTGCGTGCCTTTGGTGGTGGTGGTATTTCTTAGCAAGTTGCAGGTGATGGTCGATTCAAGAGTTCTGTGAAGTGATCATCCCACTGACTTTTTTGTTTTTCATCCTTGGTGATCAGGTTACTTTGAACATTTATTTGTTGCATCATCTGGGTTGATCTTTTCCCGAATAGAGACCTGATTATCTGATATAATATCCTGAGTTCTCTTTTACCTGCAGTCTGCCTGTTCTGCTTCAGTTACTGGCCAGTGTGCCGTAGAATTGTCTTTTTTCCTTCCTAGCACTCTTCATTTCTTTATTCTCTGCAGTGTACACTGAACTCAGCTTCTCCTTCTGTCGTCCATCTCTGCATTGAGTCTTCTTCTCTTTCACCATCCTCATCTCCTTTCTTCTATCAGCTTCCATGTAGGTATCCGCTGAGAACCATTCCTTGACGTGTTTCTTCTTTCCCCTAGAACATTTGTATACGTTTCTTTTAACATCACTTTCAGAGAATTCCAATTTTCTTCCACCCAGGCTTCCTCAGTGATGTCATGTAGTGTGTCTGACTTTACTCAGACATCTGTGGTGAAGCCATCCCTTGTGGTTTTGTCCTTCAGTTTCTGGATGTTGAACTTGTTTTACAGTGGCCTGCCTCCAGTTGTTTATATGGCTTTCAGCTTCACCTCGAAGGTTCCTTTTAATTAGATGCACATCTGCTCCCCTTCTCGACTTTGTATTTAGCAGGATGCGTCTCTACTGTCTGTAGTTGTCTGTGAAAATCTTCCTTCTTTTCTTGTTCCGCGTTTGATAATTGTGCGCTTCCTTCCTTTTGAGTTGAATCATGCTGTCCTGCATTAGGGCTGTGGCTTCCACTGGTGACATCATGATAGCCACTCACTGCTTCAGTGTGCCTGTGGTTGTGGTCTTAGTGAGTGACCGGAGTAGACTACCAACTTTTTAGTTGACAATTTCAATAATCTACTTCCAATCCATCTGCTCTAGCAGATAAACGGCATTTCTATGCCATTTCTTCGCATTTCTTTGGCTACCTGGGCAGCCTACCCAGTCTCATACATTGTACAGACATTCAACGTACCCATTATTATTGTTGCTTTCATCGAGAGAAGACACATCGTCTGGCTGACTGACTTCTCGAAGGCTGGCTATCACCAACCCTCTGTGTCATTTCGCCTCTCCGATTCGAGCTAAGAATCAGACTGTTGCTATTTGAACTTCTTGTATTTCTAATGTATATTCTGTGCGTTGAAGTTTCTATAGCAGTTTGATAGGTTTAGTGGTGTAGGGTTGCTAGCCCTACGCCGAACTCTCACTCTTTATGCGAGTGTGGAACCGGCTAAAAAACTAGCAAGTTGGTTAACTGGTGTAATTAAGAGTTTATCCACAAAAAGCATTTATTTTTGGCAGACAGGTTTAATCTGCTAAAAAATATACAGGCCCTAAGATTAAATCTCATGAACTCTTCTATGGTTGTTATAGAAACGCCTCTTAGCGAATAGTGGGGATCAAAATATTAAGGTCGGGGAGGGGCTGATCATTACAGTTGTTCATGTATGTAAACACGAATTGGATTAGAATCATGTGATACTGCACTATATAAGGGCCAATGGAACAAGTGATTCATGGGACCAACTGTTCAGATATTCTTACGAACTTGTAGAGGCGGGTCCACTGTATCATTGCCTTGAATCTAGTAATTTAGTCAGTTAGGTGCACAACGTCCTTGTTAAGGAGGTTCAAACAGCTTTAATCATCCTTATCTTTGAACATGTGATTCATTGTAGAGAAAAACTGCATCGGATTTATCAAAGAGTGACATCTTTGACTTCGTAGACAGAAAACAATAACGAATCCTCCCAGATAGCGGATGACTACATCGTTTGTATTTAGTCAAAACTGCTAAAATGAAATAAGACATAGTTGACGCATTCGTAAGAGCTACGTTCAAAGTTCACACCCTTGTATCATAGTTTTATTCCCAAATTGCTGACTCCACAATGTCTTGTAACACAGTTAAGTTTTCTGTTGCAGAAGGTTTCTCTCTGGTGTTTGACTACATAGTATCAGAAATAAATTGCGAAATATAAAGTTGATTTCCATATAATCATAATTGTTTGAATATATCTTGAGAGAAAATATGTTCACACTCATTTACATTTACAGTCTGTAAACGACCGCTGAGCAAAATTATTACACGGATTTTCAGGAAGTAGATATCCAGCCTGGTAAAGTTACGCCTAGTTCACTGTCCATATGAACAAGTGTTACGAGATTTTATTCCTGCTTACTATACGAATTGTTAAAATTATCTATAAACCACCTATAATTAGTGAGGGTGATTTTGATAAAATACTCCATATCCTAAGAAAGGATAAAGGCTAATACACTAGTGTTGTTTACAGGATTATTGTGACTGATGTTTCACAATACGTGTAGATACGAAAACGCCATACGGCGTGGGATTTCAATATACTTATTTTGATAGTAGTACGTAACACTGCATGTTATAACTTGTGGATGGAATGCCATGCAGTTTCTTATCACATATTCGACAGTTTCTTTATTGGCTATTCAAAACTTCTTTTGTCGATAGGTAGGTTATTCATAGATGGATAATAGAGGGAATTTAGTTTTCAATGAAATACATTTCTTTTTAAGGTCACCAAGACAGTTATATCTCTGGATCAGAATCTCTGCAAACAGTGGGTCTAATCCAGGCAATCTACATGTATTCAACGTGTCCTACCCACCATCATGATAAATGTTTTAAACCTAAATATAGTCAAGCTGACCTTTAAGTCATACTGGAATCTCCAGGGACAGTCATTTCATATAATATAGCTTGTCAGTTGACTGACATATTCAAGTCTGACTTTCACTTTAGTACATACTGGCAGATCTTAGGAATACAATTCAATATATCCGGTTGATTTCATTCATCTGTTAAACAGAAACGGTTTTATATTTGGTCTTTAAGATTATTTGACTAGAACAGTGTGTTTAGTTGATAGAAGTCTCTTTAATGTTATATCACTGTATATCTGTTCTGTTAAAATACATTTGAAAGTGAAAGATACGTTTAATTTCTATTTTTTGTCATTAAATTGAATCTAACTCTGTTATTAACCATTTGTTTCTTTTAGGTAACATTAAATAATGGTTGTTTTAAACGTGGTACGTTAGTAAAAATTCCGTTGATTACAATTATTCGAATTTAATTTTTTTTAAATCTCCAGCTGATACATGTTTAATTTGCTTTATGCTTCTAGAAACCTTCGGAGTTGAGGTAGAGTTAAAATTCTTAGAAAAAAGTAATTATGTTAGATAATGATGGGTTTTCTGTAATATAATATTCAATCGGGAACAATTTATCATGAGTATAAGCAACTTTATTACTTTCTTACTTTTTGAAGTAATTGTTAAGTCACTTGTTGTGATAATAGATTACTCCCGACTAGAAAATAAAGCCTGAAAATTAATCAATAATTATTATCATTATCATGAGCTAGGAGTCTTTATTAGTGCAAAAGTGACTACCAAAAGTTTCACCAGCTTTGTAAAACATGTTAGAAGAATATGTACTTCTTACCCGAATTAAAATCAACCATGCAGATTTATTTTATGTGTATGTGAACTTATCAATTCAATTTTATATGATACTTTTAAGAGAGAGATTAAAAAAGCTAATATTGTGGTTTACTTGGGGATATCATAATTTTTATTCCTTCTAACTAGAGGTTTAAAGTTTCGATAGCAGTGATTTTTATTTTTATGGGATGGGGTTAATAGCCTCACGCCCAACCTCCCCTGTTTACCGGTCCTATTACTACTAACTTAGCGAGGTTTAGGAGTGCATCGGACGGGGATCGAACCCCGGACCACCTGCGTGGTTGGCAAGCATTCTATCGTTGTGCCACCGACTCACCTATAATAATATAATAATGCATAATTGTTGAAGAATTATCACTAAATATCAAGCATTAGACATTATTTTGACAGTATTTCTTAATTTATCAACGAATTTGATTGTAATCCTCTAAAATGATTAGGTCATATGAGGAAGATATCATTCTATGTTTAGTGGTAATATGATGTTCATTATTGAAACTTTTGAAAAGTGGCAATCAATAAATGCTTCTGATGTATATCTATGTATGACACCGTGTTTTTACTATAAACCTATAATTTCTGGAAAGTATTAAGTTCAACCAAAGAACTCATTATACATTAACTTTTCGCCATCTGAATTGAAACGTTCTGAACCAAGTCATCATAACTACTTAAAGTTCTAGTTATAAAGCCATGGTTATTCAATTTTAAGCTCAGTTCAAGCCAATATATATAGTGTGTTTTGTCCTTATATTCATAGATAATCTTTGGGTTTATGGGATATCCTTGAAACGCATATCTTTGGATGTAGAAGGGTATACCACTGTAACAACAGAAGATAAGGACCGGCAACAGATCGTTTTATTACGGAAATCAGCACATATTTATATACATTTCATGTACATTATTATAGCTTATTTAAGTAGACAAACACAGTCTTCTGATTGGTTGTTTCTGGTTTCTCGGAAAGTTAGGCCATATATTTGCGAATCTTATTTGCCCACGTTTAAGTCTGCTGTGATTGGTTGTTGAATCAGCCTTGTTCGTATTTTCTCACGGCCAATATTGGTGACCCGGACACTGACGTAAATTAATGTCTACCAATTGGCTAGTAGCCTGCTCTCACTACACCACTACACGCACTGCAAAGAGAGTAGTTTATATTCACAGAGAGAACAGTTTACGCTCTGAAAGTTTACATTCTAAACTAATCATAAGCAGTTAGATACTTCAAATGAGAACTTTTTTGATTGTTGAAATTGGTGCTTCCACTAGTTTTAGTTGTCTAGATAGATTACTAAATTTGTTCGGTAAAATAAATCCACTTAAATCAGTTGGTTTGTAGAAATACCGCCCATATTACATAAGAATTAATTCAGACGAAGAGATGCTAAATCTTTATTTCATTGTTTTTTGGACTCATCAATAATGTGTACATTAATATTGGTAATTTGACAAAGGTATTTAACGAAGAGTAAAGTTGAGGGATCCAGTTTTCTTTACACCGATGTGAAATAAGTATACAGAACATCGTCTCAGTGGATTGTAATGCTTTGTTACAGGTTACTTGTAGGGTATAAGGTTTTCTAGTTATTTTGTATCGTTTTAGGTTACATAAAAATATTTGTACTTGGTGTATTAGTTTTTCTATCAAAATTTACCTTTATATGACAATTTTTCTGGTACACTGAAAAGATATTCAAAAATGATGATGCTAGTTTGGAGAAGTGTTAAGGAGATTGAATAGTTATTGAGCAAGGCAAATTTTTATAACTTAAAGCATGATTTCAGAATTTCATTTTGGGCTGACATCAGTTAAAGAACCGTTGGAAAACCAATTGGGAGTACTGGACAGCTGATTCCTCCTAGTTCGGGACTCTTCGGAGTTCGATCCCAGGACCTTCCGGTTACAAGGCCAGTGAGCTCGTAGACCATTAAACTATTGGAGCCCTACGCAATGCCTCGAAAATTCCGACTTCTGCCAATTCCAATGGTCCTCTAACCAATGTCAGCTCATGATGATCCCTGCAAACCAACATTTAACGTATGCTTATTAACAATGAGTAGCACTGATTTTTGCACTTGTGCATCTGTTCTTTTTCGTCTTTTCTCTAAGACTTATGTTTCATTCTTTTATTTAGAATGATCATATATGGCTTACAAATTCAGAAGATGTTGATTTATCAGTTCCAATTGGTGGTATTGTTCGAAGGATAGAACAGAATCATTATATTGTTGAAGATGATGACGGTCGAGTAAGATAGTTATTTGCGCATTAGTTTGTATTGTCACCTGATATAATTTCGAAGTAATACATTAATTGCAACACACAGACACTGACCATAGTACGTATGAACTTCATGGGAGTAACGCCAATGAAAGTATTCTTGCAAAGTTAGGAATTTGTTTCAGTTGGTCCGTACCTCAAAGCCTAGAGTATGGTATACTGGGTTTAAAATTTATTCATAAAATGAGTAATCAATAAGGGATGTTTGCGATTCCATATAAAGTTACTGAGGAATCTTCTTTCTTACTTTTTATTTTATACTTCTGGTTACAGTAGATTCTATGTGCATAAATAATTTCCCTACTGCTTTAGATTACATATTATACTTTGTAGAGGCCTTAAAATACAAATTTTCTCTCAGTTATGACCATTTAAATTTGATGTATGTACATCTTAGTAAGTGATGGTATCCATTTACCTTTCAAGGCATGGTTGAATCCATCTGGAAAACTATTTTGTCAACATGGATTTATTGATTTCCGTTTTATTAAATTAATAACTATGAAAACGTCTGTAACGACGCAAATGCTGCAGATAGAAAGCTTCACGTCTTGAGTGGCAAAGTGAAAGATATTACAGAGGGCATTCAAAAATGAGTTTTCCTAGGAAAGTGATCACAATTCTAGCGCAATAAAAAGCATCTACTGAATATAATCAGTTGAGTCTAAAGTGTTCTGACTATTATCATATGTAATGACTTTATGTCAAACCACTATGTGTAGGTCATTGCAGCAATGCTTATTTATTCTTTAAAAATAAAAGCGATTCTTAATTAAAAAAAAACAACTTTAAAACACTAGTTTAATGATAATTTTCTCCTGATGTGAATCACAGAAAAGTGTCCCTAGATATGCATACATTGAAAATTACAGGCGCAAAGAATATACCATTAAACAATAAGAGTAGATCAGAGGTAACAGGAAGAAGTGGCATTTTCAAACTTGTGTAGAAGTGATATTTGCATGCTAATTAAACGAATTTGTCTACTGCACAGAATCTCTATCTGTCCTTCTTTGTGGCTGTTAGACATGGCCAATGAAATTGAAAGACATGAAAAGGCTACATGTCTTTACCAACAGACATTTGCGTTCTTTTTTCTTGTGTTAATAGATATAATACAGTGAGTTATTGTGAAGCTAAATTGGTTTAGATAATTAGGACACATGTTATGTATGACAAGTCACTGCCTTCCTCAACGAGGAATGTCAGCTAACATTAGATTGGGTTGAAAAACAATTAGAGGTGGTCAAACGAAAACCTAGCATGAGTCCACAAAATTTTTAACAGTTGGTTTGAACCACATAGGAAGGTGTAGACTACAATGTTAGAGTCCTCAGAATTCTAAAAACCAATGACTGGAAACTCTTGATGGCTTGGCGAAAAACATTCTCACTGGCCTAGATGCATTTACTCTTTGTAATCTCCTATATCGATTAAATCCCCTCCCCCATATTTTTCCGTGTTAGTATTCTATTTCTCCTACATTTCTGCCTATCACGGTTCAATTGAATCCCTTTTTTCTATTCTTTACCTTTGTGTGCTATGTGGGGTGTGACAACTTGAAATGCTGCACTTTTGAGTGAAATTCGGTATTGAAACTCAGTTAGTCTACTAAAGGAAATTTGGTTTTCCTATATTCACTGATCCTAGTATTATTACTGTAAACTAGCTTTCCAAAAAACAAAGTGATTTGTTGATGGTTAAGAACTTAGAGTTCGGACAGCAAGTATTGTTAAATGACCTGAATAGTCTCAACTACTAGTGTAAGTGATTTTCACACAAGAACTATTGTAATCGTAACATTTTGTTCATCTTGAAATTTTGAAAACAGATAAGTGTGTTTAGTTAATGTAATGTTTCTGAGAACATTTTAAGATGTATTATTGTCAAGAAATGTGTACTAATCAATTCATAAATTACAAGATTTTCAATTAAATCAGCTATTTAAAAAAATTAAACCAACACAATAACAGTGTATTTTAGGGTAATATTAGAAATTAGACTTATTTTATGAAAAGTACTAAGTATTATTAATGACTACTATTGTAACAACAGAAGACAAGAGTCAGGCAATAGATCGTTTATTGAGAAAATCAAGTGATATTTATATATTTTTATGTATATTATTATTAGTGGTATTTCAGCATAGAAGCAACGTCTTCTGACTGGTTTTTTTCTTTCTGAAGGTTTTCTGTACTGCTTGTGACTGTTTCTTAGAAAGTTAAGCCATATATGTGGGAATCGTATTTGCACATGTTAAGTCTGCTGTGATTGGCTGTTGAGTTCCTCAAGGCTAAGCTTTGTTATTGTTTTTTTTTCATGACCCCGATTCGGGATGTAAACATTGACGTCGTGAATTGGCAGAAGTTGGAATTCATGGGCCATTGGATAGAGTCCCAGTGGCTGAATGGTATACGAGCTTGCCTTGTAGCCAGAAGGTCCTGGGTTTGAACCCTGGCGGTGGGTGCGTACTGATGAAGAGTCCCAAGCTAGTGGGACGAAACGGCTGTCCAGTACTGTCAGGCCTTCCAATGGTTCTCTAACTAATGTCAGCTCATGATGAAATCCTGTAACCAATCAAATGCCTACAAACCAACACGTAAATACTGACGTAAATTGTTGTCTGCAATTTTGGTTTGCAGACAGCTCTCCCACACTATCACATTGATTATAATTATATTTCAATAGATTACACACAAGGAAAAGTTTTTTGTTTTAGGTAATATTTCGGGCAAAATAAAAAACTTATCACTGTTGAATTAATTGAAATCTTTGAGCTGAATGATTTAATTGCGAAAATTTCGTCCTCCTTCTAGATAACATCTTCAGTGTAAGTTTTAGTATCAGATGAAATCATTCATCGAGAAGTTAAATGAGTAAACCTTATACCAAAACCTGCTCTGAAGATGTTATCTAGAAGGACGACAAAGGCTTCGCAATTAAATCAACCAGCTCGGAGAATACAACTAATTCAATATTATCCATCTGAGTTACAAATCGTCTCCATTATTTCAACTTATCATTGTGGGTAAACTATCGAAGTACAATCATAATTGATTTGATCTATTCCAAAACGCACAAACTTTTCACTGACACTAAGAATACTATCACTTTCAGATTCTCAAAGTTTCGACAGACAACAATATGAGACTGATGCATCCATCCTCTATCAAAGGTGTCGACGATATGATTGACTTGGGTGAACTTAATGAGGGTGGAATTCTTCGGAATCTTTGTATGCGTTATAGTCAAAATCAAATTTATGTAAGTGTATTTTTACAGAATTTTAATAAACCAAAAATTAGTTTGATTAGTTCAGATTATTGTTATTATATTCCCTAGTGTTTTGAGCGTAACATTGGGCTTCAAGATTCAGACTTGAAGTTTCAGTACTAGTTATTTTACTTTTACACAATGGGATTGCTAACCTCATGTCTAACCTTCCCTCTTTATCACTACTACTACTGGCTAAGCCAGGTTCAGAAATTCATCAGCTGGGATTCGAACTCCAAACCATATGTTTGATTGACAAGCATTCTACCAGTGAGCCACTGACGCACAGAATATTCCAGTTGATTACCTGATGTTAGCCCTACCATTAACAGTTCAATAGTAAGATTCCCAGTTAGACATCATATATAATCGTGTTCACCAGTATGAAATAACTGAAACCGCCAAACAGACACAAACAGCCTAAGTGAATTCAACATGTATTTTGTGACCACCAAATATCACAACTAAACTCTCATGATCTTAGCTGAAAGCTGTATAATGGTGTACACGGAAAAAGTATTCGGATAATGAAAATATTTCATGGGCCATTGGATCGAGTCCCAGTAGCTTATTGATCTACCAGCTCGCCTTGTAACCAGAAGGTCCTGGATTCGAACCCCTGTTGTCGGTGTGCACTGCTGAAGAGTCCCAAACTAGTGGAATAAAACAGCTACCCAGTACTGTCTGGTGGTTTTCCAATGGTTCTCTAACCAATGTCAGCTCATGATGAAATCCTGTAACCAAAGGATATTGACAAACATCTCCGGTTGATGTTTAACATTTTTCCGTGTGGCTGGCCACTTGAGTCACTACTATGGTGCATAATAAATGTTTGTGAATAGCTGGAAACTGTCATCTACAGGTATATGTAATAGTGATAATAAAGGTAATCACTTTATTCCAAACAATTATTTCTATGCAGGATGAAATTTTCATTCAGCATGTGAAGTCTACACTACAAAATCTGATAGGTAAAATGTAAAATGACAATAAGAAAATAAAGTATAAATGATTAGGGAAACAGAGTCAATTTTCACTCACTTCATTGATACATAAGTTACGTTTGATGGAGAAATAATAGCTGAAGCATTTAAAGGTTTGTAGAAAATTATATTTGTAAAATCTCAGCGATATTCAAATGAGTAATTCCAACGTTTCATTCGGCAATCTGGTCCGAACTTCTTCAGGGAAATTAATCGAAATTAACATAACAGAGGTTTATATATAAAAGGAATATCTCTTGTTTTTAAAAAACTTTGTCCAATCATGAGTCATAAAACAAGTATAATACACAAAATCGTACGAGTTGTGATCAAAATTTGACCTCAGACTTACAAATATTGATCTACCTTTGTTAAACACTTTAAACACAGTATGTATGTGTGTGTCTGTGGATAAACAGTTGTAAAACAATATCTTAACGCCTCTATAAGTAGATATAGACAGTCAGGAACTTTGACCAAGTATTATTAGTTAGTGATACATATCCATTCTTATTTATTAATCAGGATTTCCTATGCCTCAGCTAACATCACACCTTCATGTCTGTTCAAACTGTTAGTATCTAGAATTGTATGATTAGACGTATTTTCAAAATTATGGTGGTTAGAATCAGAGTTTAGTTGAAGCACCCCGTCAAACGTATTACTTTGTCTTCTTTCTGAAAATTGAGCTGCTTTATTCCACCTACTGGACTTGTCAGGTGACTGGACAGCTACGGATTCAATGTCGCTGAGATTTTACAAATATAATTTTTTACAAATGTCTACTTCTCACTCGGCGCCCAAATATCTTAGAACTATTCTGTCAAATCTTGACTACAGTTCCTTTTATTTAAAGGCTTAATAGCAGATGAATACATAGTCACTTGTGTACTCATTTGTGAAACATGGTTTTTAGTTGTTAACGGTCTCCTAATGCAATCAAGATGGCATTATTTTTGTATCCATGAGATATATCTATAATTCGCGAATAATCCCTAGCCAGATATTAATGAAAACAAAACACAGTTCAACGAGGAGTCTCTTTTCGGAGGCGAATTCATTCACCTAGCTGTACAATCGTAATGAGATATACATATTTTTCTATATTTGTACTCATATTAGGTCTGTCCTATAAGAATAAAAATAAGCTAAAGTTATTGTTGTCAAGACATTTCAAAAGTGTGATGAGTGATCCAGCTGTAGTTAAGGGGGTTGAAGATTGGTAAGATGGTAGTGGTGATACTTTGTCAAAAACATATTTATTAACAAATAAAAGAAGTTGAATAAGCGTCATACAATTAAGTAATACGATGAAGAGTCCCAAACTAGGAAGAAACACCTGGTTATCCAATGATTCCCTAACTGATGCCAGCCCATGATGAAACCCTCCAACCAATCAAACGAAATCCCTACAAAAAACCAATACCTGAAAATAAGATTAAAACAAGATTTTGAGGGAACAATTGTGGTTTCGATAACTTCTTCTTCTTCTTCAGGCTATACAGTTATAAATCCATGAATAATAGAGTACATATAGCCAATAAAGGCAAATGAGAGTAGTATCAGAAACTGTATTGTGGTGCATGTGTAAGTTGAGATAATAGTCCATTAGTTAACATAGTCAATCAAATGTGTATAGGGTGTATAGTCAGAAAAAATGTGTTGAAGTGTGAATGAACAATTGAGTGATACAGTGTTGTTTTATAGTCAACAGAATACAAGTGTCATTGGGGTGAGAGAAATGCGATAACCACAAGATACAAACAAACACACATTAACAAAGGAGGCACTGAATGTGAGGGCTGACCGATAATGTCTAATTGTAAATTCTAATAAAATGTTACAGAATTGGTAGGCTTAGTATAAAGTCATAAAGGTTGATAAAAACTAAAGATAACAATATGGTGAAATAAACTCATTCATTCACACTTCATCACATTTTTTCTGACTATACGCCCCATATACATTTGATTGACTATGTTAACTAATGGACTATTATCTCAACTTACACATGCACCACAATACAGTTTCTGATACTACTTTCATTTGCCTTTATTGGATATATGTACTCTATTATTCATGGATTTATAACTGTATAGCCAGAAGAAGAAGTTATCGAAACCACAATTGTTCGCTCAAAATCTTGTTTTGATTTCACTATGGGGATTTTTCATTTACTGAAAACAAGATTAATAGTTTAATGAGTGATATGTGATTGGGATGCTCATAGAAACAAAAGAAAATATGGAATTATGTAAGCGTTCTGAAAATACAAATGTAATAAGGAGTTGGAAAAATAACAAGCACACAAACGTCGAGTTAGCAGAAGTCAACATGGTGTTGTTACCACGATAGTAGAAGTGGTTGGGTGATTTTCTTTTGTATAACATAACTCTGGTTTCTCCAACTGAATAGCTAAGGTTCCAGCTAAGGCTTCTATGTCATCCTGATCACAACTCACTCGTTAAACCACTCATCTTATTACTTAACTGTATTACTCTTTTTCAACTTCTGTTATATATTGATCAGCATTAATAGCTATGTTTTTCGATAACACATCACCATTACCCCCTAGTTATAATTTGATTACTAATCACATTTTTGAAATGTCTAGGTAACAATAAGCCTAACTTATTTTTATTCAACGAAGAAAATTCTCTTTTCGACGATTTCATTTTCATAGCTGCACAGTCGTATGATATACATATTTTTTGCGAGTTTGCCCACGGATCGATATCATTTTGAGAACCACTGAAAACCAGGGTGTACCGGACAGCTAGCTATTTCATCCTAGTTTGGGAGTCATCAGAAGTACGCACCCACCGCCAGGGATCGAACCAACGAACCTCCGGTTACAAGGCAATCTCGTATACCATTCAGCCACTGGGACCCGATTCAGTGGTCAGCCCATAAATTGTAACTTCTACCAATTCTTGATTTAGCGCGATCACCAACAAATGTCATCGGTGAGATCTTCCTCCTCATACTTGACTGGATGGACCTCACTGATCACGACTTCTTACTAGAACTACAGAATACTCCGTCATGTAGCAAGTCAATAGCGAGCACATATATGAATGAATTACAATAGACAATTAAAGCCGGTTTGAGTGTGTGTCTGTGTTAAAGTTTGACTGTGAGTGGAAATACTTAAGTGCGATAATATTAGTGCATGGGATTATGAGTCATAATTGATTAGATATATGAATGAATATCTAAATAAATAGAGGTCAACTAAAGTTCAATATGTGGTGGTGTGATACAGCCATCGTGTTCCAACGGAATATTATTCCCACAGTAAGAACCATTGCATTTGTTGGTGTTAACGTCTGAATACTATTCCCACAGTTCAATAGCACATTAGCAACAGAATACCATCTAAATCATAAATTGTGATCAAGATTCGACAGAATAGTTGCAATATATTCTGAACATTCTGTTTCATGTTGTTTAATGTAAACCAAAATCACAAGCACAGTGGTTACTTAAAGAATATATATAAATAGCCGTTTGATCACTTTAAAATATACCTTATCCATGTCTTGCCTTCTACTGTTAGAAAAGCACACATGTGTGAGATAGATGATCGGAACATAAAGTACTTTCGCAAATATGTTTGTGTTAATATAATATGATGGAGACATAGGATGCAGATACACTGTTAGATTATGATAAAGCGAAATAAAACAAAAATGGAAATTGGAACGAAGAAGGATTTTATGTGAATTACATTGTAAAGTGATCGTACAAACTGCTTTTGTTATGTATTATCAAAGCCTCTGCTATACAAAGCAAATGCGCTCGTGTCCCTTTCAGCAAACTTTGTCGGACTTTGTAGACCATATTAAACGATGTGTCAGATGCTGCGTGGTCAGTATCTAAAATATGTTGCAATGTTGATGAATAAATATCTCTACGTTCTTCTTTGCTCAGCCAAACTGGGAGGTGATCTCGAACACGGCAGGATATGTTTCTCGAGGAACGTCTTATGTACCTGGTTCCTCAAGAGCAGGTGAACATATACATACACAAGGAACTAGACAATCGAGGCAACATTTTCTTGATATTAAGGTGCACCAGTGGACGTCTAGAGTAGGTTATTCGTAAAGTGGCAGCAAAGAACATTTTTCTCAGTGATCTGGTCAGACGATTTTTAAGTATCTCGCTCACAATCTCACCCCTAAATTCTAAGTTTAGGTGCAAATCTTTCTTAGCTACCTTATCAATTTCTCTATTTCTTTCACGTAGTTTACTATTGGCCTCGACGAAAAGTAAGGGATACCCGTTATCCATGAAGGTTCCCTTCAGTTGTTTGAGTTCATCACCAACACTACCTTCACTACAAACTCTCCAGACTCTTGTTGAGAGAGAACGGACTAGATTCCTTTTCTATCTGTGGAGACAGTGATGTAAAAATTAGTCAGTTGTCCTGTCCACATCGATTTTCTGTAGACAGATCTTCTTAATGACTTGTCAGCCCTCCTTGTGAGTAGCACATCAAGGAAAGATATTCTCGTCTCAGTTTACTTTTCTAAGGTGAACCGGATAGCAGGATGAATGTCACTGAATACATTCAGGATATCATTCGAATCCCACTTCCCGTCGTATATAATGAACGTGTCATCCACGTATCTTTTGTGGAAGGTGAGCCCCTTTATAGTAGGTGTGAGAGTACTACTCTCCATACTAGCCAAAAAGAAGTCTTCTAGCAGTGGACCAAGTAGTTAACCCATAACTACCCCATTTCTCTGTCTGTAGATTTCGTCGTCGAAAAGAAATTGGACATTGAGAGTACATCGAAGTATTAGCTCTTTAAGGTATGATGTTGGAATTCCTACGTTTACACTATGTAAGTCTATATAATAACAAATGAAGCATACAGTTTCACTTAATGGAACATTAGTAAAAAATGAACATATGTCAAGTGACAACATAATATATCATTAACGTAGTTAACAAATTCAAAAGTGTCATACAAAGAATAGGTACATACTTGCCTTCTTAATAGTTCTGAGATTTCTTCTATCCATTTTACGACATAATGTGTTATACGGTATACGATTGTACAGTTATGAAAATGATATCGTCGAAAAGATAATTTTCTTCTCTGAATTCTTTGTTTTTATGTCTCAATAGGGATTGGATTATTAATTGAATTTGTTAATTGTGAATCTGATATCTCTAGGACTGGTAGATAAATACGCATATTATGCTTACATTTTTTCCAGTTGTGTTTATGTTTAAATCATCTTCCATTGTTGACCTTATAAGTTGTTTGTCTTCAATTATCTGACTGACTAATGGATTGTATTGTAATCTGAAAATAATAAAAGAATAAATATGCTAAAACTTGTTTCAATCAAATACTGTTTGTTTTCATTTTTAATAGTTTCGAATGGTTAGAAAAGGAAGTATATGGCCCGTTAGTCAAATGCACCAGTTAGTGTAGAATGCTTTACAGTCGTAATTTTGAAGGTGTATATTACGTCAGCATAATTTGATGAACAATTCATAAGTGTATTAACATCATAGAGAATTCAACTGTTGGCTTATCAGCAGAGTGTCTTCTGTTGTAATAGGTCTTTAGCTGAAAATTTAGTTTTATCTTAGTAGCAAGCATTCTTTACTAACTAATTTAACAAACAATTTCTAATATCTAATACAAACGTATGCTACACTATAATTTCGCGCTATTCAGTCTAATAGTCTGGTTCAAAATATGATTGATTAACCAAGATAGGTGCCATATGGGTCACTACATCGTGACTGATCCCAGTTTAATTAATCTTACTGATTTCTAGGCACAAATAAAAACTACACGAGTTGTCACAATGATAACCAACTAACTATATGCAAACATGATGAATACTGAAAAATTATGTAAACAAATTAACTTATCACCATTGTAAATACTGAATAAATTTAATTTATGTAGTACTGTAGCGAGTATATCAGTAAACGAGTTCAGAAAAGCAACAATATGTTTCCGACACTAGAAAAAGAAATCGAAGAACAGAACTATGAAAATCAAAACAATTCTTTTAAACCTCATAGGTTTTTCCTTCCTTATAGTACCCTTAAAATATCAAGGTCTATGGCGTGTCAGAGAAGACACATCGACACTTAGGAAGAATTTTGAAGTGAAACTTCCAGAAGGTAGATATTCTATTGTTGTAGCCTTATAATCATTCTTTACTTGATCGAAAGAAAAGGAATTGTGAACTGCTTGAATCACTGATCTATCTAAATTTCAATCAGAGCTGATGCATTTTATTCATTTTAGTCTACGTTGTTATAACCATTGATTTGTGTACATGGTTCGCCAAATATCTAACATTATTGCGTCACATGGTATACTGAAGATGGTTGTTTTACTTGAAACTCCTGGATGTAGACAAAATATTATGCCATAAACTAAGTTGAAAATTATGCATATTGTAATAAAGGCTTTAATAATAAATAAGTTATCTTACAGGAATATACGGATAACTAAGATGATATGCTTATTTAAACACCCAACAAATCTGTAGATAAATACTGAAGACTTTAAAGTCAAACAATTTGAAATCACAAGTCCCCTATAAACGTAATAGTTAAATTTCATTGCTGTACCTGAAGTTGCAGTTCATTATTATGTTTTCATGTTTATTTCAGACCTACACAGGATCAATATTAGTGGCACTAAATCCCTATCAGATTCTGCCTATTTATAATGCTGATTATATCAAAATGTATCGAAAACGAAAATTTGGTGAACTACCACCTCATCTATTTGCTATAGGTGACAATGCATACAGCAATATGAGAAGATATGCTATGGATCAATGTATAGTAATCAGGTTAGAAATATAACTTTACCATTTCATAAAAGAAAGGTATTTTGTTGTCTAGACAAAGTTTGAAAATGATGATGGTTAAATACAACTTCATTGGATGAAGGGTAAAGTGTTCCTTTTCATTTTATCTGAAGCTGAAGGTTAACATTACTGAATAATGCAAGGATATGCCGAAAAATCCATCCATCAATACTAATTTACAGTTAAATTTTCTTTTTCAAATCTAATTTGTAGAGAAAGTTAGGAATTGGAGGATTTCATCGTGAGCTGACACCGGTTAGAGAAACACTGGAGTATTGGACGGCTGTTTCATCCTAGTTCTGGAATCTTCATCAGTACATACCCACCATAGGGGTTTGAACCCAGGACCTTCTGGTTACAAGGCCAGCCTGTGGACCATTAAGCCACCGGATCCCATCCAGTGGCCCATGAACACCATTACGCTGTTTTTAAAAACCGTTAAGAGTTGAATGACAGCTAGAATACTGGATTAGCAGCTTAACACTAGATAGCTCTGCAGCATATTTTTCAAGAAAAACAAGCGAAATTTTCTATGGTTTTTAATTTATTGAGGCTGTTGAACATTCTATTCAGTTTTGTCACTTGATATATTATAGGCATCATACTAAAGGCAAAACGGAAAAAATGTAGACTATTGTTAATGACTAAATAGCCTATATAGATGTCATGTCACATGTCATGTCGCATGCTAACTTATATCCAGTTTTGAGAGCTGCTCAGAATCACTCACTTAACGTGCTTATAATTATGTCTGACCAAAATTTGCGTATGAGCAATTTTTAGTGGGTATCGGTATTTTGATTTGTTCACTTCGTAACAAAATGATGTCCCATATCAAGTGATTCACAACAGAAAGCTCAGACAAGCCTTTGAAGTGTAGACAGAAGTTAAACACGACCGCCTACTATCAGTGATAATATGTCGGTGTAGTCAGAATAAAATAATGTCAACCCCTCCCCCTCAAAAAACACAACATTTAGTATTGCATATGATTAGTACGATTCTGAAAGAAGTGAAAACTAAGGTAACAATGGAATTCTAATCACCAGGTCCCGCATCAATGACCTGTCAGAACCATAAAGCCCAGCAACTAACCCCTTTTGTCTTAAAACAACTTAACGCGCTATTCATTGTAAGCACAGTACCCATTCAGTCAATTCCATTTGCCGCCATTCTAGTTATAAATAACTGGAGTGGATAATCAATGGACAACGAATGAGAAGAATTGAGATAGTCATAGGTTTTCAGACTGCTAATAATTTAGTAGTTGATGTTGTGTATCAGTCTATCGGCCTAATACTATAACAACATAAGACAAGGGCCAGGCAACAGATCGTTTATTACGGAAATCAGCACGTACTTATATATATTTCATGTACATTATTATAGCTTATTGAAGCAGGCAAACACAGTCTTCTGACTGGTTGTTTCTTGCTCAAGGTTATTCTGTACTGCTTATGACTGGTTTCTCAAAAAGTTAAGCCACATATCTGCGAATCGTATTTGATCACGTTAAGTCTGCTGTGATTGGTTGTTGGATCAGTCTTGTTCATGTTTTCTCACGGTCAATATTAGCGACATAGACATTGACGTAAATTAATGTCTACCAATTGGCTGGCAGCCTGCTCTCACCACAATACTAGTTTAATGAGTTACAAATACACAATATTTTAGAGTAGAACCAGAAAGAAACAACCAATTGGTTCTTCACAGTCTCAAAGAATCCTAAAGGCGGTGTTGGTTTGCGGCGAAAATTCACGTCCAACCATTAGATCCTCTTTATTATATGAAAGTATGTTAAAATATGTTCTTTGTGGTATTGTTTAAATACACAACATGTATCACTTATCTGTTGATACAAGTTTATTGTAATGCATAAGACAACAAACTATAATTTTCAGTTTTTTCAATAAAAGAATAACTTGTTCAAACCTTATTTTATGTTTATTTGCTTAATAGTGGTGAAAGTGGAGCTGGTAAAACGGAAAGTACAAAATTACTTTCACAGTTTTTAGCTGCTGTCAGTGGTCAACATTCTTGGACAGAACAACAGATACTCGACTCAAACCCTATAATGGAAGGTAAGTTTACTTTAACACAAAGACTTATGCATAAAAATGGGTAAATGAAAAGATACTAGGATTTTTCTAAAGTTTTGAAGAATAAACATGAAGTCACTAGATTTTGTGCACCAGAAAAATTAGGAAAACATTCGAAAATTTTCAAAAGTCCATTTTTATGCAGAATTCAGAGGTTATTTTAAAATGAAATGCAACGAAGCAGTTTCTTTTACGTGTGCTTTTTATTTTTAGATATAGGTCATATGTTTGAATTCTAGTTAGGTGTAGAAATATACTTCAACCAACTTACGCGGACAGTTACATGTCACTATGTATACAACGTGAAGGTTTGGGCAGTAAAGGAGGTTGCTACCTATAACATTTTATTGACTAGATAAAAGTAAACATTTTACTGAAAGTCTTTCAAGAAAAAATATTCTGAATTTGATTTAAACATTTTACTCTTTCGGATCAAAGAAGCTGAATGACACTCCTGATAATTTCTGAAGGTGATATTTTGGATTTTATATATTACATCTAGCTGTAGACTATGATATCTTAATTCATGAATAATCCCCATCCAGACATTGTTTTCATGAAATATCCTAATTTACAAATTTTAACTGATTTCCAACATATTAGTCATTAAAATAAAAGGTGTTGTTGAACACTTGATAAATGTTTTTACAAGGTTTTCCGGTACTTTAAACCTAAGTTGTGCGTGGCAGATATTATTCCATCACTGAAGTGATAAGCTGAAGTTTATCCACTTTTAAAAATAAGGATAATATTAATGAAATCTTGCACTGTATCTTATCTTTCTTAAGTTTTCACATACTAGTATTTTAAAAAATGAAAGTTAGAAAGAAGCGCGAACTCATCAGTGACCTTGGGGACAGTAATGGCGCTAAAATGTAAATTTCGCCCCCTGATTCAAGTTCAACCCTAGTCTTTCCTTAACCTAACCTTAACCAACCCTAATATCTCCTTAATTAGGTTATTTTAAGTCTATCCTGTCCCTAATCCAAAGCTAACGTTAATCTTTACCTAGCCTAGACTAAAACTAACAACATATCCTGTTCCATACTATTACACTTCACTCAACGCTGTTTTTCATGGACATAGTGTTATTTACTCGGTTTAACTGCCGTGTTCAGATTGATCGTCCCAGGATCATTGGTGCTTCTGCATTTTTTGGCTGTCAAAAGCTTAACTATGATTTTGAAGATCTCCAGGTTATGGTGATTTCACTCAGTAAATAAAATGCACAATTACATTTTAAGATATATAGATGGTTCTTTTAGTGTCTTGATCGTGAACTATAAAAGTATAACTTAAGAGACTATTTTCTAACATTTCTTCATGTGACACTGTATGTAAATCACTATCGATTCTTATAAAAATTCATTTCACGAATCCATTCTTTCACAATTAACACTTTTTTAAATATAAGCGTAAATATGTGATTTAATCAAACATGTCTGAAGACAGAGACCAACAATGTAGCTTTTGGTTATTATTATTAGTATTATTAATGATAATAATAATTAGCTGACTTAGTAGCACACCACTTGCCTGCATCACTGACCACCTACAGTATCCTTCACAATACGACATGGTCATATTTGAGTAGCCTGTAATGACTAAAGGGAGGCGATAAAGAACAGTAAGTAGGATGCAAGAGTTAACAAATTGTGAAACAAGAGGTTGATTGATACCTATCTGATTATCTTAACTCCTTAATGTAGAAGGTTAGATGGAACACTTTCTTAGAAATCAACAAGATATGTGATGACGAAGAAAGGTTAGAGCAAAGAAGTATTCTAGGGTATTTTATGCTTGATTTATTTCCTCTTCCCGTGTCCCCTATGCTACGCCACAAAAACCATGTGAGCAAACCAGTTCCTGGAGATCAGGTTTACGTTTTAAGGGGGAATTAACTGTCTGATATTTAGAGGGATTTGACATAAGACCATTTAAGCCATTTAGGCTTAGGCCACTGGCTGATATTCACTTTGAAACAGCTAGATCTGAACGTAACTGTCAACGAGATAGTCAGATTATCAGCATATTTAACGAAGTTGATCTCATCCGGGAGAGGTAAGTCATCTCAGGAGAAAAAGGAAAAAAAGAGAGAGAGAACAACACCTCGAGGGACTCCAGCCTTAGTAACCATGGTTGAGGAAGACTTGCTTTTACACACAGTATGCTGCATTCTGTTCGAGAAATAAGAGTGTAACCAGTTGTCAGCACAGGACTTGGTTGGCATAAGAAATAATCATTCTCATCATTGTAACTGCTTCTAATCATAAAGAAACAGACTATTATAGTAATCATCTAAATAACATTTAATTATTTATTTAATAATTTGTATTTAAATTGTTAAAAATGAAATTTTAGCTTTTGGAAATGCTAAAACTGTTCGGAATGATAATTCATCTCGATTCGGAAAATATATTGAAATTCATTTTAGTCGTGAACGTGGCAATATAGTCAGTGCAAAAATTGATCAATACTTATTAGAGAAATCACGGATTGTTACACAAACAAAAAATGAACGTAATTATCATGCATTTTATTATATGTTAGCTGGAATGTCATCTGAGATGAAAAATCTATTAGGATTAACTAAAGCAGAAGATTACGATTATCTTATACAGGTTAGTTAACTTCTATGTTACTTATGGATGCCTAATCAAAACTTAGCTCAGAGCAAGAGCTGGAGAACTGATGATGTTTCCTCGAACTTTTAAGATCTGTTCTCATTTTTAATACATATTAAGCCTGTAGCAGAAGGGTTGAAAATTTACTTTTAATTTAATAAAGTGAGCAAGACAAAGTAGCTATGTTAGATTATAAAATAAAACCAGAAGAGTAAAACCCACGTTTATGCTTACCGTTACAGTCTAATAGATGTTAAGATTTTAGATCATATAGCCTTGTATGATTTAAATTTAGTTTAATTCTCTGGACAACCGAGAACGAATTCTGAGAAATATAACAGAAGGCCTAAATAAGAAAATTCAATAGATGCAAGAGACATAACTACTAAATTACAATACTATAGAACTTATTTAGAAGTTCAAAACCTCATATTTTATACATCATCTATATAACAATAAACGTTAGAATGCCATCACACAGCGCATTTCTTCCATCTGAATGAGTTGCTGGCGCTTGAAGTGATTGATTTTCAGAGCAAATCAGTACACCAATGATCGAGGATACTCCATCTTCATGAATATTTTCAAACACCAGACTTCTACTAAGGCTTTCTGCTAATTCTGTCTAAGCACCGGATGGAATAAATTTCAAACCTCCTTAGTTCGACTGAATGGCAATATAATTTCATGAGACTTGTTATCTTTGTATAATAAGTCAGAAAAATAACACTTATTTCTACTGTTTTAATATGTCATGGTACACAGTACACTGAGAGTATTTTGAATATGATTTAAGGTACATAAAAATTAAGTCAGATTATCTCCTAGTTGAAACGTTTTTGTCTTCATGTGAAACTCATGTTATGCCTTATCAGTAAGAGACCATCATTTTGCGTGTTTTCCATTCACTTTCAGTCTAACATTTAGTATTTTGTAATACAGAAAAAGGACCGGGTAAAACTTTTGCAACAACTATGGAAAATCGTATTTTATTTTTATTTTCGAAAGAAAAGCAATTCAAATTTTCCAAGCCCCTGAACACTGAACAGTGACCAATAATCTCCTGTCGTATTTTATTTAAAAAACACTTTATCATCTTTCCACTGGTTCCTATCCACTATGTACAATCACAGTGACTGGCCATTTTCTTACACTTATTACGTCATGTCGACTTCGGTCTCTTTTCAGCTTCCAATTAGTCACCCCTTCTAGGTTACACCTTACATTACGTTATACGTTTCTCGAGGACAAATGTTACCAGTATCTGATTGGTTTTATAATTTCTTTGTTAAATATAATTACTATTCAAGTGTTGGTTTGTAGGGATTTGATTGGTTTCAAACCAATCAAATCCCTACAAACCAACATTTGAATACCAATGAGATGCTCACCAGCGACTGGCCCTATTCAGGTAGGTAGTTACCTGGGTTCCAGTGGGAAGTCGTGACCAGTAGGGTGCAGCAGGTCGGGTGTGAGGACAAATACTCGCCGAAGACATTGGCCAATGGTCATGCTATGTTGTGAATTAGCAGAAGTTAGAATTCATGAGCCATTGGATCGGGTCGCAGTGGCTTAATGGTATACGAGCTCGCCTTGTAACCAGAAGGTCCTGGGTTCGAATCCCGGTGGGTGTGAACTACTGAAGATTCCCAAACTAGTATGACGAAACAGCTGTCCAGTACTCCCAGGTTTTCCAGTTGTTCTCTAACTGATGTCAGCTCATGATGAAATCGTGAAATATAATTACAGCTTATGAAAATGAATCTTCGGAAAGAAATTTTTCTTCGCTGTTTTCGTCTTTTCTTATGACTCAGAGATGTATATATCAAGCTAACCGGCATGAGTGATCATAGCAGCTAGACATAACTAGACAATAATCAAACTCTCTGGTTAAAAAAACTCTCTAGACAGCTAAGATCAGAATAATTGAGAATACGAAGCTCAAATAGTCATCTAAGCCCTTAGAACATGCAAAAAATGAAGTCACATTCCACTTTATCTGCCAGTTTAAACGTATGCATGACCACAAAGACATAGGAAAGTCTCATCGATCTCTGCAAGTAAAGCCTGGCTTCAGAAATAAAGAGAATCCCCAAAACCCATTAATGGTGAGAACAGACGACCAACTCCTTTATTGAGAAACATACTATTTAGACAGTACATGAAACTGACGTTACACATCTTTTGAACCTATCTATAAAACGTGTTTGGGGCGTATCCTAAAGTTTTTGGAAGCCCTAGCTGGCAATCATGAAGTTTAAATCACCTTTGTGCGTTGAAAGCAACAATTCGTCATCAAACTAAAGCTTCCTTGGTTAACTTTGTTTTGATACTAGCCAGGGTAGATGCACTATTACCTCTGTTATTTGGCTTAGTGATCTTCAGTGTTACTTTGACCTTGAATATGTCATTTTAACTTAAGCTATATCTATTTTCTCACCTCTTAACTCTTTATTAATTTCATACATATTCCTATGACAAGTCCGTGAATTGTGATCAGATTGTTCAAAATGTGCTGCTCAAATACGTGATGCGATTCAGGCAAATACGTCTTCTAATTGTTTTGCCTAAATTGTTAAATGGAACTAATTGTTTTAAATTTCTTTTATTTATTTAGGGTTTCAATATTACTTCTGCAACTGAGCTTCAGAGAGATTTAAGCGTTTATATATATATATATATATATATATATAATGGAAATCTTTCTTTTAATAAAATCTCCTAGCAGTATGTTGTGTATCTTAAAACGTTGAGGTTATCAGCTTTCCTAGGGGACTTTTAAATGGTTGAATTTATGCGGTGAGGTAGGAGGCATTTTAATAATAAGAGTACACTTCACAAACACAGATTCACATAAACTAAACCAAAACTATAAATAGTATTTATTTAGAACACCATAGGAATGTATCTAATCATTACTTTATACATAATTTTTGAATCATCAAGTTACCTGAAACCTTTTTTATATTGTTTAGGGTGGAATAACTGAAATGGACGGTAGACATGATTCAGCTGGTTATACAAGCGTCAATTCTGCCCTGAAAGTTTTGACATTCACTAGTGAAGATATCGACAATATCTGGAAAATATTAGCAGCTCTTTTACATTTGGGAAATGTTTACTTTGTTGACAGTCAAGTGAATGGAGTTGATGCCTGTGAAGTTTCTTCAAAAAGTCACTCAGAATTGGAATGGGTTTCACGTTTGCTTCAGGTAATTTTGATTTTGAAAATGTATTTCAATAATAACTATAGTTAAGCCGTCAGACTGATTCTAGTAATACTTTGAAAAACAAATTTGGAAAAATTATATCCTAAAAGGTCAGTCCAGGTATGCTACTTTCATTAATATCCAAAAGGAAGAAGAACTGAGCAGACACTTCGTTCTGGTGTGGACCTTTTTGTCATGACGCTACTGGGGATCAAATTCAGGACCTTCATGTTACGAAACCAGCCTGTTAGGTATGTATAATAAACACAGCTCGTAGTAGAGGGTGCAAGTTAAGAAGTATCATCAGGAATATGAACTTCGTTTCAGAATTTGTAGGCATTGTATAAGTTATTTCTCAAAAATCACTGTATCTTTATTCTAGAAAGTTAATAAAAAGAATATTCCCTTTGAAGATTGACAGTATACAGATATCTTGTCTAGTGGTAAATATCAGTTGAGGGCATTAAATGTATGTTATCTAGATGCCAAGCTTAATTATAGTTGTTTGAAGGATTTCATCATGAGGTGACATCAGTTAGAGAACTACTGGAAAACCTGGGAGTACTGGACAGCTGTTTCATCCTAGTAGGGAATCTTCAGTTGTACACACCCACCGGCATTTGAACCCAGGACCTTCTGGTTACAAAGCGACCTCGTATACCATTAAGCCACTGCGACCCGATCCAATGGCTCATGAATTCTAACTTCTGCTAATTCACAACATAGCATGACCATTGGCCAATGTCTTCGGCGAGTATTTGTCCGACGGAATATTATTCTCACATTATCCCAGAGTTCAATACTGCAGTACCATCACAATAAGATATATCTATTTGAACATTATATATGATGTTAGAGACAGAATATATTTTCCACGGTTATATACTGCATTAAGAAAAGAATACTATGTATATTTGAACATTGTATTTCATGACGTTTAAGGTAAACCGTAATCACAGGCTCAGTGATTGGTTGAAGAATAGAAACTGTGTGCACATAAATAGCGGTATGACCAATGGGAAATATACCTTTGCTTCCGTGTCTTGCCTTCTATTGTTACAATGCAACGAAGAGCATGGAAGTGGAAGCCTAAAGTGTTTAACTGTTTCTTTCTGAACAGTTGTATTTTGTGTTAGGATGTATCAGCGAAACTAATTCATCATCACACTCAAAAGAGTTTTAAAGTATGGTAATTTTACTAGTAAATGTTTATATTATAAAGGAATATTGCAAATAATAAACGTCATTTATTTTAGTCCAAATATGAACCAAGTAGTCTTTGCCTCCTAGGGTGGTTCAAACCAACAAATGCTGACTTCATGCATTGGTTTCAAGTTCTGGTTTGTTTACCCACAACCCTTTCCTAATCAAATCCTATTCCAACTGAGAACTCTCATTGGGGAAGGCAGTGATTTATAACACGTGTAACATGCTTTTGGTTTGCTAGATCAGTGTTATTCACCGTGACACATCAAGTAACACGGTCTGTGGAACGATAATACCTTCAGTCGAAAATCTGCTATCACTGTACATCACAGCCGTGAGGTAAGACGAATTTAACATCTACAAGGTTGCAGCACGGTGGGAATGACAGCTAGATATCAAGTCTGTGCCAAAAGGGATTCAGAACCTCAAGGTTTAACTGCAGTTTACTCTTGACGGAAGTTATCGATATGGGGTCGTATAAACTGCTGTACAGATATAAAGTATTTATCGTTTTCAAGAGTTTGGTTTGTAAGGATTAGATCTGTTTATACGAGCTTGACCTTAGAAACCAAACTCTTGAAAATTGGTTTGATGTTCGCTAGTGACTTGCTACAGGACAGAGATTGTTGGAGTTCTAGTAAGAAGTCGTGATCAGTGAGGTCCATTCAGTCAAGTATGAGGAGGAAGTTCTCACCGATGACATTTGTTGGTGGTCTCGCTAAATCACGAATTGGTAGAAGTTACAATTCATGGGTTAGCCACTGAATCGGGTCCTAGTAGCTGAATGGTATACGAGATTGCCTTGTAACCGGAGGGTCGTTGGTTCGATCCCTGGTGGTGGGTGTGTACTTCTGATGATTCCCAAACTAGGATGAAATAGCTGGCTTTCTAGTACTCCCTGGTTTTCGGGTGGTTCTCAAAATGATATCGATCCGTGGTCAAACTCGTATGAATCACCATTTTCTCTTGATTTTTTTCTTAGATTACTATTCCATATCAATATGCGATCGATCGTTTTTATTCAAAGTTTTTTATTTACCATGACAATATGTATATATATACTTAAAAGATCATGGTGCTTTCTCTTAGGTGTCTCCTGCAAGTTTGGCAACCGCCATAACAGTGAGAATGCTGCACACTGGTGGCGAATGTGTAACTGCACCATTATCCAGAAGTACTGCAGTCTGTGTTCGTGATGCTCTCGTAAAAACAGTATACAATGAACTGTTTACCTGGATAGTCAATAAAATCAATACAGTTGTGTATAATCCTCCACCAAGAAAAATATTCAGTTCTAACTCACATGTAAACAATATTCTGAATCTAAATTCTGGTGATACACCTGTTAAAAATGCTCAAAGCCAAATAACACATTCAGCAACAGAAACAGATCTAAATAACGTTGGCAATTCAATTAGTTGCGAACACCGAATAAGTATAGTTGGACCTGGTCGTAATACAATTGGAATTTTAGATATATTTGGATTTGAAAATTTTGTAAATAATAGGTAAGAAAGTTAATACAACTAAGGAAGTTTGTTCTCACAACTAAATGAAATTCAGTGGATAACTAACAATAGTGAAAAGATACTTAACAGGTGTTGTAAATTTCTATACTAAAATATTCATAAATTTTTATCTTGTCTAGATATAAGCCATAAATGTTTTAATTACTATGCTATATTTCTAGTTAAGAGTTATGTTGAACGGTTATTATCCACAAGACTTCTCAAATACATGATAAATTCTTCACATAATTTTTCTTTAGCTTTATGTTAAACAGTTCATAAGATTACTTTTGTCTTGTTCATCAAACATATTGTTGACTGAATATATGTGTTCCACGGTAATTTTTTCGTTTCTTAACGTTCCCACTGGAGTCAGGATAGAGGTTTGAAGTTTCGATGGCAGTGGTGATTATGTTTACAGGATGGGATTGCTAGCTTCATGTTCAACCTCTCCTCTCTACCAGTCTTATTATTGACTTAGCGAGGCAAACGAGCGCGTAGGCTGGGGACTGATCCACGGCCCAGCTGCGCGGTTGGCGAGCACTCTACCGCTGTGCTACCGACGCACCATTCCACGGTATAACTGAAATCAATTCGGCGTTATAATTCTCAGTTGTTTGACGATGAGTGATTCATTGATTTATGTCTTATTTGTGACTTTTTTCGAATTACGGTGTTTCAGTGGTCTTCTACTTAAACTCTCTCGTACGACACTATAGAATGGGAAGGTAATCAAACGTCATACACAAATGAACATTTTTGAAATGTATTCACTTTTCAGTATTTTCGGGATTTTGGTAGGGTTGACGGCAAGGCTGTGTAAGGCAGGCTTGGTTATTTTCAGTAAATAATGAAATAACTTATCATTTAATATAAAACTCTTTGTATTCATGGAAAAGGAATTGATTAAAGACAATATTCAAAGTGAAATAAGCATATAAGTAAGAAAAGAATTAATCATATCTGAAGCAGAATAATTCTCAGGTAAGACAGACTTCACAATACTATATTAGATAACTAGTTAACTAACCGAAAGGTGGTAGTGAAGATGAAACCAATCAAAGATAGTTAAAGAAACCCTTATCACCATAGAGGAGAAATAAACGAAACTCTAGATTGGTCATTTCAAACGACTCTTGAATTAACCATAACTGACAACTCGCCCAGAAATACTATCAAAAGCCACAGAAAAGGCAGTGAGCACCAATCCATCTACAAAGGCAGAAGTCTTGAATGCTACAGAGTTACTGAAAGTTATCCACGTAAGCCGCGGGACCAAATGGAATACTTCCAGGAACAGAAAACAAACCCAAAGGTCATAGCAGTTATGCTCATTTAAAACCATCAGTCTCTTTAATAAATTTGGAAGAAGAATTTTTGAAAGGGAGGAAAGCCGACTGAAAGAAGGGCTACCTTGCTAAATATAGAAAGAAGGGCAACTTAAGTCTTCACAAGAACTTGCATAGAGTCCTGCTGCTGACTATCTCAGGGAAAATGTTAAGTCACATCATCCTGAGGAGACTAAAGGATGCCCTGGATACAAAATGCAGCTGGAAACAAGCTAGATCAGGGGAATCAAATCATGTGCGGACCAAATTAAAACGCTACTCATCATCACCGGACGGAGTATAGAATGATGGTCAACTCTTTGCTTCAGCTTCATCGATCTTGAAAAAGACTCTAGATAGCTCTGACTGTGAAGTAATCTTAAAATGGCTCCAACGCTATGGAGTGCGGGGACGCTGCTTGCTATAACCAGTGATATTCCTAATTATGAAAGGTTGGATTAGGCTGTAGATAGTGAGGAGTGATTAGATGGACCAACGAAAACATCTTAGAAGGTTTGAACTTTGTGACTAGTTTATGTCTAACGTTACTTAAACTCGAAGACTTACAGGTGAAAACCAACAAGTTAGCAGAAGAGGTGGCGAAGAAAGGAATTCAAGTGAACATAGTGAAGACAGAGGTGATGAAGATACCTAACCAACAACAAGCGTCAATAACCATCAAGGAAAGAATTTAAAAGAAGTCATCCCCATAAATTAGTTGGATAGCATCGTCCTGATTATATGCATCAGAGACAAAGATATCAAAGGCAGGATTGGAAAAGATACACTGGTATTCATTACTGTGAAAGTGGCGTGAAGATCCAAAACACTTAGCACAAGAAGCAATACCTGAATTTTTAATATTGACATCGAATCATTGCTTCTACATGATCCGGACATCTGACGCATCACCGATACCTTTTCCAACAGCTACTGGCTGGGAAGAATAAGCAACAAGGACCTCCGGAACTCAACAAACCGACCAACAACCTAATGTCCAATAAGTGTGCAGAAGAAAATGGAGATAGCGTGGACACAAATTGAAGAGACTGATGAGTGATTTCACGCATCAGATCGTCAAATGGAACCTGAATAAAGAGCGACGGGTTAGGCATCAAAAGTTGTCATCGTGTAGATGGATTATGAAATGAGAGTTTAGAGGGAATCTCGGGACCAGCCTAAGCTGACTGCAGAGAACGAAATTAAATGAGGATGTGTTGCTGAGGCCTTGTGTTCCACTTGGAACCCAAGAGAACAATAATATCTCAAGTAGCTTTCAAGACTGTTTAGTGGTTTTACAAGTGCCATCGGGTTACTTCTGAGTGATTAGAAAATGAATATAAGTGTAACAGAAAACCATAACAAGTATTACGAGTTATTTCCTACGCTTACATCAGCAAATTGTTTTCAGTCTAAGAAATCTCTCAATTTTAAGTAGTTTTAGTCGTCTAGCTCAAGTCTTTAGGTCTTGTGTTAATCTGAAATCAAGTTTCTTGTTGACTAAACAAAAATCTGCAGTGTACTGAGTAATTTAGAAATTCCTAAAGCATTGGGTCACTTCATATATGTTAAACGACTGCATGGGGTAAGTTTTACCAAAAATTGATTTAAACTTCAGTATATCTACTGATAAGTCTATCTTACACTTGCGGAAAGGTTTTACATATTCTATCAACTGTATTACTGTATCTAAACCCAATAAGTTTCTGCTAGCTTTAAATGACAGTTTCTATTATCCAGCTGACAAATCAAGTTTTATCCATTAAAAGAAGGCTATCATAAATGTACTACTAGTGTAGCAACAGAAGACAAGGGCCAGGCAACAGATTGTTTATTAAGGAAACCAGCAAGTATTTATATATATTTCATGTACATTATTATAGCTTATTCAAGCAGGCAAACACAGTCTTCTGATTGGTTGTTTCTTGCTCAAGGTTATTTTGTACTGCTTGTGACTGGTTTCTCAGAAAGTTAAGCCATATGTCTGCGAATCGTATTTGACCACGTTTAGTTTGCTGTGATTGGTTGTTGGATCAGTCTTGTTCATATTTTCTCAAGGCCAATATTAGCGACATAGACACTGACGTAAATTAATGTCTACCAATTGGCTGGCAGCCTGCTCTCACCACACTAGTAGAGATATCAGTCACTTACGTGCTAGGTGTGCACACACCCTTATCTCCCTTACAAAAGTTGAAATATTACTTTGCTTACTAAACTTTACAGATATTTACTGGAAAATGAGTAGTCAGTCCTGATATATTCGTTCTGCTGAAATAGCTGAAAATTAAAAAATGAGTGTTCAGGGGATCTGGAATTAGATTCTGATCAAAGATTTTACCTTTAAAATCTGTGTAGTTATCACTTATGCTACAAAACAACTTAGCTTTTTAGTCTACGAGTTTATTAGTTTACAAAATTTGCAGATCCTTTGATTTTGAGAGCATGGAAGACTTAGTCTGGGCTAAATATTTTGTTGAGTAACAAAACATCATTAAATACACTATTTTTAATTCAGAGAAAGTCGAGTTTTAAGAAACACTGAATTCAGATTACATTTCTCCTAAACAAATCTTAATATACAATGCATTAAATGAACTTGTCTTTGGCGAAAGGTAGCATAGTGTTTAGACTGGCCCAAATTCATTGATTTCTGATCAAAGCATAATAATATTTAATATTAAGTTTTGGTTTACAAGAGTTTGATTGGTTACAGGTTGGATCACGAGCTGATTTTTGAAGAGTGACAGACTAGGATGAAACGACTGTCAAGTACTCTCTGATTTTCCAGTGATTCTCTTACCAAAATAAGCTTACGATTAAACTTGTTATCATAATATTTAATTTATGTTAAAACTTCCTTTAAAGACGGAATTTCTCAATGTCTTTTTAAGCGTAGCCACTCATTCAAGAACAAAATGCATGCACTACCACGCCTTAATACAAGGGATACGCCAGAAAGACAAAACTTCAAAATGCCACTGGTTAAATGTCTTTTTTACTGAGTTTAAAGCTTCCTATAATCTCCACAGTGTTTATGAGTAAGACACGAAATCAAATAAAATAAACTGATATGTTCCGCTTCTGTAGAAATACATGCTATTGGATCTACTGATATAAGTATAAAATTTGAACACTGTGGTAGAGTATAATTCCATTATGGATGAAATTTATTTTCATAAAGTCCCACAGTGTTATACAGTAATATTTACTGATAACCACGTTTCGAGCACACTTTATTGCTCATATCATATCAAGGTACTCACATAACTATCTTGCTTCATTGATATACATGAGTAAAAATTGATTAGATATTTGAATAAATCCAGTGTAAGACTTGCGTGAAACAGATTGGAAGATAAAGTACATTCGGAAATAACATTAGTGTTATCAATAAAATACAATAAGATAGGAAATAAGATGTTTTCATAGTAAAATAAATAACTTGTTAGGATGTTATAATGTAAATTGAATACATTGTAACATTACTTATTATCCTCTTATGTGACCAGTAATAATATCTTCCATAACTCTGGTAAATGCGTTGAGTCACTTCTATTGCATATGTTGGGTGTAGACTCGATGAACAAGGATTCAGTAATCAACCTCTGTCTTCACCTGTAACGACAGAAGGCAAAAGTCAGGCAACAGATCGTTTATTAAGGAAATCAACACGTATTTATGTATTTTCATGTACATTATAATAGCTTACTCAAGCGAGCAAACACAGTCTTCTGATTGGTTGTTTCTCACAGAAAGTTAACCTTGTATCTCTTTGTGACTGCTTCTTGAATGTCAAATCATCTATATGTTAACTGTATCCGCCTACGCAAAGTGTGCTGTGGTTGTTTGTTGAATCAGTCTTTGTTTATATTTTCTCACGACCAATATTTGGGATATAAACATTGAGGTAAACTAATGTCTATCAATTTGGCTAGCAGCCGGCTTTCACCACACACCTACCTATATTACTTTTTAGAATTTCGACTCTGTCCCATCTTGTTGTGTGGTTTTGCTAATGCACGCAGTGCTATAATTGAGTTTTTTGCTAAAATACTTATCTTCATGGGATCAATCATTCTAACCTTAGCTAAATTCTTATGTTCTGATTATCTCACTACTCCAGATCTACTAGTTTGACCTATATAGTTGACTTCACTCACAGTCATTGCATGGTATTTTTTAAATTATATTATTTTGTTCAGTTGAATTCACTGGGTCTTTTAGCCTACAGAGCTTTTCCTATCTGAGTGAGTTTCTGGGTCTGAATACCACCCTAATTCCTGCTTTGAGGAGAATCCTACGTAGGGTCTCAGATGTCCCCTCCTTATATGCCTTATATTCTTTCGTATTTATGTTATCATTATTAGTTTTCTCAATAATTTTATTTTGCTTTTGACCTTTTTTGATCCTCATAATGAATTTTATAGGATAGTTAGTTACTTAACACCAACACTAATTATCACAAAATGTCCTAATGAGCCTTCATAATTTACCTTCATATCCGTATTCAACCGAATGCATCAGTTCATGAAGTATATATTATATTTTAAATGTAATCATACACAATAAATGAACATTAAAAGAAATTTCCTTCACAATGTGAAAAATAAATAGACTCTATGTTTGTTTGTTGTTGTTTTTTTCAATATTTACAGTTTTGAACAATTTTGTATTAATTATGCCAATGAAAATTTTCAACAATTTTTTGTTCGACATATATTTAAACTTGAACAAGAAGAATACTTATCTGAATGTATTAATTGGAATCATATAGATTATGTAGATAATCAAGATGTATTAAATTTAATTGCTATACAACCAATGAATATATTAGCATTATTAGATGAAGAGAGTAGATTTCCACAAGGTACAGATAATAGCTTTTTACATAAAATCAATTCAAGACATTCATCCAATCCATATTATGTACGAACAGCATCGGAAACAGATAAGGTAAGTTCGAGCTTATGTCCCTTTAGAGTATATATGTATATTAAAAGTTAATCTGAACGAAGAATATTCTTTTCAATAATTTCTCTTCTTTTTGTACTTTGCTTATTATTACAAATATTATTATTATTATAGTTATTATTATCACAATTATTATTATTCGTCATAATTTTTGCCCTTTATGCAAACATTCCCTCAATACTATCGAATTTTCATTTATACGAACTTATTATTAGTGATATTATCTGTTTTCTTAATATATGCCTCCACCTGTTTCATTTCACATACTCGTTATCTCATTATGAACTTCTCAATGCAGTCTTATTATCTCCTGTTTAATATAGACCACTTTGTACTAGCCACTCACCTGACACCTTCGATAACCTTGAACTGATTTGTTAGTTTTCCTACCCCACACTCTACAAATCTATTATGACCACCATTGTCTCCCGTTTTACAATATTTTCTAATCGATTTCAGCCTAGCACGTTTGTCACACAATTGCGACTATTTATTTTGACACCCCATAACTAATCTGTTATTCGACGTTAAAAATATATCCGACGCATAACTGGTCTTTATTGTAACGACAACAAATATAGTAATTTATAATTGTAAGAAGCTGAAGAGATATTATTGAAAAGAATATTCTTCGTTCAGATTGACTTTTAATTCATAATATGGGAATATTTCACACTATCAAATATATGTATATCCCTAAATCTGCAAAGTTACAGTTTAAGCACCACTAACTACCAATCAGCGAATCACCTCAAATGCACCAATCACTTGAAGGAGGCATTTTTGTGTATGAAATACATGTATTTATGAAAAGATGCATAAAAACTGTACAAAAAAGTTACAGACCATACCTTTCTCTCACATGTGATAAAAGTAGCTTTCAGTTTTAGGTTGGTGTATCAACAGAGTATAATGCTATTGTGGGTAAAATTTATTTTGATAAAGTCTCATAGTGTAATACAGTAATATTTCCTGAGGAATAAGTTTTGCTCAAAACGTCATCAGTAAATTTTTTTATATTTTTGACTACAGCTTAATTCCACACCGTTTTTTGGTACAAGCATGGAATTTTAAGCGTGTGATATCGGTAGCCCAAATTTTGCAGGCCTACCATTGATATCAAGCGTGCATCTGCAGGGAATCGAACCCTGGATTATGTGCATGGTTGGCGAGAGCCCTAACCACTGTGCCACCGACGCACATTACTTTATAACACTGTGAAACTTTATCAAAATAAATTTTACTCACAATGGAATTATACTCTATCACCACAATGCACTAGTTCTATTCTTACATCAACAAAGAAATTTAACCACATTCTATGCATATAATTATTTAGGTCTTCTAACCCTAACAATAATCCGAATCTTTCCTGAATCTAACCCTAACGCGAAAATATCACTAAACTAACTTTAATCTAATTCGAACCAAACATACTGTAGCCTTTGTTAGGTTAACGAAACCCTAACTTGTCTTTGGCTTAAAACCTAACGTAGTCTTTGCCATACCTAAGCTGAAACTTGCCAGAAATCCCTTGTAATAGAATAACTCTTCGATGAGCATATTTTATTGATGATGACAACATTATTTGCCAGGTTTCACCAACTTGCTCAGTGAGCGTTTCAGGGTCATCGGTGTGGCCGCACTCTACTAGTAGTCAGTTAGTGGTGCTTAAAGTTTAACTTGGCCCCTAACTCTTATAAGATGAAATAAAAGATTTTGTGAATCAACTTTTGTTGGAAACTGTTGTGTGTACGTCTACACTTTGGGACTGTTTAGCATCCATTAAAAACAGTTATTTCCTAGTACGAATTTAAAACAAGCAACACAGTTTAATGAAGCAGGATTTAATGATTTCATCAAATTTCGGTAGTACTCTTCAGCTGAATACTCTGCATATAGGGACATATATATATATATATATATATATATATTATTAAAATTACATTGGGAGATATATGGGTGATAAGCAGATAAACTGGATTGATTTAATCATGCAAAATGACATGTGTGAATGTTTTTCAGGTCATGTTTAAATAGATAAAGGGAAGGGTGTATAAGAGATTAAAATTAAGATAAATTTGCGTTAAGGTTCAATCACATCACAACTAGCCATAACAGAAAGAACTCAAATATATCAAGAATTGCGAAGTGAGTAATAATAATAATAATGAGGATACTGCTGAAACCAGTTAAGATAATGCAACATGATAGAAGACGGTTTTGAATGAATCAAGAATAATAAAATATAGAAAAAATATTAATGGTAATAATAATAACAGTTAAAAGGTAAGACATTCAGAGTGACCACCAGGTTTCTGTGTATAAAAGTAAATGGTTGTTCTAACAGTCATTACCGATGAAATTATACTACTGGCTTTTATACAGACAGATCAAAGTGTCATTCAGCCGTGGTTAATTATGTTCGATATAGAGTTTGATTATTCGGATACACACGTAGATATAACAGAATTTTAAAGCAACCTTCTTACCATATTTAAATAACTAAGTAACGTCTTTGTATACTCGAAAGTATTTGAGTAGTTGGGTTCTCTACACTGACATTTTTGGCATCTCTGTTATTGAAGATTTTCACATTTCTCCCAGTTGAAGTGGTGTCCCTAGCTGTCAGTGCATTTCGTGTTTTTAGTAGCAAGTTTGCGTTTTTATCTGAGAAAATAAACAGAACGTCCACTATGACTAATATTTTTCATGGTTTTGTCTTCTTTTATTGTTGAGCCTTTTGTTAATACGGTACGATGCGATATCATATCGTTGGTTTGTGAACGACATCTTTTCCAAAATATTTCAGAAATTTTGTGGTGATTTAGCGATGTTCTTTATATAGGTTAGAACAATTGTTATCATGTTTTGATTTGCAGATTTTGAGTTGGCTGGTTGTGTTGATGGTAGGCAGCCTTTGATAAACTTCTGTGGATATCCAGTTTCCTGGAAGTAATTCTTAAAATATTTCTCCTCTACTCTCTTGAAGACAAAAGTGCTACAGCGTATTCTGGCTCTTTTGATTAATATGGTTACATACAACCCTTTTTCTATACTATTATTTTGTTGCTGTTGTAATTAAGTATTCGATTTGTATGAGCTGATTTTTTAAAAGTACTTGAGATGCATTTATTACAACTCACTTTTGAAGTAAACTTAATCACATAGTAATTCATTAGATAAACCATAGAAATGCCAGTGTGATATTTCTATATTCTGTCTAAAATTTTAAGCACGGTTGTAAGTCAGATAGCAGTTTCTTTCAGAAACTGACTACTATTAAGCAAGTTTGTATAAAGTAAAGAGTATACGTTAAAAGTTGTATGTACATGCTCTAATAAGGAAGAATTATAAAGATGTTATACAAAGCTTTCGTCTTACTCGGATCTGTAATAAACTCGATTACTTTGGACTGATCTGCAGTGTGAAAAAGATTTTACTCGAAGTAAGTAAAACTTAAAACTAGTTATCAATAAGAAAGTCTTTAAACTTCCAGGGAAGAGTAATTTATTACTCAACCCTACGATCAGGAAAAAGTCCTTTTCTTTCAAAGAGTTCAAGTAGACACATCTGTACTATAAGTTGCTGTTTCTCAATATTTTCCAGAGATAAATTTGACGGAGAGTACTGTTATTTCTCAACATGATTATAACCGAGACTATGAGGCATTTATTCTGATTTCAGATTTTTATTCTATCTAAAGAATATTGGAGACAAAAGTGCATTTCGTTTGGTAGTAAACATATATGAAGCCTTAAAAAAGAATACAGCACTCAAACTAAATGTAAGAAATATTATATATTATTATTGTTCCCTCGAGTTTCAAGTGGAGTACAGGGTTTCAACATCACATCTCTATTTTCTTCTATTTTCCGCCATCCTCTGCGGCTGAGCCCAAAAGTGGCCATCATCTCTCATTTCCTCCTCTTCACCAAATGATCTCCTCCATATCACCATAGCATCGATGACTCACTCGTCGGTTCCCATTAAGATTCCACTCCATCAATAGCCTGCATTGAGCGCGATGTCATTTGATGGCCTCCTCAGTGTATAGCAAATTCATCTCCACTTTCTCCTACATTTTATTTATTTATTTTCTATTTTTGATTACAGCTTGATTCCACACCGTATTTTTGGGACAAGTATGGAATTTTCAGCGTGGATATCGGTAGCCCAAAATTCTCAGGCCGACCATAGATATCAGGTGTGCGTCGGCGTGGGCTCGAACCCCGGACCATGTGCAAGGTCGGCGAGAGTCCTAACCACTGTGCCACCGACGTCATACATATTTATTGAACAATAGGTTCTTGGTTAGTTTTCTCCCAGCCAGAGTATCTTGTTGATAATTCTTTCTGGCTGGCCGGCCGGATGGCCATTTGATCTTCAGTAAGGAGCCAGCCTTCAAAAGGGGCAGCTGTTGGCAGAAGTTTGTAACTCATTGGAAATCCTCTTAGTGACACGCATTGCGAGTTTCCGACCTATATAAAAGATCTGACTTCACATTTGTGTTAAAAATTCGAATAAAATATATATATATATATATATATATATATTTAACTTTAAGATACACAAACCTCATCATACCTTAACATCTTTTCCCTAGCGTTTTGGTATTCAACACTTTACGGGTGTTGTTTATTATTACGTCGACGGATTTCTTGACAAAAACCGGGACACTGTCAGTTCAAATTTAGTTAATTTAATACTACAATCTGAAAATGAATTTCTTCGTTCGTTATTTACCAATTCATACTTATTGGTAAGTTGTAGGCTTTGTTGTGTGTTTTTTCCACTTTCAGACGGATAAATCGTCTCAGAGTAGTTGTAATCATTTTGCAAATCATTAAAATCAAATGCATACATTTAATAACAATTACGGTTTGTTATAGGTTTGAAGCCTGAATATCTTATCCTATAATTCTTTATTCATGTTGTTACCAGAACTCTCAGTTATGTTTTATGTGTAAATTAGCCAAAGGGAATTTTTTTTAGAGAAAATGGTCAAATATGGCTAAAATATATGTTTGATTTTACCGTTGTTTATTTTATAAAAAATCTTAATCAATTTTTCCCATTTTCCTTAACATCTTTCAAGAAAAAATTCTTTTACTTGCATCACCTGCTTACACATTATTTCTATGTGTAGCAAATTGCGTTGATGCATTTTTGAGTAAGGTGCCTTCTTAATCTACTTGTTTTGTTTGCTAAGATGAGTCCTGATATAAAGAATAAAAACCAAAATAACAACTCTTGAAATAACGTTGAAGATCTGATCCACAAACCTCATGCATATTTTGGTCAAACGTGGAACATCCACTAAAACTGATGATTGTGTAGGTTAAGACGAAGTTATCATCATTAGGTGACAGTGTCCGAGCGGCGAACTGATCACGAGACTTTGTAGTCCCATGGGGTTTCTGAAGAAATTTAAAGAAGAAATTAGACAAAACAGTAGTTCCTTTCTTGGTCGCTTTGTTCTTACAAATTATTCTACATCAATAGGGAAATCTCTCAAAGTATTATAATAAGGTGAGACCGAGTCGTTCGAAGAGTTTCCGGCTGCATCTTATGTCCACAGCAGCAGCTGTTACTATCTATACACAAGGAAATCTCTGGACTGTGTAAACAGTAGTAGTTTATTGATTGGATTTTGATTATTGATTACAGCTTGATTCCATACAGAACTTTTGGTAGAAGTATAGAATTTTTGGCATGTGATATCGGTAACCCGAATTTTGCAGGTCGACCATAAATATCAGATGTTAGTTAGCGGGGGATCGAACCCCGAACCTCTCTCTCTCTTTCCCAGCTAGTACGAAAACTTGATATATGGTCTCTATTCATTCACTCAGTTTCTGCCTTCCTTTCAAACTACCGACTTGAAAACATACTTTATAAATATTCCGAATCTCCTGCTTGTTTAAATAATGTTCTTATTTTCAAGCGCTTGGAACTTTTAACTTTTATTGGTAATCACATCTGATCGATGCCCACCAATGATTGTTTTTTGATTAAGTAATTTACTATTTTGCTCGATATATAAATTTTTAAGTTTCGTTGCCAATCGGAATGGAAAATATTTCCTTAGGGAAACTTCTTGGCCTTCAACAACCAAAGGCGGAAGGGATGAAGGTGTTAACACCAGCCAGAATGGGAAAGGCAAGATTCGTCTTCATCAACTTGAAACCAGCTCGGATATCTTCTGCAATATCTCAGAATAAACAACAACATTCGGGTTCTCAACACCAATGTTAAGTCGGCCAGTCAGTCAGTTCTTCTATATAGGTCGGAAACTCTCAATGACTGTCACGAGAAGCATTTCCGACAAGCTACTGCAGACTGTTATCAACAGCTGCCCCTTTCGCCGGCTCCATACTGAAGATCAAATGGCTAGCCGGTCATCCAGAAAGAATCAGCAACGGCAAACCGTGGTGATAAACCAACCAAGAGGCGATTTTTCAACAGATATGTAGCAGAAAATGGAGATGGGTTGAGCACACACTGAGGATACCATCGAATGGCACCGCGCTCAATGCAGGCTATTGCTGGAGTGAAATCCTAAAGGGAATCAACAAGTGGGTCGTCCATGCGATGGTGACATTGAGGGGATCATTTGGTGAAGAAGAGGATATAAGAGATTATGAACAATGGTGAACTCGGCTGAAGATGGTCAGCAGAGAATAGAAGAAAATGGAGATATGTTGCTGAAGCCGTATGTTGCTCTCGGAACCCGAAGGGAATAACAAGCATATAAATATAGAGCTTTTAAGTGAAGTTACGAAGAGAAACATGTCTTTTGCATTTATAATTTGTTTGTTTCCTTTAAATATTATTTCCAATCGCATACTGCTCTTTAATCAAGAGTGTCTATTCTGGCCGGTCCCTCATTCAAAATAACTCATTCGTGGCGGTTGCTACTCTATTTGCTTATCAAAACTCGAAAAATGAAGCTAAAGAAAATCATAAATTTAGAACAACAGATATTTAAGCCAACAATATTGTGGTTTCAATTAGATCTCATCAGGCTTAACGCTAATATACTTGAGTTTACAAATAAAAATTCAAATGTAAACCAATCATGGTGTTTTGTCTATAGGATAATACGATGGTGAATATAAATTGTGCAATTAGTCATAATAGTGCTAATGATAATAATAATAATAAATAATAGTGGTCTTATCACTAATAAGGATGAAAAAGTGTGGCAATCTGTGATAACCCGAACAATTAAAAACAGCATGATTAAACAAACAATTGTTCAGGTGGAAGTAGTCGATAAAGACTAGTAAAAACAAATGAACCGATTAAGTAATGTTAGATTGTAAGGGAAGGAAATTAAACACGTTTATAATGAAGATGTGATAAGATTAAGGGATGATAAGAAAGGGGTTGAAAATATAAACAAGGGCTGGTGTAGAACTCTTTAGTTGGTTATGTCTTAATAGGCCGAGGGAGAAATAATGGCTGTATGAACTACTTTTGAATGCATAGTTTAGGTTTAATAGTTCGAATGCCTATCGCCTCAGTTGTGTGCAGTAGACGAATACGAAGTCTATTAGAAAGATTCGGCGGGATACGATGAATTACTTTGAAAGCTCTCATTTTCTCGACTACATGACCACTATCAATTAAATGTGACAGAATTGAGCTACGGATTGCTTTTGTTTGTCCTTTGCCAAACCATGATGGGAGATGTTCACTAAAACGTTGGCTAAGCTGTCTAGTAGTACGCCCAACATAACTGTCACCGCAGGTGCAGTTGAATTGATAATTATACATAGATGGGGCAAAAGTATCAAGCTTATCCTTCGTTTGCGTCCCAGTGGAAATTTCTAAATTTTACTATGGGAATATTTAATAAAATCATAAATGCCACTATCATTTTAATACACTATCATTAAAGCTTTAAACGGCATTGAATACAAAGAATTCAACCAGGAGTAATTTGCTTTACTTTATAAAATAATTATTTCTAATTTTCTATTATTTTAGGCATCAGAACCCGTAAACGTTTATCAACTCTTAGCATTCAGTTTAAAAAATCATTAGATAATCTAATGCGTACACTAAACAATTGTCAGCCATTTTTTGTACGTTGTATCAAACCGAATGATGTTAAACAACCAAATTTATTTGACAGAGAACTTTGTCTTAAACAGTTACGTTATTCTGGCATGATGGAAACAATACGTATACGTCGTGCTGGTTATCCTATTCGACACAAATTTGTTGAATTCATTGATCGATATCATCCAATTATTATAAATTGTATGAAAAATAATATAGAAGGCAAAGAAATGAGTAGAATAGTTCAAGAAGTATGCGCCAGTGTTTTAGTAAATAAAGATTATTGTTTAGGTCGGTCAAAAATATACCTGAAGGTAGGTTTGATGTTAACCATTGAATTATATATATATATATATATATATAATACTGTGATAATATTTATAATCATAATAGTCTTTTGATTCGATACTAGTAACCAGTGTCCACTACAGTCGATTACGAGCCCGAATAACTCAGTGATAACGTCTCTGACTGCAGCGCTGGGTGACGCCGGTTCGATTCTCAGTGAGGATATGAGTTCCTTGCTGATGAGTGCCAACTAGCACGAAACCTAGGTCGAAGGCTTCCTGCCGATTGCCTCCAACCATCTAATATCCTATTAGTTTGTTTATTAGATGTATCACACAGTGAAACAGTATTATTTACTGGATGACACAGTTTCGAACAAAATTCATTGCTGTTCATAATCATATCAATTGTAATCACACGACTTTGAAACTTGAGCTTTATCGTTTTCTTTGTTCTGTCCTATTTGTCATCGAAATGGTAGTAGAATTTTCCAGATATCTGACTAACACAGGTGTCGAATCATTCCTATTACATGCATTTGCAGTTGATTCGATAAACAAAGCTTCTGTTATCAATCTCTCCCTATACCCTGTGACATTAGATTTTAAAACTGTCATCCTATCCCATCCTATTGTGTGTTTGTGTGTAACTGCATGTAGTGCTATAGCTAAACTACTCTCTAGATTTCTTATCTTATTCGGGTCAAATAATCTAGATTTTGCTAAGTTTTTATGTTCGGCTAGTCTGACTGCCCCTGTTCTACTAGTTTGACCTATGTATTTGCCCTGACAATCATTGCAGTTAGGGTATTAGATAAACTAAATTGTATTGTTTTAAAGACTCCACAGGATTGATCGTCTAACCGACAAAGCTTATTTCTAAGTGAGTTTGTGGGTGGTTTGTATGACACTTTTATCTCTGCCTTGTTAAGAATTCTGCGTAAGGTTTCCGAGGTTCCTTCCTTGTACGGAATTACTACTGATGATTTAGATTCTTTATTGTTGGTGTTGTTTTGCGCACATTTGACCTTAGACTCACCTAGGAACGTCTTTATTCGGCGTATGTGAATTATCTAAATATTTAGCCATGGTATTAAATCCCTTAAAAATCCACTCGAAATCTAGACTAACTAATTCTTATAAACTAAAACACAGATTAGATAATTTGAAATTAGATAATAAAGAAAAAATGGTTAGTTTTGACATTGTCAGTTTATATACACGTATACCGATAAATATGGCTATAGAGGCGGTCAGAAACGAACTCATTTCTGACCAAGAAATCGAACTTCGGACAAAAGTGCCACTTGAGGATATAAAGGTGGGAGTGCAGCTTTGCCTGACTTCTACAGTATTTAAATTCCAAGGGAAAATATACAAACAAACTGAGGGAGTTGCCATGGGATCACCAATATCCCCGGTTGTAGCAGATATATTCATGGATAGGTGGGAAAAGATAGCGATTGAAACGTTCACCCCCACCATAAAAGTATGGTGGAGGTATGTAGATGACACATTCACTGTACTTAGACCACAAGATATAGATAGATTTTTCGAGCACATCAACTCGAAGGTAGAGGTAATTCAATTCACTTATGAATTGGAAAGTCAGGAAGAGGAACTTCCAATGTTAGATTGCAACGTAAAAAGGAAAGAAGATGGGAAGCTAAACACTAGTGTTTACAGAAAACCTACACATCCAAACCGATATTTGGATTTCCGATCATCCCACCTTATGTCAGTAAAAATAGGATTAGTTAAATGTTTAAATGACAGCACAAAAACTAAGTAGTACCAAGGAAAATCTAAGACAGGAAGTGATGCACATAAAAGAAGCCTTGAAACTTAATAATTACCCGGATAAATTAGTCAAAAAATATGTAAGTAAATGTAAAAATAAAATAAATAATGATAATAGCGATAGTGATAATAATAATAATGATAACAATAATAATAATGGTAATAATAATAGTGATAATAACAGTATTAATGACGACACCAAAAATAAGGAATCTAAATCATCAGTAGTAATTCCGTACAAGGAAGGAACCTCGGAAACCTTACGCAGAATTCTTAACAAGGCAGAGATAAAAGTGTCATACAAACCACCCACAAACTCACTTAGAAATAAGCTTTGTCGGTTAGACGATCAATCCTGTGGAGTCTTTAAAACAATACAATTTAGTTTATCTAATACCCTAACTGCAATGATTGTCAGGGCAAATACATAGGTCAAACTAGTAGAACAGGGGCAGTCAGACTAGCCGAACATAAAAACTTAGCAAAATCTAGATTAGTTGACCCGAATAAGATAAGAAATCTAGAGAGTAGTTTAGCTATAGCACTACATGCAGTTACACACAACCACACAATAGGATGGGATAGGATGACAGTTTTAAAATCTAATGTCACAGGGTATAGGGAGAGATTGATAACAGAAGCTTTGTTTATCGAATCAACTGCAAATGCATGTAATAGGAATGATTCGACACCTGTGTTAGTCAGATATCTGGAAAATTCTACTACCATTTCGATGACAAATAGGACAGAACAAAGAAAACGATAAAGCTCAAGTTTCAAAGTCGTGTGATTACAATTGATATGATTATGAACAGCAATGAATTTTGTTCGAAACTGTGTCATCCAGTAAATAATACTGTTTCACTGTGTGATACATCTAATAAACAAACTAATATGGAATTATTTACTACCACAGTCCGGAAGTTATACACATATATTAATAGTGAAATAAGTGACTGAATGCATTGTAATGGGTAATCGAGAAGATTTGTAGCTCAGGTGGATAATTTGCAACTATTAGTTTTCTCTAAACTGGCTGGTTTAGTTTCGGAGCTTTCGTCGTCCTTCTGGACAACATCTTCAGCGCAATTTTCAGCATAAAGTGAACTGATTTAAATTTTTCCATAAGTGATAATAATAATAATTTTTGCTTTATTCCAAAAACAGTACTAGTGATACAGCAAGGAATTTTCAGAACTCAGTACAATACTGCATCTAATTTACTCAAAACGACAAAAAAATAAACATTACGTAATAATAATAACGAAACGTTGTTATAACAGCTGTGTAGCAATTACAGTATGCGATAAGAGAAAAATATGCACACAGTATAAAATTGTAGTAATAATAGTAATAACAACTAAAATAAAATAGCTAAGTTATAAATAAACAATAGGAAGGGTGACACCATAAAATTACAGAAAGATGAACGATGAAAGGGTTGACTGACTTTGCCAATTACATAGTAACTTATATGTTTCACGTCTAACAGTGTCTTCATCACATAAAATACGGGTTAGATAGGGTATTGTAGAATTTTTATACCTAGTGGTGCGAGCATATAACTTCTTATATTGACTTCTCATCCTACCTGATGAGATGCAAGGGGGAAGTTTTGAATAAAGGGAGTGCAGGGGTTTGATAGTACGGCCTTTGCCCACTTTGTACATGATTTTATATGTCTCTCGACTATAATATTGGCGAGCTCACGCAGTGGCATACCACAAGTCCTACTCACAGCATTCAACACCCTTCGTAATATGATATAGTCATTTTTGAGAAGCCCAGGAAAGATTAATGGAGAGCAATTGAATACAATAGGTGAAATACGGGAGTTTACAAACTGCAGAAGTAAAGGTTGGTTGATACCTGATTGTCTTAACTTTTTAATGTAGAAGGTAAGACGAAACATTTTCTTAGAGATTAATAAGATGTAAAATGACCATGTCATCCGGTAACCATCTTTACTAATGTATTGATCATTTTCTATTGACTTGGATTTTAAACTTTCTGGTTACATGATTTACTTTTTATCAGTTGGTATATTTGGTCTATATTAACGTGTTTGTTAATTGCATATTCGTTTGAGTACCAGGCTTCTAGGAATTCCCTGGCACTTTTGGTGTTTCCTTTGTCTAAAATTTCGACATTATCCCAATCAAAGTGATGTCCATAATTATATATATGCATTGATATGAAAAAATATATATTATGTCTTTTCACAGCTGATTTGTGTTCCTGGATTCTGATTCGAAAGGGACGCCAACTTTGGCCTATGCAATTCCTGTTACAGTTCATATTATTTATTTTGTAAATGGTATTGGTGTGTAAATGGGCAAATGTAATGGGTATTATTTATTGCGAATAATGTTTTAATTAGACAAAAAAGTTAATCATAGTAGAAATTTGCATAGAAGTGAAGCAATAGAATTATGATGCTTCAAAAATTGTCTCTTAAAAATGACAGCAAGAGTGTAATGATGCTATAATGCAAAAATCCTGCTGATTCTAGTTAGTTTAGATGACAACTCACTAAAATCTGTTACCTAGCTGTACTGGTTTAATTAGAGAAATATACTTCACTTTTGCCTTCGCGCTGCCTCCACTCCCATATATTGTGACATGCATGACCTCTCCACAGACAGAATGGAGTACTATATTAAAGTCAAAGGGTGAAAATTTCATCGATGTAATGTTGTTTAGGTGTAAAATTTTATTTTGTCCCCATTGGGCTTGTATTTCTGCAGCTTTAACTGATTTTCATACGGCTTTGAAGCACAGTATTTTAGACACCATACTAAACAAGCTGATAATGTTACTGTAACAATAGGAAGATTAGTTCTTTCATTGATAGTTAGTATTAATTACCAGTCTGCATCAGTACAATGGATACTGAGTCTTTGGAAGTATGTGGATTTCCTTTTTTTTTTTCTTCATATAAAACTGTGATAAAATTTTAACCATCAGACATGTTGTCATAGACAACCTTCACCGACACATGTCTTCGTTGAAGAAAGGCCTTGGTACCATCAGAGTAATGCACCTTTTAGTAATTGTGTAGGTACACACGCATTTAGTTTGTAAAAATGTAGGTCGTAGACGTTTATATTCAAAAGTGAACTTTGTCGAGGAGGAGAAACGGACATTTTTCTTCATGAATTTAGTATATCTATATTCATGAAGAAAACCCATTCGAATTAACATTTACACTTTGGATCATCACACTCCATCAGCGCAAAGGTATCAATTGTTGCAAGTGTTCTTAGACGAGAACACTCTTTGATATTGGATGAGAAAAAAAGCAGAAGAAATATCAAACATTACTGAAACTTTCAAGCAAAACAACTACTCAAAGAACTTCATCAACAAAATCGACATTAACTTTAAGTATGTCCGGGGTTCGAGCCCACGCCGACGCACACCTGATATCTATGGTCGGCCTGCGAAATTTGGGCTACCGATATCCACGCTGAAAATTCCATACTTGTACCAAAAATACGGTGTGGAATCAAGCTGTGATCAAAAATAAAAAAATAAAAACATATTCCGAAAACATGGACCTCGACAGTTGTCATTCCATATGGAGCAGAGATGTCAGTCGATATCAGAAGACTACTCGATAAGCAAATCATCAGTGTTTTTTTCAAAGCGTCAGACACAGTACAAATCAACCTTGTTCATATAAAAGACAAAACCCCTAAGGGTTCTCTGTCTAGTTTTGTCTACAAAATAAAATGCTTGGAATATGGTGTGATCTACACCAGCCAAACATCACGAGAAATAAAAAAATAAGAAGAAATGAACACCGTAGACCATCTATTCGACCATCAAGAAAAAAATCCAACTGAACTAGAAAAGCTTGAAAAATCAACAGCCATAGACTTACACAGTATAGAACCAGGCCACAAACTGATTTTGACAATATTGAAACAATCCGTAATAATTTCAGAAACCACCAAGAACGTCTAATATCAGAAGCACTTCAAATCAAGTGGAATCCAAATTGTTTGAATAAGAATGAGGGAGTAAAACAGAATTTGACCTGATTACAACACCTCCCTCTCCCATGATGTGAAAAAATCAACATGAATGTGATAAGCAACTTCATTATGTAAACGCACGCCGCTTTTATAATTTTACACACTTATCAAATCCAACAATCTACACATGATGGTTTTGTTATCTTTACCAATTGGCTAACTTGACAACGGAAAAATGACGTCATGCTGATGAACGATGATTAAGTTGTTATATATAAGCTGAGATTTTGTAAATTCTGGTTTAACAATGATTTGGTAAAGCTATTGTCAGCAGCATTAAATAGAGAAGTGTCAGTGAAGGCAGTATTATCGTTTTGTTTTTCATTCATTGGGAAATAAAAAAAACCTTAATTATAATGAATATCGTATACCCAATGCCCAAAATTTTTCAAACTGTTAAAAGTGAGCTTGGTTTGAACATGTATATTAAAAGTGACTTTAAAGGTTATTACCTGGAAATATTCGATTCATGTTAACAATGTAACATTAGAGATGTTCTCGCATATATATGGGAAAACTGATCAATCAAAGGCTATGGTACATCTTTCCCTAACCACACTAACGAATGTAGATATGTTACAGGTTGCTTCTGAAGATAACTGTCAGACTGGTAAGGTTATCAATAAAATATCTCATTTTACTGGTCACTGACATCGTCTTCTTTACAAGGTTGGTTGAATATAAACTTCTATTATTAAACATTTGATGTCCGAAAACTTTAAGAAGTATTAATTTTATGCAAAGGTTTAGTTCAGTGGGTTAGCATACTTTCCATTCACTATATCTAATATAGTAGATACAGTCGGTTATGTTAAATAAATCGCATATCAGGTTCAAAATTTACAATAAGTAGACTTTACCAGTAAATGAGAGATGAAATCAACAGCAAATCTGAACCTTGAAAAATACTGTTGCATTCGCTTTCATTAGGAACTTACTCTCCGGATTGTTATTGGGAAAACGAAGTGTTGCACTCTGTTATCATTGCATTTAAACAAACTTCATTTTATCGTTTCTACTGTATGTCATTTCAGTATGTACACGATACACAACTAGAATATGAACGTGATCGTATTCTGAATCAGTCTGCTACAAAACTTCAAGCTAATTGGCGCACATTTATTGCACATCGTAAATATACTATGGCAAAAATGGCAATTATTCATCTTCAGGCTATTGTGCGAGGTTGGATAGCGAGAAAATCATATAAAAAAGTTAGTTACTGTGTTATATTTATGTATGAAGAGGGAAATTAGATTGATACTAAATTATCATTATTAAAACTGCTTTGGGTTTTGAGTGGGACATAAGGCTTTAATAGTACATCTACATTTCATCTTGTTATCTATAGTCTTCTTTAACTGGCTCAACGGTTGCCGATAAGGTCTCATCTCCTCTTCACACGATCTCTTCAATTCCACCCTCAAATGCTCATTTTGCCATTTTCCATTCGGGATCCACTCGAGAGCCCTCTTAGCGTGTAGTGTCACTAAACGTTCTCCTTAGAATGCTTCCAATTCTCCTCCATTTCTTTCTGCATATTTATTGGGCAACAGGCTTTTAGCAGCTTCATATTTACATTATATTCATATATTATATATTTTTATATAGCTTGACTCCATACCGTATTTTTGGTACAAGTATGGAATTTTCAGCATGTGATACCGGTGCCCAAAACTTTGCAGTCCAGCTATTGATATCGGGTGTGCGTCGGCAGGAGATCGAACCCCAGACCATGTTCATGGTAGGCAGGAGTCCTAACCGCTGTGCCACCGACATATGCAATCACATTACATGAGTCCATTGTTTTTGTCATTTCTGGTCGGCCATCTGATTTTCGGTATGGAGCAGAGGCAGCTGTTGATAAGAGTCTACAACCTGCTAGAGATGATTGTGACGATGCACGAAGTGTCTAAACTATATAGTAGAATTGGCTTAACAATAGTGTTGACAAGTGTTATCTTGTTATTTACGCTGAGTACAGCAGATTTCAATACTTATTTCGAAGTAAAAATGGTCTGTCATGCCAGCTTTGAAATTCTTATCTGTGCCGACGTTCTGTAGCCGAAACTCTTCCCCACTTCAGATAAGAAGTTACTTTCCTTCAAATTCCTCCATTTGGTAGTGGTTACTGTTTGCCGTTGTTGGTTAGGCTTCTCCACTACCTCTCTCTTCTCTATGTTCACTTTAAATCCTGTCTTCACCACTTCTACTAAATCGTTCACTTTCACCTTCGAATTTGTGTGACAGATATATGTCATCCAGGAAATAGTTCTCCTGGATTAATGTGTATTTGACCTTCTATTATATGGTGTTACAGACTATAGATATGTACACTGGATAATCTTGTAAATAAGTCGGTGAGGGATAAGGAAGACGCTAACTATTATTTTACATTCCTTAAGAAAGAATCTCATGGTTTCAAGCCAAATCATTTGCAACTTTTAGAAATATCAATCATTATAACTTTTGATTAGCTGAACAAACGGATTTATACTTATTCTGTACTTCATATTGAAAATAGTCTCCAGATAAGTGATATATATATTATTTACTTCAAGGTAATCAAAGACTGAAAATTGGGAATTCATCCAACTGAATGTCACTTCTAGAGGGATATTTTAACCAGTAAATGACTGTGAACTATAACGAATTTCCTTACCTTGATGCAGCCTTATATGTTTCCTCTTTCTATGTTACGGTGAACTATAACTCTTTGAAAGGATATATTTGTCTTACCTAACTTACTTTGTTCTATTTCTAACATAATTAATTAGTTAGACACTGATGTGATTTCTCTGCATCTTCCTTTATGTGTAGATGTGAAACCAACTCACAAATGCAGAACACACTGTTAAACAGATTTATGTAACCTCTTAAATGATTCCACTGCTGTTATTGCATTATTATCATCGTTCAAGGCATGTAATTCAACACCAATGATAATAATCATTTTAAGTGTTTAAACTGTAATTTCTCAGATATTATGAGTGAGGTATCAATTTTGCATGATAATTACTCGGAGGAATCTATTTCCTTTGACATTTAGCTCGAAGCATACTTACTTCACTATTTCTCTAGCATCCCTTTGTAACAATTGTAAATTCTGTGAATTATTTTAAACAAAACGTAACCTAATCTTTTCTTTGGTGTGTTTAACTATGATGATGATCAGAAATATATTGTCTAAATTCTCATTGCTAGCTGCAGCAGTATTCTCATCGATTGTCGAAACTTCCTGTTGGAAAATACCTTCTTGAAACTCATATATATATTCACACGTTCGTACAATTGGATAATAAGTCCTTTGAGAAGCGTCTTAACTGAATATTATGTTCTCAATATGCGGTCTAAGTATTTATGAGAAGTAATATCTATGTTTATCAGTCTTCTTAAACCAAAACTTTTGCACACTATTATGTCAAACAACAGTTAAATTGACTTGTTTTCTTAAATAATTTTATCATAATGAGTATTTTGACAAAACAATAGGAAGACATAGTCTATCTGAAACGTGTAATATATTCGCCTAACACGTTTCGGACATTCTGATCACACACACATACTCGTCATACACAGTTACATAGAAGGCAAGATAGCATGAATTATTGCAATATGGGTCAGATTGTGTCATAAACAATGGATAGGGAGATAATGCAAGGATGTGGGTAAGAAAGAAAGTAGAAAGCGATGAAGGGAGGGGGTGAAAATATCATTAGGTAAATTGAACATTGGTTCTGGATTGGAATACCAAGTCAGGTTCAAAGTCATAACAAATAATTTTGGACACATAAGACAGGTCTAAGCCTTTTCATGGACAAGGCTTCAGCGAATTGAGATATGCGACCCAACCCTGTTTTCTATATGGATTTAAAGACATTATTGAAATCGACTTTGTGATCCGTCTCCATAATGTGCTTTGCTATAGTTGATGTTGGACATCTATTTCCGGTATCAGTTGTATTCGGTGATTTTATTTGATTTTGCAGCCACTTTGGAATATGTTATGTACCCCTAAGCTGCAGAGACCAATGAGTCCGCCTCTGTACGTGCCTCCACACATATTTGTAGATTGATAAACACTGTGGGATGTGACACTACCGTTTGGATACTGTGACAGTTTGCAGGATAGCATAGATCTCGTTTTCTTTATGAAGATAAGTTTGAATGCATAGTAAGTACTATTGACTGCTGCTTTGAGTCTTTGTTTAGTGACTAGACTTTGTTAATCACCCCTGAAGTGTAAGTATATATGAACATCCTTTTTGGAAGCTAAATGGATCGGTAGAGCTGCTTATTTGACACCTCCATCACGTTTAATGAATCTCAGTGGATAATTGTCATCTAACAATATTTCCAATTACCTCCTCAGCTAGGTTCTCAATATGCGACATCTATATATCAGCTGACAATGGACCTAGGGGAATGTGAACTTTACATTGATAGTACATAAAAGAAGTAAATCCTTTGCATAAGATATGGACAATGGTGATAAGAAACTGTTTTTAGAGATGCAGTCACATAAAATGTCAACTATATGAAATAGATACATTTGTAAATAAAGGATCAGTATCTAAGGGAGACATAGTTTTGTCCATTGAAACAGCGTTATGAAGGAATTCCATTAACTCAAATGTGTCTAGTAGTGCAAACTTATAGAAACTTCTTCTAAAAGGCTCTAATATTTCCACATCATCTATAGTGGAGCACATCATAGAGACAGTTTATAAGTTCGATCTAAATAATGCCCTTAAATCCATTTACCCGAATTGTCTGAAGCCTTGGCCATGAAAGGGCTTAAACCTGTCTTACGTGTCCAAAAGTTATTTGTTATGACTTTGAACCTTACTTAGTTTTCCAATCCAGAACCAATGTTCAAATTACCTAATGATATTTTTACCCCTTCTTACCCACATCCTTGCATTATCTCCCTATCCATTGTTTATGACACAATCTGACCCATATTGCAATAATTCATGCTATCTTGCCTTCTATGTAACTGTGTATGACGAGTATGTGTGTGTGATCAGAATGTCCGAAACGTGTTAGGCGAATATATTACACGTTTTAGATAAACTACATCGTCCTATTGTTTTGACGCAATAGATAAAGGGAACTAATTACTTTTAATATTGCATATTGTTATCCATATAAAACAGGTTCGATGCGCAGTTATTAAAATTCAGACAGCATATTATCATTATTATAAATGTAAAAGAAAAATATCTGAAAGTGTCATAATACAACTACAAGCTTTATCGAGAGGTTATTTAGTTCGATGTAAAGTGGACTGTCTTCATAATGCAGCTATGCGCATTCAGAAAGCTTACAAGACTTATTTATTAAAAAGAAAGATTGAAGAAATGAAATACTTGGTAAGTTAAATGAATAAAATGGTAAGTCATATAACGTCCAATATTATTGATTGGTAGAGATGTGTAGTTATAAGCCAGATAGAATGATATAAGGACGAGACGGCCATTTCAGTTATTGGGGACCTAGCTCACCATCATCAGTAGTACACCACATCATGCATTTATGCTTATTATCTGGATCACCATTGACAATAATAAGCAGAGCATACATTTTAATCTGATCTCAAAGGAAATTGTGGTGAAATTTAATCTGAAACTGAGTAAACTGCGAATTGTGAATCTGATTTATGTTAAATCACATAGGTAGATATTCAGTTTTAGGCAAAGTTTCTAAATAGTGAGGTATAGAAAGTAATGGTGGTGGTTCTTCATTTAGAATTGAATAGCACTGGCATCCCGCACCCTGGTTGTCGCGTCAGAAAATCTAATTTTTATCTAGATGGAATTCAGTAGTTTAGTTCATCTAATATACGAGGAAACTGCATTCATCTCATAGCATTTATCGATGAAAAAAGTGCTAAGCAATAAGCCATTTAATAATGCGTGCTAAAAAAATGATATGGGTTTATACGAAGACATGAATTCCTTATTTATCTTTTTGGGGATTATTTAGTATTCTCAGCTTCGTTCTAAATGCACCATGAAAAAGAAAAAGAAACCCTTCAAAATGAACTGCATAAACTCATTTTGTTTAAACTATCATGAACAGGCCGGTACTTATAACTTGAAGAAAGCGTAGAAGATATATTTGCAAGTATACTTTCCCAAAAATCATCCAAAAAAGACTCTTATTGAACAAATGACTTAGAATGTCGTTAAATTTAAAATATTTAGTGATCATAAAAATTTTCGTTTCTTTATTGACGAAAAATCCTAAACGCAATATGCTCGAATAAGATATTTTATCAGTATTATTCATCCCTCGCGTTTTTAGTGCAATATAGCACTTCAATCAAACATCTCTATTCCACTTGGTTCTCTGATGTCACTTTTACGATTGCCTACAAGCTTTCCTTTCCACGGAATCTTCTCCATATCTTCCCCCTTGGGATGCCACCTGCAACAGCTTAATAATAGTTGCCTTAATGAATAATCACAATAAGGTGATATTGTAGTGAGAGCTGGCTGCAAGCCGAAATTGTAAACAACAATTTACGTCAATGCTCACCCCCAGAATCCGTGTCGGGAGAAAAACAATAACAAAGCTCAACCCCGACGAACTCAACAACCAATCACTGCAGAGTTAACGTGTGGAAATATGATTCGCAGATATATGGCTTGATTTTCTGAGAGACCGCCACAAAGAGATGACAGAATAACTTTCAATAAGAATACAACAAATCAGATTAAGTAACTTCGCTGATAATAATGTACACAAAATCTACAAATACCCCTTGATTTTCTCAATAAATGATCTGTTGCCTGGCTCTTGTCTTCTGTCGTTACAATGTGACAAAGATTCACTTTTAAATGATATTCAAACCTGTCTTCATCAATATTTACATCTTGGTAAAATACACGACGCATAAAGATGTCTAAAATGTATTTATCACCAGAAACACTATCTAGATATTAGAAAAATTGACATTAGGACTATTTCTGATAGTCATGGGTAAGCACAGTGTTATTAATTTAACAAGCGATGTGTGAAGGTGTGATGAAAGTGGGAGTTACAGTAGCACTCGAACCAGTGGTATGCAGACAAAGAGTTCGACACTTCAGCAGCAGTTAAGCTGCGAGATAATGCTGTCAACCAAGCCATTATTTTACTGGCATTATTTGACTAAATCTAAGTTAACGCTTTTGAACTGACTAGTTCAACGAATATCTGTTTCACTTCTATGTCATAGGCATTGGCTATGTAAATCAGGTTACTCATTGTCTCAATGATAGGCGTCTTTATTACTATTGTCGTTAAATGGGTTTATTCCTGATAATATCAGTGCATTTTAATGTATCATATTTATTTACGAAGTTGAAGTGTTTTGATGAGAACAAAAGTAACAAAAGATATGAGAAGATTTGCATTCTATTTTAGAAACAGAATACCGCAAATGAATTCCCCAACTGCAAGCAATATGAACCAATAAGTGATATCAATCAAGTAAGCACAATTTTCACCTGTTATATCACAGTTATTGTACACTATTTTTCGTAAACACATAAAAATTATGATTATTATTATTATTGTATCCTTTAGTTCCTAGAGGAACATAGGGCTTCAGCTGCGCACCTCCATTGACTTCGGTTTTCTGACAACTTTTTCACCCTGCTCCAGGTCTGCCCACATGCTTTCATCTCCTCTTCACATGACCTCCTCCAAGTCACCCTTGGACGACCAACTCGCCGCCTCCCTTTCGGGTTCCACTCGAGGGCTTGTCTAGTGATGTCACTTGATGGTTTCCTCAGCGTATGGCCAATCCATCTCCATTTCTTTCTGCCTATTTGTTTCACAATCGGTTCCTGATTGGTTCGCTCCCAGAGATCCCTGTTGCTGATCTTTTCTGGCCATCTGATCTTGAGTATTGAGCGGAGACAGTTGTTAATGAAGGTTTGAAGTTTGTTTGAGATGCTCTTTATGACTCGCCAAGTCTCTGATCCGTATAGTAGCACTGACTTCACATTGGAGTTGAAAATCCGGATCTTATTTTTGATGCTGATTGCTGTTGACCTCCACACTAATACAATAATTTTGTATCTTAGTAGCTAGTACCTAAAGCATACTATGTCCAAACCAAGTTCACTCTTAACAGTTTGAAAAAATTTCAGCATAGGGTTTATGATATGCATTATTAAAAAAAGTTTTTCTATTTCCCAATGAATGCAAAACTGTAATCAAGATTTGACCGAACAGTTCCAAAATAATTGCTCGCCGAGTGAGAGGTAGACATATGTAAAACGTGTATTTGTAAAATTCCAACGAAATTGATATGAGTAATTCTAAGGTTTCCTTCGGTAAATTAGTCCGTCCTGCTTCAGGCAAACTAATCGAAATTAAAGTAAAAGACACATATATCAGTTAGAGAACCACTAGGAAACCTAAGAGTACCGGACAGTTATTTCGTCCCAGTTTGGGAATCCTCAACAGTACGCACCCACCGACAAAGTTCGGATGCAAGACCTTCCGCTTACAAGGCCACCGAGATTTTAGACTATTAAGTCACTGGGACCCGATCCAGTGACCAGCCCATGAATTCTAACTTCTACCAATTCATGACATAGCGCAACTACTTCGCAATGTCTTCTTCGACCAGTAACTGTCCTTACCTTCAACCTGCTGTACCCTACTGGTCACGACTTCCCACTAAAACCCTAGGTGACTGCCTGAATAGGGTCAGTCACTAGTGAGCATCAGATGAAATCCTACAACCAACCAAAACAAAATCCCTTCAAAACCAATATTTGAATATATATATATATATATAAGGACATCTCTTGTTTGTAAAAACTGTGTCCAGTCAAGTGTCATGAAGCAGGCATCAGAAAATTTCAAACCAATTGCATGAACTGTGATCAAAATTTGACCTCAGACTTACAAATATTAGTCTACTTTTGTTAAACAGTGTGTAAGTTTTCATCGGATTCTTAGTGATTTCGTTCGACTTGAGTTCATGGTCGTAGATAGCTGAATATAGGAATTTTATATGTATATGTGGTATAAAATGGTATAGACAATCTATATGATTAATTAGTGATACATATCCGATTTTTATTTATTAATCAGGACTTGCCATGCATCACCTAACATCACACCTCCACATCTGTTAAAGCTTTTGTGGTTCACCCATGTATCTAGAGCTTCTTCAGTCAGTCTTTCTTTACACGAACCAAAACCTTTGTGTAGAACCTTAGTCCTATCACAGTCGGTCTTGTGTCCCATTTCTATCGAGTGCAGTGCGGTCACCGATCTGTTTTCTATCTTCTTCAAGTCTGCAGAGGTCTTTGGAACTACCTTTAGACATTGTATATGCTCCTTCACTCTTATATTTACCTGTCTGGAAATTTCTTCCACATGTACGGCGTCACAATCCCCACAACTGATCTGGTGCACACGATTCTATTGGTTGTTTTCATCTATTTTATCGTTAACTTTCACCAGTGATAAGTGTTAAGTGTTAGTCGCAGGAAAATACACTCATATGTCATGATTATTAAGGAATTCCTTTATCCTCATCCGATGTTTCTTTATGGTAAAGTATCATCACTGTAATAACTTAACCCTTAGCGACAGGTTTCCATTCATTCTTATCCTCATATTTCAAGCATCTATTTATCAAGGCTTTGGGATAATTATTTGATTCAAGAGTGTACTGTATTAATTTTAATTTCCTGCTGAAGTCTTCCTCTTCCTCAGTAACTAGACGTTGGGCTCTGCTAATCAAATTCTTGGCCAAAGTTACTTTGGTGGTAAAGGTGTGTGCTGAATAGTAGTCTAGGTATCTGCGCGAATTTGTCGGCTTTCTGAAATTGTTTATTTTTAAGTTTACCATCTAGTTGTTTTTTTACTAAACAGTCCAAGAAAGCCAAATAAATCATTTGCGTCGGATTCAACGTCTTATTAGTCAACTTAATGACTGATTCATGTTTTAATAATATTTATTACAATAATATCAAAAAAATTAAAATTAAATTTAACTATACAAAAAGAAATACTTTTTAAGGATGCATATAATCAGACAAAGATAGAGAATATAATTTTTAATATGCAAAATATACTCAACTCAAATATTTTTCTCCTCTGTCTTTATTCTGCTTAGACAGATGAATTACTTAATACTATACTACAGGATTCAACTGATATTACACAAGATGATTTAATGATAATCGATGAAAAAATTCATTGTAAAACACCTGATCAATTAATCACCACCATAAATCACTCTGATATAGTATTAAATGAAAATATAACTAAATGTATTGATATACCGGGTGTATACGGCGAATCAAAGTCAATTAAATTAGACAAGTTGAATTATCCTTCTAATGACTATGCAATTTCACATGTTGAAGTATCTAGTGATGATAGTGAAAAAGGCGATTCAAAGTTTATCCGATTCGCTACAACTTATTTTCAAGCAGGTGCTACACCATACTTTACAAATGAGTTATTAACAAAACCATTATTATTTCACAATGATGAAGAAGACAATGAGGTAGGCGAATCTTTCTCTAAAATATTTTTATTTTTGTCACAGAGAAACCACTTCACATAAAATTTGCTCAGTAGACTTCATAGTCGAAATGAAGCTATTGCATAATGTAACGTCTCTTCACTGAGTTACAACAGTTTACAATATATTCAAGGTAGTTAACCATAATCAACTTCAGGATAATCGACAAAAATTACACTCAAAGCATCCTATTTTAATTCTTTTCACTAACTTCATAAATTTGTATTTATCATATCCTTTGGCTGAGGAGTGAGGAGACCGTTGACTGACATCATACTCCAGGTTCTTGAGAGAAAATGAAGAGTTAGACTCTCGATGGGGACTTTAGCGAGATCATATGTAGAAAAGAAGCAAACTTATAGGCAACTGTTGAGCCAGCTGAAAAAGATTCACAAAACAAACTGAAATAGAAATGCTCTGGTGAAGGTGTATGTTCCACTGGAGACCTAAATGGATAGCAATAATAATATCATTCAGTGTAGGCGGTGCAGTGAAAGAGTACTGGTCAACCACGCAAGAAGTGGCTGACACATTTAGCCGGTAGTAAGGGTGGTAAAGGGGGAAGGTTGGATATGAGGCTGGCAAAGCCATCCCGTTAAAAAACATGGCAGCTACTAAAGCTTGAAAGCTCAAACTGGACATCCTGTTCCCCACTGGCAATACAAAGGAGTAAAAAAAATATCACTTCAAAAATTGTGGATTGAGACATCTCGCAATATGTCATGTCTTATGAATACAGTAACTGGTATGAATTAATTTCGAGGACAGTTTGTACACTGAGATACCATTCAAAGAAATAAGCTTAGTTCTGCAACGTTTGGAAGATGTTTGATGACTGTAAGGCCAACTGTTTTTTGTTCAGTAATTACTGAGATGACCGTGTCAATACAAATATTTTATATTAATGAAGTGGGTGGTAACCGACACACTTCAATTAACAGAAGATCTCCCCGACAAATGTAAACGCTGGTGAATTTTCAATACGTCAAAAAGGTGTATTATTATTACTATTCCTTTAGGATCTACGTAGAAAATACAGCTTCTGCAGCGCATCTCTATTTCGCCCTAATCCATAAAATTCCTTCATCTGGTTCCATGACTGCCCACAAACTTTCATTTCCTCCTCATATGATCTCCTCACTCTGGGCCTCCCAACTCCAGTTCCCTACTTGTGTTCCACTCTGAGGTCTGGCTCCAGATGTCACTCGACGGTGCCTTGTGTGTGTGTGTGTAACCCATCTGTATTTCTCCAGGCGAAATTGTCGGGCGATAAGTTCCTGGTCGTTTCATTGCCAGAGATCCAAAAAGATACCGTGATAGCTATCAGAATCTCGGTATGCTTTTTTTCTAAGTAGAAGATTTTTGGTCAAATTTCAAAGAGTGTAGTAAATGGGAGGTAATTTTCGTTGGAAATAAACTGATATTTCAAATGCTTTCTCTACTTGTTTCCACTGAATGTGCTATGTACTTATATATTATTGCAAGTTGAGTATTTTTGTCGATTGGTTCACTTGTTTAGTTTTTATTGTAGTACAATTTTTAGTTGTGATGCATAGAACTTTTAGTATTATACACAAATAATACTTTCTTCCAATGTTATTTTCACAGATAAGCAGTCTACAAGCGTTAGCTAGAAAATAGTGAGTATTTTCTAAACATTCTAGAAAGCCAGAGAGTACTAGATAGATATTTTCTCCCAGTTTGGGACTCCTCATCAGTACACATCCACCGAGGTTCGGACCCGCGACCCTACGGTTACTAGGCAAACTCGTAGACAAAACAACCATTGAGACCCGATCCAATGACCTATGAATTCAAAAGTAAGTAAGATAACAGTAACTCACCTATGACATTGGTGATGATGATTTTGTAACTGATATCACCTCATGACGAAATCCTGTAACCAGTCAAATCCCTGCAAACCAACACTTGAACATTCCGGAGAAGCTCAGTGAAGATAAGAACCATTATATATATATATACAGTAAATTTTCATTCCAATTTCCATTTCATTTTACTTTGCAGATTGCGTTAGCTATATGGTCGGCAATTTTACATTTCATGAAAATTTTACCAGAAACCTCAAAGTCTGATAAAACAAAGGAGAAATATACACATAATCTTATTCATTCTGCCATGAACCATCCACATCTAAGAAATGGAGCTTATTCACCCATAAAACGGAAGAAATCTTCTGAAAAATATCGTAGAGCAAAAAGTTCTATGGTAGTGTAATTTTAATGAATCAACAAACAATTTGTTCTTGTTCTTTTTAAAACATTATATATACCAGTTATAGAGCCAACTAAAAGTGCTACATCGCTAAGTTTCCATTACAATAAAATGATCAATAATTACTCATAATATTTGTGTCTAAAGGACTTCCGCTGGAGTTAAAATAAGTGCGATGAGACTGATTGTTGATTGAATAGTTCTGCTGAAGAAATAAGTGTCTGAAATCTTTGGAATATAGATTATCTACTCTCGAAATGGAGATTACCTACAGAAAGATTCACTTTCTTGGAATAAAACATAAGATCCACTCATTAGAATGGTTCAACAAGATTACGTCCATTCATATGTCCATTTTAATAAGCCGCTGTCAGCTTACCATCATAATTTTTCATTCTTTCTACAGAAAATATATGTTGGTGAGATGCCCGTACGACACCCTGAATTCCTAGTGCATTAGTTTCACAGTTCTTTAACAATAATAACAGCTAAGAAATATAACAACCGTAGAAGACATGCTTTGGAATGTATTCAATTCTTCTCATCAGCTTATTAATATTCAATACGACTTAAGTAACTTGGTAATAAGACCTGGGATCATATTTCCTCAACGTTAATATGAGAACCTATGGTGTTCTTTACCATTTAATACCAATGGTAAATTTTTCAGGTCGCCTACATGTGAGAATTACCTGTGAATGTTTTCAGTCACTTGTAGTGACCTTAGAATCTAAGCTGGCAAAAAGTATATATCCTGATAAATTTATTTTTTATGAGACCGATACATTCACTAAGTTGTGTAATTCACTCAGTTATCAAATATTGTGGGGAAAGCTGGCTGCAAGTCAAAATTGTAGACACCAGTTTTCGTCAATGTTTACGTCCCGAATCAGGGTCATGAGAAAAACAATACCAAAGCTTAACATCGGGGAACTCACCAACCAATCACAGCAGACTTAACGTATGCAAATACGATTCGCAGATATATGGCTTAACTTTGTGAGAAACGGTCACAAACAGTACAGAATAACCTTCAACAAGAAAACAACAAATTGCTTCTCCGCTGACAATAATGTACATAAAAATCTATGAATATCTGTTGATTTTCTCAATAAACGATCTTTTTCCTGGCCCTTTTCTTTCGGTACAATATTAAAGCTTCTGCAAACGCTAAATGGGTAATGTGGAATGTCAGACTGGGATCAGACAAAACAGGGGAGGAGACGCTTAGTAAATTGAATGAGAACAGAGGATGATTTGCAAACATCTGGTCCTTTAGTGATTAAGCGACTGCAGGCAGTGTGCACACGCACAAGAATGCAAACAAGGTGACGTAGGTTTCACAATATAGACATAATAAAAATCAGATTAAGTTTATCTCACTTTCAAGAATGTGGGAACCTGGTCTGCCTGATGAAATCGAGAAGAGAGGCAGGTATGGCCCAAGGCAACTATCTGGTACAGTAAGCCAACGCCACGTCGAATGTTTTAAAAGAAGCTGGAGATACAAGGAGAAGCACCGGAACTTTCCCAGAGCAGCGTAGAAGGAATCCTGTATAGACATTTAAAGCAGGAAACATAGATAGGACATAGAATAAAACTCTTCGGATACCTAGGAACTGACGAAGGAGAGACAGATGGTGAATCAAAAGACGAATCAATGCAGAGATGAACAACAAAACGAAGTGAGTACAACCTAGAGCTCAGTGAACCAACGAGTGACAGAAATTTCTAGGAAAGACGAAAATCGCTTTTATGACATACTGGAAACTGAAGCAGAACAAATTGCAGGTAAACGATACCTCACAACACTATGTCAAATGGCCAGGCTGTTATCCGGGAATTGATCAGCGAAGATGAAACTGATGAAAGATGGTGAAGAGGAGTCAATTACCAAACAGCTGAGACAGAAGAAACACTTAAATGACTACTTTACGCGGTTCTGGGATCGGCCACCACCCGCAGCTCGTCCAGAAATTCTACTAGCAAACACTGAACAGCAAGCGATCACCGATCTTTCAACATAACAGAAGGTTTCATGTATCTTCTTCCCTTGATAAACTTGAGCGAAGCCAAGCAGATACATCACAACATCAGTTTAACCCGCTCAATATATTTTTCTTAAGTAGTTCAGAAACAAAAGTCTTGTGTGTAACAAAGTAACTGAAGCAGCGGGACCAGATAAAATTCCTCAAGAAGCACTAAGAGTGGACCATAGATTCACAGCACACAAAATTATGCTCCTATTACAGTAGGTTTGGAAAGATGAAAAGGTACGTGCTGACTCGAAGAAAGTCGACTTTATCAAACTGCCATATGAGGATGTATGCAGGAGCTGGTGCACAAACATCCTGGCGTCTATCCCAAGTAAAACTATAGGCCGCATATTTCTGAAAAGACTAAGAGATGCTCCGGATTCAAATTTTCTTCCGCAATAGGCTGTATTCAGGAAAAGTAAATCAAGTGCAGAATAAACTACAATATTACGCATCATTGTCAAACATAACATAGAGCTGCAGTCAACTCTTTACCTCAAATTCATCGATGGCATCCACCATGAATTAGTTTAGCAACTGCCTCTACAATACGAGGTGCGGTCCCTCAGAAACTTGTGTGTCTGGGGGTTTCATAGAGAAAAGTATGTGAACTGGAGGTGAAGGCGTATTGGCAGTCATGGAGGTAGGTGAAAATGACTGTACAGAATAGATTACAATGGGGGATGCGCTGCTGAGGCTGTATGTTCTGCTTAGAATGCGAGAAACGAATGATGATAATGATAATAGTAATAATTATTAAATGCAGTGATAAACAGTAAAACTTCGACTCTGCGCAATCAGAAAATGAAAAGGTAAAGTCTGTCACTTAAGTTAGAAATTATCGCATTCTGTCTGTGTTAAACAAATTATAATGTTCATGTAATTAAATAAGTGGTGTTTAGTGTTTCTCTCTATTCAACTGATATCTGAAAACAAATATAACAGCTCATTGTCAGATATGAATATATTATATTTTTATTCCCTTGAGATCTAAATGGAACATAGAGCTTCAACAGCGCATCTCCACTTTGTCCTGTTCTTTTCAGTACTCCTCCTCGGCTTTGATCCCCTGCTCAAGCGGCTCCCCCCATGTCGCACTCGGACCCACATCCAACTCTCCGTTTCTCATTCGCATCCCAATAGATGTCTGGCTCTCGATGTCACTCAACGGTCTATTCAGCATGTGTTCTATCCGTCTCCGTACTCTTCGACATATTTGTTAAAAAATAGGTTCTTTACTGGTCTGCTCCAGAATTTCCTTGTGGATGATCGTTTCTAGCCTCTTATCTTGAGTAGTGAGCAAAGACAGCTGTTGATAGAAGTCTGCAATCTGTTAGAGATGTTTTCGTGCCGCTCCAATTTTCTGACCCACACATAAGAACTGACTTAATACTGTTGTTGGAAATATGAATTTCATTCCTTATTTTGAGTGCAGTAGATTTCGACACTGATTACAAAGTGATGAATGTGTCTGCCTAGCCTTTCCGATCCTGTTTGTATTTAACATCCTCGTCCTTGCATACTGCCTCTAGTTGAAATAATGCTGTCTAGATAAGTGAAAGAAGTTACCTATTTCTAATTTCTCCCATCCATAGTGATTGCTGCTTGCTGTTGTTGATTTGTCACCTTCATCACTTCCGTCTTCCACATGTCCCCTCGAACACCTACCTTTGCTGCTTCACCTGTAGGTCTTTGAGTTTGTGTGACAAACACAAATTATCCTATAAGACCATATCTGTCCAGAATATTCCTGTCTTCTCTCTTTCTCCACAGTCTGATCCGGTATGCTAAAATCAGAAAAATCATCTGTGATATTAGGCAAACTTCTCTTATTCTTGTTCTCAATTTATAGGCTTTGCTGCATTTTCCGTTGTTGGTCACTTGATATATGGCGTTGTCACATATTTTGATAAAGGGTTTGAGTGGTGATCTCCGTAGTATTGAAGTAGTTTCCAAATTACTCCACAAAGTTAATGAAATTAAGACAGAGATTCGATTATCGTTCAATGCTCTGTTCTATTACTATGCACAGAGGTGTGCAGTTGGATCAGTACATGATTTGCTTTTCCTAAATCTAACTAGCTATTAGTTGAAGTTTTTATCCAGAGAATTATTCAGTCTTCTCAGGTTGATGTGACTAAGTAATTTGCTTGACGTGAAAAAAAGTCTAATACACTAATATTATGTCTTCAAAAATAATGGTTATCCACGGAACTTCATCAAGAGACATATACCATCAAGCCAACCTATCAAACCAAAAGACCCCAAAGGAAAGTACAAAGAAAATCGCCCTGCCATATGCAGAGGACACCTCAGAAATCACTGCAAGAATCCTCAAACCTTTAGGAATTGACCTCGCACACAAACCAACAAAATCACTTCACTCAACTGGCTCTATGCCAACCAAAAGACTCAACAATGAAAGAAGATAAAACCAACATCATCTACATCAACATCTAAATTGTAACAACTGCGAAAAACACTACATTGGCCAATGTGGACGTCCCCTTCGTCTCCGTATCCATGACCATAAACTAGCCGTCAAAAGACACTACATCCGCTCCGTCGCTCATATCACTACATACAGACAACCATGGACATCATTTCGACTGGGACAACCAACGTTCAAATATTAGACAGAAAAAACACCAGGAATGCTGGAGAATTTTTAGAAGCCTGCCTGATATTCCAGCGAATCATCAATCAATAGACACATCCAGATAGACTAAATTTGCCAACCGATAAGAAAGAAATCTCACACACAAAGAGTCAAAGTTCAAGTCAAAGAAACAATCAGTCCCAAAACAAGTAACCTAAAAGGTGTGAAAACACACAAAAGCAACCAATCACGTCCAGGGTCACCAGGAGAGATGATTAATAAACTCGTGGAGAAGTCTAAAACCTCACTTCAGCGAATTGAAGTATGCGCTGAGGATACCGCCTGGTAGGGCGATGAAAGCTTCGCAAATTGACTATCCAGCTCAGAGAACACAATCACCTCAAAATCATCCACTTGAGCTACAAATCTTCTCCATGATATCTAGTCAAATCGCTGAAAACCAACACTAGGAAGTTACACATACTGACTCCAGGATATCCTCAAATATGTGCTTCTTTCCTCATAATTCAAAATTATACAATCTTACTGATAACTTTTCCCTAGTTCATTGTTGTTAGTTATAGAAATGAAAAAGTCTTCTAACCTTTTTGATTGTTAAGTATTTTTTTTATATTTAGGAAAAATGCATAACAAATAAACGGACTCTCATGAATACAAAGTGTAAAAATTTGAAATGTACACCAGCACTTCAAACAAATTCAATTCATTTACGAATGTTGGACAATACACTGAATCCTGATCAAAATGAGAAAACAGGGAATGAAATGAGCTCATTGAAATGCACTCATAGTGCAGAAAATATGCTTTCTTATACAAAAGAAAATTTATCTTTTGAAAAGAGTTATCACAGAATACATTTTATCTTTTTACAAGGAATTATGCGATCATCATTACAAGATGAAATCTATTGTCAAATATGTAAATTAATTAACGGGAATCCTAATATGCAAAGTCAAGCACACGGTAAATTTCATCTTCTCTTAAAATGTTGTTAGTACTGATAGATTTAATATGGGCTTGTAATACACTGTCTGAGCGTAATCAACGTATAATCTCGTGTCATTTTACTACTCATAATCACAAATTTGCTAATATTGTAACAGTAGAAGACAAAAGACTTGGTTAAGTAATGCTTATTTAGAATTTGGTATCTCTATATAGCGAAATTTTGCACAACTTCAGAGTATCATTCTCTCAGATCTTCGAGTTGTGCTACTTCTGGTCTTCATTCATATTGTGTTTCTTTGTGTTCCTTACATATCTCCCATGTACCTTCGCATCCCCATATTATTTGCCATAATATTACAAAATTATTCTATTCATGGTGGTCTCAACCAGTCAGTTCCTACAGAATAAAACATAAAACTTAATCTGATGCTCACTAGTGATTTGCTATAGGACAAAGCTGCTTGGAGTTCTAATGAGCAGTCGTAATCAGTTTAGTCTACGAGGTTGGGTGGGATGAAAAACATTTGTCGGCAGTGGCGGTAGGGACCACGAATTAGCAGGAGGTAGGATTCATGGGCCACTATCTGGCGGCCAGAATGCCTGAATACCCAAGAAAGCTAGCCTCGTAACCTAAAAGTCCTAGGTCGGCTCCCTAGTGGTGGTTTCACGGGTACACACTGATGGTAAGTTCCAAACTACGGCTAAGTAGCTATTCAGAACCCCCTGGTTTCCAGTGGTTATCTAGCTGTTGATATGATTTCTGCTTAGAAAGCTGAAATGAAACCGGTAGACTAAAGTTCAATTTAAATGGATAAGAAATAGAAAAACTACTTTTCATGTATTTCCCATGACAGTATAATGGAGTACAATAAACCTATCAGAATAAGAAAACTGTATTTATTTCACTTGTTAATATCTCATTAAATTCATGTCTGTTAATTTGAATAGTGACAGTAGGTAATGAATCGGAAATAACCATCGAAGTTATTCAAGTTATGCATTAGAAGATTTTTATTTTTTTTATTTTTGATTACAGCACATACACCCATTTATTTCTATACTGTTATGAACGCCGACGGCTATCGACTGATTTAGGTTGATATGGAATCAGTAAGTCTGGTTACTAGCATTCACAACTGTCATTGCATGTAGAGAACACTACGAACTGCTCACTTTGGCTGCTGCTAGTAAACAAGCCAGGATTTTAATCTCAAGTGAAGTATTACCTCCATAAGTATTTCACGGCATATTCAAGTATTAGTCTGTAGGGATTGTGTTTGATTGGTTGGAGGACTTCATCATAAGTTGACAACGGATCGAGAACCACTGGAAAACCTGGTAGTACAGGTTAGCTGTTTCGTCCCACTAGTTTGGGACTCTTTGACGGTACGAATCCAACAAAGGGTTCCGGACCCAGGACCTTCTTGTCACAAGGCCACTGAGCTCTTAGACAGAACAGCCACTGAGGCCGATCCAATGGCTCATAAATTCTAAATTCTGCTAAACCATTTCCTGACGTGGTCATTTTTTGAAAACTGATCCTTTGTCATATTCCTTCTCCATCACTTTCGAGAAATGCGCAGTAGTCAGTTTAAAGGCCAGTGGAAACATACTTTGAAAACATGTTACAATTTAAGAACATCAGTCAATAATTAAAAACATAAAGAAATGGAAAAAATTAGGTGGACGAATGATTTATACAGGCTACTGTAAAATATATTAATTTTTTGCCTAAAGCACAGATCTCTATCTTCAGACAGCTGACTGAGAAGTAATTCTTGAAGAATGTTCACGTGAATAAGCACAAATAAAGGGAGTTTTAAACAAAAATTAAGCTCGTTTAACAACGAAAAACTGTGAAATAAAAAGCTTGTTAAAATGTTTACTCCTGACAAAAAAGTAACATGTGATGCGTATATGGATGATTGTCGTTTCTGAAAATAATCTGAACGTGATAATGTGAGTCATCACTTATTTTAATCCCAAAGGTTCAGCGGTATAACGCTCGCCAACCCTGCCACATGTGGCCCGCGGTTCGATCTTCTGCCGACGTACTCCTAGATCCACTAAGCCGGTAGTAAGGCTGGTAAAGAGAAAAGGTTGGGCGTCAGGCTAGCAACCCCACTCCCCCCTCCCAGCCGGAAAAATAAACATCACTGCTACCGAAACTTCAAGCCTCTAGCTCGAAGTCTTATGTTCTAGTGGGAACGTTAAGGAATAAAGTAGAAATAAGAAATAATAAAGTTTAAGCATAAAATGTACTAATTTCACGTGAATTACATGTTTACATTATATATTTTAACATAACGATACATATTTGTTTCAATTAAAGGCTGGTTCCTGCTTGCATTATGCACTGGATGTTTTCCACCATCAGAAAAATTAAGAAATTCAATTTTTCAGTTTATTAACTCCGATTCAAATCATTTTGTTAAATTATGTAAGGACAGACTTCAAAGAACACTACGGAATGGAATTCGAAATGAACCTCCAAGTTTAACAGAGTTATGTATAATAAAGAATAATACAGATTTTAAATTAGATGTTACCACTATGGATGGGTGTATCCATCGAGTATTGGTTGATTCAGCAACTAAAGTTTCAGAAGTCTGCCATCTGATCTCAAATAAAATAAATCTTAAAGACTCATTTGGATTTTCACTTTTTATTCAGTTGTTCGATGAGGTAAATTTAAATTTCCTTCTTAACTATAACTCGAATATTTTGATTTGATTTTGACTTTTTATAGACTTAAGGAAGGTAAGTATTAGTTTTTTTAGGCATTTTTTGTTTGATTGTTTAGAAGATTTCATCTTAAGCTGACGTCAGTTACAGAACCATTGGAAAACCAACTGGGAGTACTGGACATCTGTTTCATCCCACTAATTTGGGACTCTTCATCAGTATGCGCCCACCACAGTGGTTCGTACTCAGAACCTTCCGGTTACAGGGCCAATCATCTCGTAGACCATTAAGCCACTGGGACCCGCCAATCCAATGACCAGCCCATGAATTCCAACTTCTGCCAATTCATGACATAGCACGACCACTTCGCGTTGTCTTCTTGGATGAGCTACTGCCTCACTTTTAACCTGCTGTACTCCACTGGTCATGGCGTGATAGTCTACAACCTCGGTGGACCTGTAACCAGAGGGTCTTGTGTTCGAACCACTGTGGCGGGTGCGTATTGCTAGAGAGTCCCAAACTATTTGGACGAAGCGGCTGACCAGTACTCCCACGTTTTCCAGTGGTTCTCTAACTGATGTCAGCTCATGATGAAATCTTCCAACTAATCTTAATACATTTTGCAAGTTTCGAAAGTTATGACATCAATAAAAACTGAGACAACTGTCGATCTCTTCAAATGTTTTCAGAGTCTTAGTCATTTAAAATAACTTTTAGATGATTAGAACAGATTGGATGATACAGGAAATGTACAAAATGTACAAAACAATCTATGCCTATGCATGACGTTTGCTCAATACACCATGCTAAAACATACATCCTTCTGTATAGTAGATTAGTTAATGGAAAGATGGTTGCAGCGAAGAAAATTTTCCTGTCGACGAAGTCATCAACTAGGCTTTACATTCGTGTATTTACAATACATGGGTGGGAAAGTTCCAGAATAATTTCTGGTCAAGGGTCAAATTAAAAACATTACAATTTGGAATTAAAATGCCATAATAAGCAGGGGACGGTACGGATAAAACTCAAACAAAGTAGCATCATAATTATTGGGAAGATTGACATATTGTGCAATTAGGGGTTAGTAATGTAGAAATAACAAAATAGACAGGATGTTTGGATAAAAAATCTAGTGGGATCATAACTAATATGACGAATAATTGTTTATGCAGTTAGGGGTTAAATATGTAGAAATAATACAATGTAAAAACATACAAGAATTTCAAACATAAAAATATGGTAGTGTAAATAGAGATTAAGAAAAACGTGAATAAGCAGGAACATTGTGCGTCGGTGGCACAGTGGTTAGGACTCTCGCCAACCATGCACATGGTCCGGGGTTCGAGCCCACGCCGACGCACACCTGATATCTATGGTCGGCCTGCGAATTTTGGGCTACCGATATCCACGCTGAAAATTCCATACTTGTACCAAAAATACGGTGTGGAATCAAGCTGTAACCAAAAATATAAATAAATAAAAAAAGAAAGGCAATGGGAACGTCACTATTAAAAGAATTACCTATTTACGATGGCCACAGCAGGGACAAGGGTTGAACGTGTTTCTTTTTGGTACACAGTATGGGTTTGAGCTTTTGGATAGCTAGTGCCTTGGTTATGACCAGATGTCTAAATTGTACTCCCTTTGTTAGGTTTTATTTTTTTGTTATTTTGATTATAGCTTGATTCCACACAGTATTTTTGGTACAAGTATGGAGTTTACAGCATGGGATATCGGTAGCCCAAATTTTGCAGGCCGACCATTGATATCGGATGTGCGTCTGCAGGGGATCGAACCTCGAACCATGTGAATGGTTAGCGAGAGTCCTAACCGCTGTGCCACCGACGCACGAATCTTTTATATTATTTCGAAGGATTTTTTGAATGGCGCTGAATGTCCTGACTTGACCATATGTTCTGTCACTGAACTACATACACGTTTTTGTTGCCCTTTTACCAGCCAGGCTGGATAGTGTTCACGAGCACATTTTTTAAGTAAGCGTATGGTGCGGCCGATGTACTCAGCTCCACAAGAGCAAGTAAACTGGTATATATACGTTGAAGTGGCCCAATGCGACAGTGTTCTGGCTGAACAGTTTCTTGCAGGAAATCATTAGTCGTAGGCTTGCGTCGAAGTACGTTTTCCTGAGAGATTCGCAGAGGCGTTTACGAAGGATTTCTGCCTCACTGTCAGCTTTGAATTCTAGATTAAGCAGAGGTATCTTCTTCAGGATGGATTAAACTTGTTCGGAAGTCTTCTTTGATTTGAGATTCTTGTCTATGAACCTAAGCGGAAAACCATTTTCCATCAGGATTCCCCTGAGATTATGTAGTTCTTCATCAATCACTTTTTGCTGCATATCATCCGAATCCTCGAGGAAAGAGCGTATATCAGGTTCTTCTTTTTGCTTTGAAAACTGATGAATTAGTTGATTAGTTAATGTGAAATTAATGATCAAAAACAATTTCCTAAGCCTCAGTGTCTTTTTATAGTTTTACCTTGTTAAGAATACATTGTGACTGTAATCTTCTACATTTTACAGTTATCAGCACTTGGTGATGGTGAAGAATATATAATGGATACAATTAGTCGATATGAGTATAATGCTATGCAGCAAGGAACACTTGATTTACATGTAAAATGGACATTATATTTTCGTAAAGAAATTTTCTATCCATGGCATGATTCATCCATTGATATGATTTCTACTAGATTAATTTATCAACAAGTTATTCACGGTGTACAATATGGTGTATATCAGTGTAATGATGATGTAAGTTAATCTTTGCGTAAATGTTAGTCGATTCATCCTATTTTAGTAGTCGAAAGGATAAAAGCGTTTCTTTTATTCTGTAGAACTAAATTAAATTTTACAAAACAAGCTATATACGTCACAAAAACTAATATCAGCTAAAAATTTAAAAAGCAGTTTTTCAATTATTCCACTGCTGATATCACTTTATTGATGAAGTGCAACTGGAAATCAACACAATTCTCACAAACATCATTATTATTGAGATCCTTTATCTAAAATAAGCCTTCTATGACCAAAACTGAGTCCTTGGCTGTTAACTGGTTGCATTATTTCTCGAACATGCAGTATACTGCATGTAAAAGCAAATCTTCCTCTACCTTGCTTACTGAGGCTGAAATCCCTCGAGGCATTGTTATCTCTCATTTTTTCTTCTCCTAGCATGACTTACCTCCAATCAAAATACCCACCAGAGTCCTACAGGAGGTCAGTCGCGAGCCCGAGCTAGCTCAGTGGTAACGTCTCTGACTGCAGCACTGGGTGATGTGGGTTCGAATCTGAGTGCCAACTAGCATGAAACCCAGGTGGAAGGCTTCCTGCCGATTGCCTCCAACAACCTAATACGACTTACCTCCTTCAGATGAAATCAACTTCGTTAAATATGCTGATAGTCTGACTATTCCGTTGAAAGTTACGTCCCGATCTGTCTGTTCCAAAGTGAGTAGTTTTTTGTCGGATGTCAGCCAATGGTCTAAACTAAATGGTCTTATGTTAAATCCCTCTAAACGTCAGATAGTTAATTTCACCTTAAGAAGTAAACGTGACCTCCAGGAACTGGTTTGCTCACATGGTGTTTGTGGCGTTGCATAGAGGACATCGGACTAGTAAATAAGTCAAGCAAAAAATACCCTATAATACTTCTTTCCTTAAGCTTTCTTCGTCATCACATACCTTGTTGATTTCTAAGAAAATGTTCCATCTAACTTTGTACATTAAGGAGTTAAGATAATCAGATAGGTACCACTCAACCCCTTGTTTCACAATTTGTTAACTCTTGCATCCTACTTACTGTTTTTTATCTCTCCACCCTAGTTTTTACCGGCTACTCAAAAAGGATTGTGTCGTATTGTGAAGGGTATTATAGATGGTCAGTGATGCGGGCAAGTGGTGTGCTACTAAGTCAGCTAATTATTATTGTAGTCAACAGTCACCTGAACTGATGTGAGAAATGATCAAAATCCATACTGTCTAATTCTCAGCATTTTCGCTATTCAGAAATCTCCCTTTTCACCTCATCACGTAGGAGTATAATTCATTATCGGAAATTATATGCCCATACTCATGATGATGAGTCCCAACCAATCAAACAAAATCCCTACAAAACCAATACTCGAAAAATGGATAAAATAAAGATATTGATTAACACAGAATAAAAATAATTTCGCAAGTAATGTTAGGTTGTGAATGATGAGGGTACTTGGCTACGTTACATATATTATATGGATTTTAAAGGGACTAGATTGCATTGCATAACGGTTTCAGATATTAAGCGAAGTGTTTGACTGTTATGTTTTACCTCAGTTAGACATGTTCTTGTTAATATGATCTGGATATATCAGTTAACGTCAGTAAATATTTTGTGAAATATGTGAAATAAATTATAATTATATTTCAATAGTTTACACGCAATTATAAGTTTTTGTTTCTTGGTAATATTTCGAGCAAAATTACTGCCCAAGATCACATCAACTGTTGGAATTGTTTTCTTTTTTAACTCGAAATATTACGAAAAATCGAAACCATATCATTGTGTGTAAACTATTGAAATATAATCATAATTTATTGAATATATCAGCTTTGTATCTACTGCAATAACCACTCATAGAACTTCTACACATCTGTTCATATATCCATTTTTGCCGCTGTTATTTGATTCTTATTCTTAAGTAAATATAATACCTATATGGATTGATTGCGTAATTTCCCTAAAAATGAGGGATTTATGTGCGATTTTCATACCAAGAAAGCATCGTCAATGTATTTCAATCTTATTTTTCGGTTTATGTTTGATTCTAAAGATGTTATAAACTTCCAAACCATAGATATGGAAAATGTTTTGTGTTAGTTTTAACTCCGAGTCCAGTTGCATAAATAAAGAACAGTCCAAGAGTTGGTTTGTATGGATTCAATTTGTTTTCACGAGTTTGGTGGTCGCGCTAAATCACAATTCATGGACTGGCCACTGAATCGGGTCCCAGTGACTGAGTGCTATAAGAGCTTGCCTTGTAACCGCAAGGCTCTATGCTCAAACCTTCTGTGTTGGGTGCGTATTTCCGATGATTCCTAAACTAGGATGAAACAGCTAGCTGTCCAGTACTCCAGTGCCGGCTTTCAATGGTTCTCTAACTGATATCAACCCTTGGTCGAAATCGTAAAAACAAATTAGAGAATTATTAAAAATAAATAAAAATTAAATAAGTATTTTCTTAGGATGTATGTATATATAATCTGTAAATTTATTCACAAATAGTAGATTTGCAACTATTTGTGACGCAGATCATCCAAACATCACTACACCATTAGTCTGTATATATAAATATCCTTTAAATTGTATACAGTAACTGAATGGCTCCTGAGAAGTCAACTGTATTGGCTGTATTCAGAGGGATTTATCTTTATGCATTCTTGAACATGCATCGGTATGACTTGGAAAAAAAGTAACTAAACAAGAAACAGTGACAACTTATCTCATCTACTGAAGAGTAGCATAACATTAACACAAAAGCATTTCCAATCATATATCGAGTACTAAGCGATTTGCCTAATGACATATACTGATATCTATTATTTATATATGGAGCTGAAAATGTCTAGCAAAATAAATCTAACCTATGTAACCTGACTGCTATACTTTATTGCAAAGTTCCTACGTTGAAAATTCAGTCAGATATCCGAAACATCTAAGTCGACGTCATCGCCTAATTTCTCATAGATTACATTATCTCATATTCTTCATTTCTTAATATATCTCAGTAAAAAAGAAAAACCAAACTTAATGGATCTTCTTCCTACCCTTTTTTATTTTGATAAGCCAGAAATATTTGACAAACCCATTTATTTTAAGTAGCTTAATCTTTAGTCACGATTGTATAACTTTTAAAAATATCATGGAGCTGTCCCTGAGTTATCTGTTGAAGTCAAAGTATGTAACCAGAGGGATAAATATTTTATATATACGTGTTCTCTATGTAGCGGTTAGATCCCAGCAAACGTTTACACTTAACAGTGGATGAAAATTTTCAGTCAAAAAGAAAATATATTTTATCAAGGTAACAGATAAGTGTCAATGAACGTGTGAACTAGTTTTAGATATTTCTTCTGATGCTTAACTTAGCATGTTCATATTTTTAATAACTTGTTGAAGAAAATACTTTACCTGTAGTCAATCTATATAATGCATTACTTAATCTTGTAATGTAGAAACACCTTTTAGTACAAAACTTGTCATTAATTATGTTTGTGCAGAGAAAGAAGAAACATCATTGGTGCAGGGATTCTTTCGTTGGATTTCAGTTAGCCTGGTGTGCTCATCCCTTAGTGGTAACCTTCGATTTTTTAATTTCATTAACTTATCAAGTATTGTTTTTTGTTGAAATTGTGTTTGGTTGGTTAAAGGATTTCATCATGGCTGACATCAGTTAGAGAACTGCTGGAAAACCCACCTGGGAATACTGGACATCTGTTTCGTCCCACTAGTTCAGGACTCTTCAACAGTACGCACCCATCTTAACTTATCTTTTCACCTCTGCCCCCTATTTCTCCGTTTTATTTCCGTGGGAGACAATAGTATATTAAAATTTTACACTGACTTACCTTATTCAAAGAGTATAGATTGTACTCAACTGATGAGAACCAACGAAATAAAGTGGATCCGTGTTGCTCTGCACCGATGTTTGTCCTTTCTCTGTTCAAATTTATAAAACTGGAATACTTGAATGAAATATTAATTGTGCACATTTGTTTAAATTTCACTGGTAACTTTTTTAAATAAATTTGTTTTTGAGAATTTTTTTAAAAATTAGGCATATTTTAAGAAGGATTTGTTAAAATTATTATAAGGTTAATATTTTAATTCATAGAATTTACGTGCTAAGCTGTTGGCATGTGAGTGGATAATTAGTGAACTGACTAATAATATGCGCAATGAAGACAATTTATTCGTTCTACAAAGGGAAAACTTAACAAATTGGTTAGAAAAACGTCAGTTACCACAAATATCTAAGTGGAGTACATTAATAAATCAAGTAAGTTGCAACATGAATTAACATAAGTATTGTGTAAATGTAAATGTATTACTCATACTATTCTTATGTTGCTTTATAAATTAATGTAGAAATTATTAAGTAATTAACTATTATTAAGTATGTTATTTGCTTGGTGATAACCGAGAGTGGAATCCAGTATGCATATGCCCTTCAATTGGGGCTCGTCAATTCAACGTACCTGCATCCCTAGTAAATGGTAGTTTCCTCACAGAGTCTCAAACTCTGCATCTATCCCTTAATGGTCGTCGGTACAGTGGTAGGAATGGTCATCAACTACACATGTGGCCTCTAGTTCGATCCCCGGCCAACAGTCTCCTAAGCCTCTCTAGGCCGGTAGTAAGATCGGTAAAGAGGGAATGAGGCTAGCAACTTTTCGCAGTAAACAATAAGCACCATTGCTGTCAAAACTTCAAAGCTATAGGTTTAATCCGTATGTTCCGCTAGGAACGTAAAAGAATAATGCCATTTAAAACGCCAAACAGTTATCAATCTGGCTAATGGGCCACAAAAGCACTCTGTTATGCAACAGGTGGTTAAGACATTGGCGTTTCAACGGAAGGGTACTGGGCTCGAGTGATCACATAGGGATTACGAAAGTAGATGATGTGTAATAATTCGGTGTTTTTGCATACACAGAGATTATTCGAGTGTTGGTTTGTAGGGATTTGATTGGTTACAGGATTTTCATCATGAGCTGACATTAGTTAGAGAACCATTGGAAAACCTGGGAGTACTGGACAGCTGTTTCGTCCCACTAGCTTGGGACTCTTCTGCAGTACGCACCCACCGCCAGGGTTCGAACCCAGGACCTTCTGGTTACAAGACAAGCAGCTCGTATACCATTAAGCCACCGGGACCCGATCCAATGGCCCATGAATTCTAACTTCTGCCAATTCACGACATAGCGCGACCCCAGCCAATTTCTTTGGCGAGTATTTGTCCTCACACCCGATCTGCTGCACCCAACTAGTCATGAAGAGTCCCAAACTAGGACAAAATAGCTGTCCAGTACTCCCAGGATTTCCAATGGTTCTCTAACTAATGTCAGCTCATGATGAAAATCCTGTAAACAGAGAGATCAGTTTTACAAAAGGCATATTTTTATGCGCCTGTAGATTTTCGCAAATAATTTTAAAAAACCAGTGCATTAAATATTTCCGATGATTTCCTCTCATACATATTTATTAGTAATAATTGATCCGGTAATTTATTAAACATTCATTAGATCAAATATACAAATTTAGACAACACAAAAACATTCTCAGCACATAACAACATTTTTTTATTTACATTTATTTTGAGGTAATACAAAAAGACGAATTTCCAAAATCTCCAACGAATCCTGATACTATCAGACAAGAAGTTGTCAATTTAGCTAAAGCTAATTGGCCTTTGTTATTTTCAAAATTTTATGAAGCCCATGAATTTAAAGGTCCAGATTTATCTGCAGAATATGTTGTAATAGCAATAAATGAAAATGGCTTGTATATAATCCATGAAGAAGATCAAATATTACGAATATTTTTATATCCTGAAATTTATAACATTTTAAATACTAGGTTAGTTTTATGCATAAGATAATGACTGAATATACGTGTACTATTCATGTTTTTTCAAGAAAGTTTGTCATTTAATTGATACTTTTCATGTATTATTAACTCATACTTGTCTCAGTTGTAGAAGCAATAGTGCCGATGTAGTCAAAACATCTAGGAACAGCTGAGGCACTGGCGATCCAAAACCACTCAAACCCACGCTATTTGTTCAAAAGAAATACGTTCACCCATTGTGCCTACCGTGGCCATCATGAAAAAATCAGTCCCACCAATAATGATTGCCCTATTACCTTTCTTATCCAATGCTCCCATTTATTTTCGTTATTTTTACATTTTTAATTCTTATTCGCCTTACTAGATCTGTTTACTATACATATCCGAACTTCCTACCTGTTTTTTATTACTACGTCCTTAATCCGTAATTTGTACAAACAGTCAATTATGACCTCATTTTGCCTTTATTTTACTTAGTAACTTTAATAATTTGACCTATGACCGGAAGTAGTTCTGGAACTTCTTCACTTTGGCGGTCTGAGCCCGAATAGCTCAGTGGTAACGTCTCTGACTGCAGCACTGGGTGACGCGGGTTCGAATCTCAGAAGGGACATGAGTTCCTTCAAGGTTGCAGATACGCCTTGCTGGCTGATGAATGACAACTAGCATGAAACCTAGGTCCAAGGCTTCCTGGGGCAGATTGCCTCCAACTATCTAATATCATCAAATCAATGTGCACCGTGATGGCAAGCTAGCTAGAATGGTGGTCACATTACAGTCTGACTGATAAAATTCAGTCTACACCAATCAGAGGACTAGACGCATCACACTAGTTACTAGTGTCAAATCAAAATACCTGGGCTACCTTTCCGTGCATCTACATACTGCATCTAATGCATCATGTTTTCATGCTTAATTTGAACAAAATATGATCACAAATCGTATCAAATACAGTAATGAATTCATTAAACGTTTCAAACCATATGACTTTCATGCATCTAATAAAACTAAGAGAAAACATCACGGTGGTTGGCAACGTGCTCTAAAACAGACACTTTATATCGCACAACTATTCCTGTTATTGTCAGTTCAAACTGCCGTTCACTTCCCAACAAAATTATTCATCTCCAGCCTCTCTTATCATCTGATAATTATCACAATACGGCGATAGTTGAATTACAAGAAACATGGCTCCATGAACTCTATGATGACAATCTGGTTTCCCTAAATGGTTTTACATCGTTTAGACAAGATCGACTATGCTGCAGAAAGAAAAGAGGTGGAGGTATTGCAACTGTCATTCATTCTCAGTGGTCAACTTCAAATGGTGTAGATTTTTCTTTCTCTAGTGACTTTGTTGATTGTATAATAGTCAAATGTCGTCCGAAACACTTATGCAAGTTTAAATACGTCTTCATCTCATTTATGTTATTCCTGGCTGTTCTGCCTCGGATCTGTCTGATTTCGCTGATAAATTCACTGAACTCGCCGTTACACACCTTGAGAACGCCTTGTCAGGAGATTTCAATTGCTGCAACTGTTCTTTCCTTGTATCATTAGGTCATGTCAGTATTGTTAAATTTCCTACTCGACTTGATAAAACTCTGAATCTAGTATTTATTAATGATGAGGAAATATATAAAGCACGCAGACTTGCTCCTATAATGAACTCGGATCATTGTATTATTCGGATATTACCTAAGATATACAGCAGATCTCACTTTAATATCCTCTCAAATCTGTCCAGGAAAACACAACAAAGGTGTTACTCACAGGGAAATGTGCTCAAACTAAGGTGTATGCTAAATGACACAAACCGGGAACTTTTCAACGAACACACACTGGATGATACCATTTACATTCTGACGGACTATCTTAAATTCTGCCTTAATGTATGCTGTCCAAAACAGATGTTTTTCAAAAGAATGGACCGTTTCTCTTCCCCTCATTTCAAAAAGCTTTGAAGAGAAAAAGAGAGACTGTACAAGACAAAGGATAAATCTGGTCTTAAGAGGATAAACATCCAAATTAAGTCCGAAATCAAGAGGCTAAACAATATTTGTAATCAGAGAATACTGTCTTGTAAAACTGCAGAGAACATGTGGAAGCTTTTCAGAGAAGTTACAGGTTGCGGTAAGCATAGTATTTGTGCCCCTTCTATTGATGTAAATACCAGCTGCATCACCTTTGAACTACAGTCGTATATATAAAAGCTTCTTCTTCTTACAGATAGGGAATAGTCCTTTTGTGCTTTCTTGGTCATATTTTTCTTGATAAACTTTTTGGGGATATCATATACTGTCGTAGTATACTTGCCCCCGCCAGTCTTATTCTCCTCACTCCTAATACCGTTAATATCTCGTGTTATTTTCACACCATCTACTTAAGTTTATTTAAACATGCATCAGTAATACTCGAATGATATTCCAGTTTACTCTGGAGTTACAACATTCGAGATACATAGAAGGCAAATTTTTACTAAATATGGTCATTAGTTTAAGAAATTTGTAACTATGTATAAAATTGAATATTGTTTACTTTCCCGAGGCAATGTTCCTTGATCTCCGACAAACCGAAATGATAATCGAGTATAATAACTATGATGGAGGGCACAATTTCAATGGACTTAAAAGTCAAAGAGGTCATTATGATGTGACCAGAAACGTTTATACTCTTTTTTTTGAGAAAAAGAAACCAAAGGACTTGAGAAGTGTGAGAAAACAACTGTGAGTGGGCATTGTTGAATTGTTTCTGCTGCATGAATTTTGTGATATCAGGATTGTTCTGTTCTAAGTGACAGAGACAATGTTAAGCGCGAAACCTATGTCTTGCTTTGTTCTTAATAACATGATTTTGGCTCTTTTATTTCTTTTTTATTTGTATTCTACAGTGAACACCTTCTTCTGCTTAGCTACCTAAATTATTAACATTGCCTTACTTTTTTATACTTTATTCTATTCCTTTTTTGTGTATTCTACCGGTTTCGACTATATTAGCACTATGAGTATTACAAAATTATCCTGTCATTAACCATCATGTAATATTAGTTTTGTGGTTGTTTTTTGTTCGGTAATGTTAACTTACAGTCTTGGTTGTGAATGCCATTATCACCATCTTAAAGACTTTGTACTATGCAGGATTACTCACACTACCACTACAAACACCGCATTAGAGCTGACAATAAAAAAAATACCCTGAAATATTTATTTTATGACTGTTTAGTGTTGTTCAATCAAATTAACTGATCACGCGATAAACATTCTTAATAGAATTTCATAACTTCTTGTATGATTATAGCTTTACTGTTCACCACGTATACACATATCATAGCTTCCACTACCCAATACTGAGACACTATTTATTAAGTTGTTTATTTTCCATTCTACTTCTTGGTATTTTTTCGCTTTTTTTGCTATTTTATGTTTTTGTTGTTGTTGTAGTTTTTTATATTTATTTTTTGAAATACTCCTTTTAAATTTTTGATAAAATTAGATGCAATATTGTAGATAAGTGCTGAAAATTCCACACTGTACCATTAGTACTGTTTCTGGAATAAAGCAAATTATTATTATTATTATTCACCCATCTGTTATAAATACATGAATGTACAGCCTAGTTGATGACTTCGTCGAAATGAAAATTCTCTTCGCTGTAAACTTCATTTCAAACTGTTTCTAAAAGTTCACCTGCAGTTGCGGTGACACCTATATAGGTAGAACCAACAGAATGTTCCAAAATGGTTATTAAAACACAAAAAATCCCAATGCAATTAATCTGAAAAGAAATCCATCATCATTCATTGCAAAGCACTTATTAATATCAGGTCACAAAATTGATATTAATGACTGTTTCACAATTATTTCATATAACTCTAATTCAAGGTTATCGAAGGTGATGGAAGCACTTTTGATGAACCACATGCACTCTAGACTACTGTAACAACAGAAGATAAGGGCCAGACAACATATCGTTTATTTAGGAAATCAACAGATATAGATTTTCATGTACATTATTATAGATTATTGTAAGCAAACAAACACAGTCTTCTGATAGGTAGTTTCTCGCAGAAAGTTAATCTTTCATCTGTTTGTGGCCATTTCTTGAAGTTCAAATTATCTATCTGCAAATTGTATCCGCCCATGCAAAGTCTACTGTGACTGGTTGTTGAGTCAGTCTTTGTTCTTATTTTTCTCATGACCAATATTGTGGACGTAAACATTGACGTAAATTACTGCCTACCAATTTTTGGCTAGCAGCCAGCTCTCACTACGCTATGTGTACAAAACACAATAGACTTCGACCTTCGTCCCATTTAAATATGATTGGTCATAAGTATGTACATTTGTTTTATATAAGTGAGTAATTGTCATGTTTTTTTACTTTATTATTGTGAATCACGTTAGTTGTAAAGCGACTGAAAATAGAAACTACGATGTGTTGCTATCATCTCACGAAATCTTTGTTCTAAATGCCTTGTTCTAATATATATTACTTATTGTTCATTATTCTAGCTTGAAGTCATCAAATATAAGTGTGTTAACATTGACTACGGTGAAAAGAGTTGAATACACATTTTTATCTAAATATTCTGGTAATATACAAAATATAACGATGAAATTCATTAGTGGTTTGAAACAACGTTCAGTGTATGCTATTGCTATTAAACATTCACAAGAACAATGCGGTATGTTCTAAATATACAGTGTAATACGACTATTTAATTATTAAAACTTATCCTAAAACTATATATATATATATTCATAGAGACGTTTAAGTACATAGCGTAGTTCCATTTGTAACTGTCATGATGTATATACACCTGAGTTTACAGATTCTGGCTACAATTTTTTATCCCTTCACGTTCCCAGTGGAACATATGGGGGTTTGAAGCTAGATGATTGAAGTTTCGGTACCAGTGGTTTTTATTATTTTTACGGGATAAGGTTCCTAGCCTCATGCCCAACCTTCCCCCTTTACCAATCTTATAACTGATTAGCGAGGTAAAGGAGTGAGTCTGTGGCCAGGGATCGAACCCAAGACCACAAGCATGGTCGGCGAGCATTCTACCGCTGTGCCACCGACGCTTCTGACTACAATAAGTTACCCAAATTAAAAGTTAAAAGTTGGATGAGTTTCTTCAAGGTTATAGATACCCAGCCGCCAATAAATTCTTTGAAGTATGAAAACGTGATTGAAGACACTCTACTAAATGAATCCAGCTAATAAATAAAAAAACATAGTTTTGTAGTTTGTTTAATAATGCACTTAGTTTGGAAGACTTTTTCTGAAATCCATATTTTACAGGTGTATGACGCGTTTGAGTCCAGATGGGTTCCAAAAAGCGTAAACAGATAGTTAAAACAAAATGTATCTGAGTAAGTTTGACTCATTATGCCCTGTAGAAAATTAGGTAGCACAATGTTTTAAGCCGAAGATCAGCTATGATTGGGAAATAAAAGATAAACTATCAAGTATTGGTTTTCAGGGGTTTGATTCGTTACAGATTTGATCAGGTTTAACGTTAGTTAGAAAACCACTGTAGAATCAGGGCCTACTTAATCTCTGTTTCGTCCTGTTTCATGGCTCTTCATTAGTGCGCACCCTCTGGGGTCAGCTCATGATCAAACCTGTAACCAGTCAAATTCCTGAAAACCAACACTTAACAGTTAATCTGATGCTCAATAACGATTGGCTTTGTATAGGGAGTTACCTGGACTTCTAGAGAGAAGTCGTAGCCAGTAGTGTCCATCGAGTCAGGTAAGAAAAAAGTTGCTTGCTTATGACCCTGGTCTGACGGTTGCGCTGTATATCGTGAATTGGCAGAAGTTAGAGTTCATGAAGTATTGCATTGGATCGTAATATCTTGATAGTCTATGAGTTCACCTTGTACTTGGAAGGTTCAGGGTTTGAGCCCCCGTCAGTGCGTACTGTCGAAGAGTCCCAAGCTAGAAAGAACAGCTCTGTAGTACTTCCTTGTTTTCCAATTGTTCTCTAACTTATGTCAGTTCATGATCAAAACTCTAGAGCTAAACATCTGACTAGCACGTTGTTCTTCTGAACATTTTTGTTCATTAATATTTTCACTGTTAACTTACTTCTAACTAAACAGGGTTATTATAATTTTAAAAAGAATCAGATTTCCAATGAATTACTAATATTTTGTTTTTTCGACAACTTAATAAAAAGACATAGTTTATCCGAAACTTGTAATGTATTCGTGAAACACATTTCGGACATTCTGGTCACAGGCATACTTGCCACATACGGTTTTACAGAAGTCAAGATGGCGGAAGTCATAACAATACAGGTCAGATTGTGTGCGGGTCAAGGTCACGAAGAATGGGTAGAGAGATGATGCGAGGATGTGGGTAAGACAGAAAGGAGAAAGCAATGAAGGGAGGGGGTGAAAATATCATTAAGTAAATTGAACATTGGTTCTAGATTGGAATACCGAGTCAGGTTCAAAGTCATAACAAATAACTTTTGGACACATAAGACAGGTTTAAGCCTTTTCATGGCCAAGGCTTCAGCGAATTGAGATATGTGACCCAACCTTGTTTTCTATATGGATTTAAAGACATTATTGAAATCGACTTTGTGATCCGTCTCCATAATGTGCTTTGCTATAGTTGATGTTGGACATCTATTTCCGGTATCAGTTGTATTCGGTGATTTTATTTGTTGTTGCAGTCATTTTGGAATATGTCATTTACCACTAACCTGCAGAGACCGATGGGCCCTCCCTTTGTACGTGTGTCCACACATACATGTAAATTGATAAACACAATGGGATGTAGCTTGAAAATCCCCATTTAGTCATGTGGAAAAGAGAAGACGTTCAACAAAGAGACTCTTTTCAGCGAATTCATTCACATAGCTGTACAATCGCACTTATATATAATTATTTGTGTGTGTGTGTGTACATGAGGTTTGTTAAGTTTAGATAATTGATCATGTAATAAAAGAATGATCTAATATAGAAACAAGGTTAATTGGACAGCAACTAAAGTAAGATTGAGTTAGTAAGTTAGATGGTGTAATATAATTGACTAAAATGTTTCAACTCAGGTCAGGGTAGCAGCAGAGGTAATTACAGGTAGCGACTAAGTAGAAGTGGGGTAGATAATAATGCCATTTAATTAGAACTGAAATTGAGCAATTAAGTTGGATGACGTAAATGACTAGAAATTGAGCGTTGGTCAGGTTAGTAACAATGGCAGTGACGTGTAGAAATTAAATCGGGTGGGGGTAGAGAACAAGAGAGTTGAAAATGCAAAATATTACAATTAAGAAGACAAAATAATACTAATGAAGAGACAGAGAAAAAAAGATTAGGTAGAATTTACTTTTCAGGTAATAAGATAGATTAAGTCCATTGTAACTGTAGTGATTGAACGAACTTCTTCTGTATGCAGAGTTCAGGGCTTATCAACGGGGAGGATTTACGGGACAGCATATACCTCGCCTTTTCTATGAAGATAAGTTCGGCTGAATAGTGAGTTCTATTATAGGGAATAAAAAGACAGTTGCAGCGAAGAAAATTTTCTTTTAGATGGAATCATCAACAAGGCTGTACATTCGCGTATTTATAATAAGTGGGTAGGAACGTTCTACTAATTACCTCATTGAGTCTTTGTTTAATGACTAGACTATGTTGTTCACCCATGTGTATGACAAGTACATATGTGGTCAGAATGTCCGAAGTTTGTTGTGCAAATACATTACATGCCTCAGATAAACTACGTCTTCTTATTGTGTTGTCGATGTTCATAAAAGGAACTAATTGCTTTAAATATTATGGGTTTTCTTTTAATAAATGTACTCCATTTTTAACAGAATCTAATAAACTGTTATCAATGCAACCTGGTGATTTAATTATAATTGATAAATATAATAAAGAAAATGAAAAAGAAGATACTATTATGAATACAGACATTCCATTACATTGTGAACGTAAAACTGATTCACCATTTCTTCGTGAAAAATTCATACAAATTGGTGACAAAAATGGTTGGTGTTATGGAAAGAATAAAACAAATGGAAAGGAAGGTTTATTTCTTGCAAAACAAGTTTACATATTGCCATGTTTATCTTATCCAACAAATGAAATAATCACATTATTTAATTTAAACAATGATAACTCTAATAACCACGCATTGAATTCTGTGCCATCACAAAATATGCACATTAAACCTATGATGACTTCCACTGAATCACATTTTAGTCTGCCGTCATCATTTCGAAATTTCAGAGAATCGCATATGTCTCGTCTACTGGATGGCACCACCCTCAGTAGGACACCTCTACATACACTTGAAGAATATGCATCACGTCATTTTCAGTAAGTATGCTAAATATTCTTTTGATAATTATCAGTCCTGCTCAAAAAACCTACTTCTCGACTATTAGTACTGCTACTATTACTATTACAATAATTATCAATACCACTGTAATTATTTGTGAAATGAGCACTGATATCATTTTTTGTGTGATAGTACTAGTTATATTATAGTATTTTTTCAGATATGTAATAACAACATTTAAATTAGAAAAGAATATTAACACATTCGATAACTCGTCTAGTCAGAAATTAAGCTTATTTTAGTCTCAAATGACTGAGCAGTTTATGATTTTAAGTCATTCTGTAATTTATTATTAGTGATGTGTAAAAATACGTTTTGATCAAACTTGCGTCACATATCTTGTACATGTATATATATATATATATATATATATATATATCTGTGTATCATTTCATAATAGGATAAGTCTTGTTAACTATTATCCCGGTGTAACAACAGAAGACAAGGGCCAGGCAACAGATCGTTTTATTATGAAAATCAACACGTATTTATACATATTTCACATACATTATTATAGACAAACGCAGGCTTCTGATTGGTTGTTTCGGGATTCCTTGGCAAATAGAGTTCTCTATCTGCGAATCATATTTTGCCACGTTAACTTTGCTGTGATTGGTTGTTGACTCAGCCTTGTTCATATTTTCTCACGGGCCATATTAACGTAGCTTAGTGTCAACCAATCGGCTAGCAGCCTGCTCTCACCACACCGGTACCTTAATATATTCGCATCTAGGCATGGGTTATGAGGTGGTTTTTGCATTATTTATCATTATTCCCTTGGGTTTCAAGTGGAGCATAGGTCTTCAGTAGAATATCTTCATTTTGTTTTGTTCTCCGCGGTCCTCTTCATCTGGTCCTACCATCGTCCGTAGGCTTTCATCTTCTGTACACAAGATTACTTCCATGTCACCTCAGGACTTACACTCAACTTGTCGTTTCGTATTCAGGTTCCGCTTGATGGTCTGACGCACTATGTCATTCAGCAGTCTACTTATCTTACATCTGTTTTTCGACATAATTCTTGGCCAATACATTCTTGACTGGTTCGTTTCTAGAGTTCCTTGGTGCTAATCATTTCTGAGCATCTGATCGTTATAGAGTGAAGGCCAGATGCTGATGAAAGTCTGAAGCCTGTTGGAAATGCTCATCGTGGAAGATATTTCTTTAATCATAAATGAAAGATAGAAAGTGTTTTCTGTAGCGAGTTTGCAATACGCATTATGATTAGGGCTTCTGAATTATTCTGTAGTCATCACTGTTTTTCTAACAGGTCATGAGAGACTTGAGCAGTCTGGAAGATTTCGTTAAAGCAACTTGTTATAGACATCTATGGTGAACTGAAATAATTACACCCTGTTATAATCGTATTTAAGATAATTCTGGTTGAGTTCTAGTGTAAGGTATTTTTCGTAAGATAGACTACATGTTTTTAGGAAAACGTATGAATCAGTGATTTTCTAGTCTTTATGTGGATTTACAGTCTTGGAAAAGAAACCCTATGTTTTGTGACAGTTGCTTATGACTTAGAAGTGTAAGCCTTTTTATATACTATATTCTGAAGTTAATTGTGAAGCCAAACAGCTATGATCGAAATATATAAGGTGTAATGCGTGCAAAGATACTTGGAATTTTTATTCCTGCTTTTTTTCTCTTAACTCAAGTACACGTAGATAGAGAGATAGTCAACTAAGATTGTATGCAGTGGGTACTTTAACACGCAGTAAGACAACAGTTGACGATGTTAAATTAATTATGCTTTAAATTTGAAATCGAGAAAGAATGATTTAGATTTTCTATGATCAAGTATATTCATCATACTTTTAAACATTTTGAATGCAATAATCACTGAAAGGCACCAAGGAAAAATTAAAATATCAGTTGGTGAACAATGTTACGATTTAAATCCATGTTGTAGTATATAACTTGAAATACAATTGGTAGGACAGCATTTCATACATTCTTCTGTTTTCCTAAAATCTGAACTGTTAAAACTTCTTTCTCCCTTCCAACTCTTTATTTACTAGTAAGCTGCATTTGAGGAAATATTTATACATTTGACCTCATTGTGATAAGCTACTGCACAAATGTTTACTAAAACTTTTTTGATTTTGTTTCTAGATACATGCGTATTTCGTTAGGTTTTTTAATTTTATCATCTAACTTATTTTTTTTATTTTTTATTTACAGCTTGATTCCACACTATATTTTTGGTACAAGCATGGAGTTTACAGCATGGATATCGGTAGCCCAAATTTGCAGGCCGACAATAGATATCAGGTGTGCGTCGGCGGAGGATCGAACCTCGGACCATGTGTATGGTCAGCAAGAGTCATAACCACTGTACCACCGACGCAGACTGCAAATAGTTTGTACGTCGTCACAGCGGTTTTTCCGTCTAACAGTGGAATAATTTTATCCTTCTGATGAAATGAAATTTCATGCACTTCCTTAACTACCGCATGAAATAGTGAACTATGCGTCGGAAGATAAAATCCAAATGCACAGGTGTAAGAGTGGAAATACAAAAAGTTAAGCGTGTATTCTAAATTGTGTGCGCAAGACTGTTGTCTCACTATAGAAATTATATTTGGCTGTGAGTTATCTGCAATAGTCAGGATTGGAGATGCATGATACACCTTTATCAAATTGAAACCAGTTTGGAAATCTTCTACACTCAGCATAAGGAACAAGATTCGCATTTTTAACACTAATGTCAAGACGGTCCTTCTATACGGGTCAGAAACTTGGCCAGCATGTCACGAAAAGGATTTCCAACAGGTTGTAGATTTTCATCAACAGCTAACTTTACTGGCTGCGTACTAAAAATCAAATGGCCACTCAGCTAGAAAGAATTAGCAAGAAGAAACTCTGGTTGGGAACTAACCAAACAAGAGCCTATTGTTCAACAAATATGTGGAGATGGATCAGGCATACATTTCGGAAACCATAGAATGACATCGCGCGCAATCCAGGCCACTGCTTGGTGGGTTACTAATGGGAAGCGACGGGCGGGTCGTCAGTGAGAGGGTGACATTGGGGAGGTCGTGTAGTGAGGAAGAGGTGAGATATTATGGGCAATGGTGGACCCAGCTGAAGAGGATGGCAGGAAATAGAAGAAATTGGGGATGTTTTGTTGGAGTTGTGTGTTCTTCTCGAAACCCAAGGGAACAATAAATAATAATAATAAATTTATCTGCAATAAGTATAAATACGGCTAAAATCCAAATCATTACTAAACCTTAATAAGAATGAATCACGCATATTTGAATGTCTGTTGGATAACTTTCAATGAATGACAGTTTTTATGAGTACTGTCCTATTTCGGTTGAGATATATGTTTATTGGACACTAGTAACTAGTGTAATGTATCTAATCCTTTGATAGGTGCAGACTGAATTCTATCAGTCAGGTTTGCAATGTGACCAACATTCTAGGTAGCTTGCTATCACGGTGCACATTGATTTGATGATATTAGATAGTTGGAGGCAATCTGTCTCAGGAAGCCTTGGACCTAGGTTTCATGCTAGTTGTCATTCATCAGCCAGCAAGGCGTATCTGCAACCTTGAAGGAACTCATATCCCTTCTGAGATTCAAACCCGCGTCACCCAGTGCTGCAGTCAGAGACGTTACCACTGAGATATTCGGGCTGGCACACTAGTTACTAGTGTCTAATCAAAATACCCAGTACAGTCCTACAGGAGGTCAATCGCGAGCCCCAGTAGCTCAGTGGTAACGTCTCTGACTGCAGTACTGGGTGATTCAGGTTCGATTCTCAGGAGGGACATGAGTTCCTTCAAGGCTGCAGATACGCCTTGCTGACTGATGAGTGCCAACTAGCACGAAACCTACGTCCAAGGCTTCCTGCCTATTTCTACTTAATATCATCAAATAGATATATTTTTATAATTTATCAATGAAACGTTGTAATATGTTTTTTACGAATACATTCGACTCTAATTAAGTCCACATATGCAGTCATTATCAAAATATAATGTCAGTATAATTAATCACAAAGCATTAGTTTGCTGCAATAACTGAAAATTTTCTATTTAAGCATCTGATACAAACTTATAAATCTAATAATACTCTTTTTCACAAAATAAAAATTATCAAAATTAACTTCTCTGAAATCACCACAAGAAACAATCTCCTTAAAATGTTAGTGTGATGTAGACAAATAAAGTCTTTTTCAGCTGTTAAATTTCTGTCACGATTCAAGGTCAGTTAGCGAGATCACTCAAAACAAGTGCTCCATTGTTAGTACTCATGGTTCACTTAGCTTCATTCCAATTGGTTGAATGCTCAGTGACCTTGATCTAACAACCTGAAGGTCCCAGGTTCAACCCCTAAGCAAGGTCGTGTGTACGCATTGCTCACCAATCCCGAAATATGACGCAACAGCTTTCTAGTAGTAATCCTTGGTTCTCAATGGTCTCGTGACGAAAATCTAACATCGCTAAAATTAATCCAAAAACCCTATAAGTTCTATAATCTGAATAAAGTATTTTCGTCAAAGTTGTATCAGTCTCAACGTTTAAAGATAAAATTTGAATATTTTGACAGATACACATTTTAGACATTTGTAGATTGGTGATATATATATATATATATATATATATAAACATTACTCATTTCATACTACAAAACACAATACTTATCTATAAACAAGTAAGTAAACACAATAGAAAAAAATGCAAACTCAAAACTGTATAAAGTGGATTTAAATACGTGAAATCAGATAGTTTTATTACCATTTAATAGCAAGAAATATAAAAAGTTCATACGAGTTTGACCACGGATTGATATCATTTAGAGAACCAGGGAGTACTGGACAGCCAGTTGTTTAGTCCTAGTTTGGAAACCATCGACAGCATTCATCCACGGCCAGGTTTCGAACCCAGGACCTTCCAGTTACAAGGCAATCTGGTATACCGTTCAACCACTGGAACCCAATTCAACGACCAGCCCATGAATTCCAACTTCTGCCGCATTTAACGTGACTACCAACCAGTGTCATAGGTGGGACCTCCATATTCACTCCCGACTGGATGGACCTCACTGGTCACGACTTCTCACCAGGGTTCGAACCTCAGTGGATGCGTAGTGCCGATAATGCCCAAATTAGGATGAAACAGCTGTCCAGTATTCCCCGGTATTCAATGGTTCACTAAGTGATATCAATCTGTTGTCAAACTCGTACAAACAAATCTAATCCTTACAAACCAAACTCTTGAAAATAAAAAGTTCTTCGAAGAGGAAGAGATTACGTCATACTAATATGTCTAAAACCTGTGTACTGTGTGTGCACTGTGTAGCATGTAATTCCATATTAAATTGTCCACTAGATATAACACACAGTGAAACAGTATTAGTATTTACTGGATGACAAAGTTTCAAACACAATTTGTCGCTGTTTCCAATCATACTAATTATAATCATACAACTTCGAACGTTCTCACTAACTTTGTAAAAGCAGAAGGCGATACACGGGAGCAAACGTATATTTTCAATTGATCAAACGACTATTTAGATATATACAGTTTACATTCTTTAACCAAACACTGAGCGTGTGATTTTGGTTTACATTAAGCAGAATGCTCAAATATATATAGTATTCTGTTGTTTATGCAGTAATGAATTGCGGGAATATGTGAGAATAATATTCCATTGTCTTTATCACACTATCACACCCCTACAACAAATGGGAAAGAATAGAGAAAATTATTCAATGAAAATTTCGGAATTGTGTGATTAGATTTAGTGTGATTATGAACAACAATAAAATGAACTCAAAACTTTGTCAACCAGTAAATACTAATACTGTTTCAATATGTGATATGCCTAATAAACAAATTAATATGGATTAGAAAAAGTTCCGCTTTTGCCTATATACAGAGGTTATATAAAATTATTTTACAATGATCTTAGAGGGCTACAGAAAAGTGACTTTAAACAAATTCATATTGTAACGAGAAAAGACAGAAGCCAGGCAACAGATCGTTTAGTGAGAGAATCAAGAGATATTCATAGATTTTTATGTACATTATTGTCAGCGGAGAAGCAACGTCTTCTGATTGGTTGTTTTCCGCTGAAGGTTATTCTATGATGCTTGTGACCGTTTCTCAGACAGTTAAGCCATATATCTGCGAATCGTATTTTCACACGCTAAGTCTTCTGTGATTGGTTGTTGAGTTTCTCAAGGTTAAGCTTTGTAATTGTTTTTCTCATGACCCTGATTCAAAACGTAAACAATGACGTAAATTGGTGTCTCCAATTTTGGCTTTTTCGCAGCCAACTGTCAACACATTACTACTGTCAGATGTTATTTATGCATATTTGAATTGGGTTTACTTATTTTATTTTTTAAGCACAGTTTCTTGCTCTCAATAGGTAGCAGTGAAATTCATTGAAAAAGATAATAAGATTAGTCTACTTCATTCTGACTTAAGAGACTTAATTTCACAAACATCATGTTTTTTCCTGTACTCTAGGAAAATTCCATCTACCACCCCCATTTGGAAGTATACAAATGAACCAATTAGTATGCCATTATTACAAGAGTTTAGTCAAAGTGATTCGGAAGTGTGTCAAATGGCAGTGAAATCATTTGACGCAATTATGCAATACATGGATAGTGGTCTGCCAAATGTTGAAAAATCGCTTCAGTTAACTGATTTTATTTTTCAATCATTTCTTCACTCACCAATTTTGCGCGATGAAATTTACTGTCAATTAGTGAAACAAATGACATATAATAACAATGAGTAAGATGAATTTATTATTTGAATAAGGCATTAAGAAGACAAATTTTGCGAGATGATGTCGTCATTTCGTAGTTTCTTTACAACCACTTTACAACTAACATGGTTAAAAATAATAAAATAAAGTTCATGAAAATTACTCAGTTAAATAAAAAAACAAAAGTACATACTAATGACCAATCATATTAAGATAGGTCATGTAGTCCAGGGTAGGCGATGATTGAAGTCTTTTGATTTTTGTACACACAATTTAGGCTGTATGTGATTAATCCAAAGTGCTTCTATCACCTTCAATAACCTTGAATTAAAGTTATGTGAAATAATTGTGAGACAGTCATTAATATTGATTTTGTGACCAGACATTAATAGGTGTTTTGCAATGGATGATGCTGGATTCCTATTAAGATTAATCGCATTGGGAATTTCGATATGATTTACTAGCCATTTTGGAACATGTTCTTTTCAACGACATTGGAACATTCTGTTAGTTCTACCTATATAGGTGTCACCTCAGCTGCAGGTGAACTTGTAGATACAGTTTGAAGTAGAGTCCACAGAATTTCGTCCTTTAATCACAGGTAGGCATAGGGATGGAAAATGTTCGGCAAGTGAGAAAAAGAGATGCGGCATAGAGTGTGAGTTTGGTGGTTGACCGAAGTCTTTGATCTGTCAACTGCGTAATCTGGTCGCCCTTGAATGGTAGGCTAATAAAGATAGCTTTCTTTGGTACAGAAGCTGTCTTTTCAAGATGTGCTCTATCCTTACTGTGACAAGTGATAAAGTTCTCCGGATAACCATTAGCTAGTGAAACTGAATGTATATGTCGAAACTCATCCATAAATGTGTCACTCGTGGATATTTTTCGGGCCCTTGAGAACAAACATTTCACTAGGGAACGTTTATACTGGATAGGAACAAAACTGGTAAAATGAAGATATTGTCCACTCCATGTCTGCTTACGGAAAATAGATCGCTGAATCGTTCCATCATCTCTCCTAGTCATAGTAATATCCGGGAAACCGAGTTTGTTATTCTATTCTAGTTCGGAAGTCACTCGAATATTTGGATGAATATAATTAAATAGGGTAATAAAGTTTTCATTAGTATGTACTTTTGTTTTTTTATTTAACTGGGTAATTTTCATGAACTTTATTTTATTATTTTTAACCATGTTAGTTGTAAAGCGGTTGTAAAGAAACTACGGAATGACGACATCATCTCGCAAAATTTGAGTTCTTAATGCCTTATTCACATTTATCAAAGGGATTAATTGTTTGAATTTATTATTGTTGTCGTGATTTTTTATCTTACCCCTGTACATTTCTAGTGGAACATAGGGGGCTTCAAGCTAGAGATTTGAAGTCTCGGTAGCAGTGTTATTTATTTTTGCGGGATGGGATTGCTAGCCTCATACCAAACCTTCTGTCTTTACCAGTCTTACCACTGGCTTAGAGAAGTAAAGGAGTTCGTCTGTGGCGGTGGATCGAACCCCGGACCACATACGGCGTGGTTGGCGAGCGTTCTACCGCTGTTTTACAAACGCACTAGTAAGATGAAATATGTTTATTATCCTTTATGTATTATTGTGCTGTTAAAATCTTTTTTTTTCTCGAAAAAAATAGAGATAGTACACACAAAAGAAGGCAATATTATTATTATTACTTCCTTTAATTTCTAGAGGAACATAAGGCTTCAGCCGCGCGTCTCCATTGCGTTCGGTTCTCTGATAAAGTTTTCACCCCGCTCCAAGTCTGTCCACATGCTTTCATCTCCTCTTCACATGACCTCTTCCAAGTCACCCTCGCACTGACGACCAACTCGCCGCTTCCTATTTAGTCGGGTTCCACTCGTGCAATGGCTTGTCTAGTGATGTCACTTGATGATTTCCTCAGACTATGGCCAATCCATCTCCATTTCTTCCTGTGTATTTTTTTCACAATCGGTACCTGGTTAGTTCACTCATTCCTAGAAATTCCTGTTGCTGATCTTTTCTGGCCGGCCATCTGCTCTTGAGTATTGAGCGAAGACAGCTGTTAATGAAGTTCTGTAGTTTGTTTGACATGCTCTTTATGACGCGCTGGCCAAGTCTCTGATCCGTATAGTAAGTAGCACTGAATTCACATTGGATTTGAAAATCCGGATGTTATTTTTGATGCTGAGTGCTGTTGACCTCCACACAAATTTGAGAGTAATGAAAGCTTGTCTTGCTTTTCCGATTCTGGCTTTGATATCCTCGTCAGTTCCGCCTGTAGTTGAGACGATGCTTCCCAGGTAGGTGAAGGAGGTTGTTTCTTTCAGGTTCCTCCCATTTATGCTGATTGTTGTCTGTTGTCGTTGTTTCTGTGGCTCTGCTGTCGGTCAGGAATCTTCATCACCTCTATTTTCTCCATTTTCACCTGAAGTGAATTTCTATCTTTGATGCTTCTTCTGTCAACTTGTTGTTTTTCACTTGCACATCTTCCAGTTTGTGAGAAATCAGACATATATCATCGGCGAAGTCCATATCCTCTAAGATTTCACAAAAGAAGGCAATATAAGGGATAAATATGAGCATCTTCTCTGAATTATATGATTATAGGGGTGTCTTCCTATGAAGTTTATCGTCTCTAACTGCATTACACTAAGGTAAACAAGTTAATCATATAATGTGTAGTGTTTGATTGAGCATTGCAAGGTCTACGTCTTTGACCTGCATAACACCACAAGTTGTGTCATTTCTGCAAGGTGCTGCACCAATAACTTACTCCGATTAATATTCACTATTTCCTAATTGTAACTTCATTATTAAGAAATACCGTTCTTAGAAAATTAGCTGAATCATGAAACTGGGAATCGATGCTACGTTACAGATAAACAAGACAGATGATTAAAAGTAATATGAGAATAAAGATTTATATAAAAGACATGCAGAAAGTCAGGCTCTAGTAGTTCTTGTACGGAGTATTTTGCTACCTATTATCCGTTACTCCAAAAGATTTCATGAATAATGTTTGCACATCATCGTCACTTCTCACGAAGAATGTGATGAAATTAGTATATGAATCCATCATTTCTCACGCGTGTTGTGATTAGGTGCGTGATCATTTTGTCGTCTTTTGTCTCACCTTCGTCTTTGTCGGGTCTTCAGCCAATCAGAATAGACATTGCCAGCCAACAAGAACCATCCATGTGCGTCGGTGCCACAGCGGTAGAATCCTCGCCAACCACATCGCTTGTGTTCTGGGGTTCGATCACCAGCGGGCGCACCAATTTACCTCCTTAAAACAGTAATAAGACTGGTAAAGAGGGATATGGGGCTAGCAAATCCACTCCGTGAAAATAAATACCACTGCTATCGAAACTTCAAGCGTCTAGTTCGAAGCCTTATGTTCCATTGGGAACGTGAAGGAATGGAAAAAAGAACCATTCATTTTTATGATTATCAGCCAACTTTATTGTGGTGAAGAAATGTATAATTATGGCGTCTAGTTTTCTAATAAATCTACAATACAATAATCTTACAATCACAGGCCAGCCTTTGTCTTTTGATACCTATGCGGTTCTGTGAATCGGAAAGTACAAGGGAGAAATAGGCTAAGTATCGTACCAGTTGAGTTCATTACCGTTATAACAATTAGCAGACGCAGATATAACAAAGTAGCAACGGGTTCATTTTATTTCACTGCAGTTATATCAGCTTATGTTTCAAAATATCGGTGCATCATCATACTGTAGACCTATCACAGTTTGCAAGTGTTGATGTGTGTTAGAATGTCCAAAGAGATTATAAAGGAGTGACAAGCCGTTAACCTTAACATTCATATTTATACATTTCGCACATTTCTAGTACCTATAATATATATGATACGTATTCACACCTGTATAATTACAGGAAGTAAAGCCAATGAAAACGGTGACAGGTTTCTTATCCAGTAAGTACGCATCATCTCTAATGAGCTGAATGATAACCAGGTTATAGCTCAGAAGCAATGGGCGCTGTTTGTGTTCCATAAAGTCACTAACATTTTGTTTAAAAAACGATTTAGCATCTCATTAACATTTCTTAATAGATATGTTCATTTTGGAAAAGTAGACATTAGTGGGTGACTTTCTTTGGACTAGTGTTTTCAAATTATCGTTCCAAAGAAATTAACATTTTACATCCTGTAACATATAGCGAAGATGGAGGTGACGGAGATAACCAACCCAACAACCTGCTACAATCACCATCACAGGAAGGAATTTAACACAAGTTACTCCCTTCACTTATCCAGGGAGCCAGAATCACTCCAACTACAGACGGTGGGAACAGATGAAGATGTTAAAGTTGGTCAGAATCCGGGAGGTGAGATACAACTCCATCAATCTGAAACCAGTTCGGATATCTTCTACAATAACTCACGACAAACAACAACATTCGGATTCTCTACACCAATGATAAGTTGGTTAGTCAGTCAATCAGTCAGTCACTTCTTCGATATGGGTCGAAAACTCTCAATGTGTGTCACGAGGAGGATTTCCAACAGGCTACTGCAGACTCTCATCAACAGCTGCCCCTTTCGATAGCTGTCTAGCTCCTTACTGAAGATCAAATGGCCAGCCAGTCGGCCGGCCGGTCAGAAAGAATTAACAAGAAGAAACTCTGGCTGGGCGAAAACTAACCAAGAACCTATTGTTCAATAAATATATAGGAGAAAGTGGAGATGCGTTGGTTAGACGCAGAGGAGACCGTGGAATGACATTGGTTGTCAGGCAATATGTCACTTGGAAACCGAATGGTTAACGAGGAGGGAGTTGTCTGTGAGAGGATGATATTGAGGGGATCGCGTGAGAAAGAGATGAGAGACTATGGACAATCGTGGGCCGAGCTGAAAAGGACAGCAGGAAATAAAACAAAATAGAGAAAATTTGTTGTCGTATGCCCCACTCCTCTGCGTGTAACCAACGCATCTTCACTTTCTCCTATATATTTATTGAACAATAGGTTCTTGGTTAGTTTTCGCCCAGCCAGAGTTTCTTCTTGCTAATTCTTTCTGACCGGCCGGCCGGCTGGCTGGCCATTTGATCTTCAGTAAGGAGCTAGACAGCTATCGAAAGGGGCAGCTGTTGATGAGAGTCTGCAGTAGCCTGTTGGAAATCCTCCTCGTGACAAACATTGAGAGTTTTCGACCCATATCGAAGAAGTGACTGACTGATTGACTGACTAACCAACTTATCATTGGTGTAGAGAATCCGAATGTTGTTGTTTGTCGTGAGTTATTGTAGAAGATATCCGAACTGGTTTCAGATTGATGGAGTTGTATCTCACCTCCCGGATTCTGACCAACTTTAACATCTTCATCTGTTCCCACCGTCTGTAGTTGGAGTGATTCTGGCTTCCTAGATGAATGAAATAAGTAACCTGTGTTAAATTTTTTTCTTTTTAGTGGTGATTGTAGCTGGTTCTTGTTGTTGTTGTTGTTGTTATTGATTCATTGGTTACCGTTATCACCACCTTCTCCTGGAGTCCTGTTCTTTCTGACTGCTTCTTCAGCCAATTTCTTGGTTGTCGCCTGCGGGTTTTTTGTTTGTATGACATATATCTGCAAAGTCCATATCTTCTAGAGTTTTGTTACTGGTAGTTCAATGTATTTCTGTCTACTTGCTCCATGTGCCAATTTTGAAGCATAATAGAGTCCATCACAATCTGATATATCATAATTCGTAATTATTTCATAGAGGCTCTCTGTTATAAGAAGCACAGATATATAACAACAATTAGTTTTACTTACAAGTGTTTGTTTACATGGATTTAATTGATTTTGAAGTTCGATTATTAACTGACTTCACTTAGAGAACCATCGATGACTATGGAGTACTGGATACATATTTTGGCCTAGTTTGGGACTCATACTCAATATTATTCTATGAAAACATATCTTATACTTCTTATTCTTCTAAACACTATTACCCTTTCCATCTTTTTATACTTTAGTATGAGTGTTAGACGAGGTTGGCAACTTTTATGGTTAGCAACAGGACTTGCAACGCCTAGCAGTGAATTAATGAAAGAATTGGAAGCATTTTTACGTTCTAGTCGAAATAAGTTTGGAAAACGATGTCTTCAGCGTTTAAAAAGGACACTGAGGTAGGTAAACGTCAAATTGTTTTCTCAAAAACTTTCGATAATCAAAACTTGTCATCTCATTCTTAGAAACTACTTGTATTTACATTAAAAAATGATATTAGTTTCGTGTACGCCGGAGGCCATCAGTTTTGTATCACAGGCCTCATTTCAGTAATTAGATTTAACTAGACTCATTTCATCTTTAGTTCTTGATCACATCACCAACAGACTATAAAAATGAGGTTATTCCAGGTAATCTTTCTTGACAATTAATGTTTTTTTCACAATACCAACTCTCTGTGTTGTTTAGAAGGAAAAAGATTCTGCAAATCAGTTCCTCAAAACATTTCCGATTATATTTTAAACTACTTAGACTTTGAAAAAGCAGTAAGAGCTTTATTCTAAAATATCAGTTTAAACACAATGTAGAATTTTCATCAGGTTTCATATTGTAAGGTATTTCTTCCTTGTGCAGAATCTTCAAATAATATTATAGAAGACAGTATATCAAATGAAGTGATATCGTTTTATAGAAGTTAGGCTGTTCGTCGGTGGCACAATGGTTAGGACTCTCGCCGACCATGCACATGGCCCGGGATTCGATCCCCCGCCAACGCACACCTGATATCTATGGTTGGCCTGCAAAACTTAAGCTACCGATACCACATGCTGAAAATTCTATGCCTGTACCGAAAATACGGTGTGAAATCAAGCTGTAATCAAAAAAATAAATAAAAAATAATCTACAAGGTTCCCCCTCCATTCCCATCAGAAAATTCGTAGTAAAGGGTTAAAACATATTTGAAAATGTGCCTGAGTATACTATGTAATTCTTAGATATAATTGTATGATTAAAACAATGTGATACGGAGATAAGCACAGTACATTTAGATATATAGAAAATTTAGGTAGCCCAGTGATTTAAACAGGCCGCCAAAATCATATAAGAATTTTTTAAACGCTCATTAATAAAGTACTCCAGAAATAAGGTTTCATTGATTGGAGGATTTCATCATGAGCTGACATCAGCTAGAGAACGATTGGCAGAATTTAGAATTCATGGACTGGTCATTGGATCGGGTCCTAGGGGTTTAACAGTCTACGAGATCGGTGACCTCGTAACCAGAATGTCCTGAGTCCTGAACGAGTGGAACGAAACAGGTGTCCAGTACTCCCAGGTTTTTAAATGGTTTTCTAACTGCTGTCGACTAATGATGAAGTCCTCCAATCTATCAAACAAAAGATCCCTACAAAACCAATACTTGAAACTAAGGTTTTACTTGTTTACTGATTCTTTAAGTCAAGGGCAACGGCACTATCCACCGTATGAAAGTGAAGTTTTCGCCATCCAGTCTAACACAGAAGAAATGCCACAGGAAATATGTTTTCCTGATGGGTCACATTTAGTGAGTTATTTAGTTGTTGTTTTTTTTTGAAGTAATTTATACTCTATTGTCATTATCATAAAATTTTTAAATTACTGAAATATGGTACTCAAATAGAAATATTTTGGGGAAATTTGGGCGGTTTCTAGAGGATTTCTGCGAGGGGGTGGAAGAGTGTGAAACTGAAAAACTATGAAGGTCAACGGTGTCAATGGAGTGTAACGTAGCTCACCCACATATTAATGCAAACAAATAATCGCTTATATTATTACACCATTTATATTGATCATTATGTTTAAAATACATTTCGCCACTGGTCCACTATCATCACTTTTTTCGAAATTGTTCACCTTGAAAGTGAGTTCCCTGGTTCATTATGTCATTCAAATACCTATTAAAATAGTGATGTTTTAGATGCAAATAGTTGTGCAAATGAAGTGTCTACGGGAAGGCTTATCACTTTCCAAAATTGTCAAAGTTCTACTCTATAAGGAAGAGCTAGAAAAATAACGGAAAGAATTTTTCTTGGCAACATTGCTGATTTAGGAGTTCACTTGTGAGCATTTTTTGGTTTAAATTATCCACTTATTAAGACGGCAAATTGTCAATAGCTGAAGAAAGAACTCTGGTTGAACGACTTAATGATACAGTCTTGAAAATGGTGACGAATATAAAGATAACTCTAGCATACCCCAACAAGTTCTTCCTTATATTTAAGGAGTTATTTTCTCAGTTGCCAACCAACTCCAGAAAGGTTTCAAGATATCTTCAAAAATATGTCACTAGAATTGTAAATTTATTATAAAAAAATTACGTAAAATAAAAGGCATCAATCTGGTAGAAAGTAAACTGGAATAAAATAAGTAAATTGACTGTCGTATTGTGACTGACAAGACTGAATGATACTCAACCAAAATTCACCGACGGTTAAGTTAACAACAGTTGTAATGAAGTGTGAGGTGAAGAAACAATTTGATTAAAAATCAGAAAACAAAAAATTACATATCAAGTATTAAGACAGATCATGTCCATTTTAGATTTAATAATTGGACAAATTTCTTTTGTATGCAGACTCCAAGATTTAACATGTGAATTGCCATAGCTTCTGTAGCTTGAGGAAGTCTGATTTGTACTATTTTAGTGAGATTCTCGTGTATTTCTGTAGCTGCCTTTGAAGTTGGTTTGTAGGGTTGGGTTGGTGTCCAGATTCAACCAGGTTTTCCAGGATAAAGCTATAGCAGGGGGATCTTTTTTCTCTCCTTTATAAGACCATGAGGGTAAGTGTTCAATGATACGTTTGGATAGCAAACGCTGAGTACGACCAACATACCTAGCTCCACATGAGCAGATGAACTGGTAGATGCACATTGATATTAAATATATTACGTAATCTTCTGCCTGAAATGTACAATTTCACTGACAAACCTTTGGAAATATTCATTTTGTTTCTAAGGTAATATATTATATATACATGCTATTGTACAACTTCAGAATGATATCACTGAACGTCTTTTCTTCTATAAAATATTTAATTATTTCCTTATGATAACTGAAATATCCGTGGAATCATAAACTCTAATATGGGGAGGGGGTGTTTCTAGTAAGCCAAAGAGAACAAAATATACCTCCTGGATTCCACTGCTAGGCCATCATTAACCAAAATAACATATTACACTTTTGCTTTTAGTGTTTAGCATTAATAGTCAAACTTCAGAGAAGCCTAAGTAATCTTGTTTTCAAGCATGTTAGTAATATTCAACAAGACATGGTTGTATTGTAGACTTAGGAAAAGTTATGCCTTCATCTATTATCAAAAGTACACTAATGATTATCAAAATCATAAACTGTCTGATAACAACTGAATCTTTATGGATTCATCAAATAGGAAATTTGTCTAGGAAAGACTAGCGTAACCTAAATCTGATAAAGAGATTTCTGCTAATAAACTCTATCAGTGTAACACACTGGTTTTTTTATGTGTAAAGTATGATTTTAAATTTTCAATTAAAAACATTGCATATCATTATAAATTTTTTTTTATAACATTACAAACTACTTCTTGATTTCTTTATTTTATAAATTTAAATAGACAAGGTGTGTGGATTCAAGTACTAAAGTAAAAGATTTGCTGAAAAAAATCATTAAAACTTTGGAAATAGAAACACCAGCTGCCTATTCAATTATAGTATCTATTAAGGATCAACTACACACAATGCCAAATAATCTTTTCTTTTTCGATTTTATTCGCGTTCTTACAGATTCTATAAAAGAACAAAATGTTCCCACAGAAGGTTTGTTTATTTACGTTTTTTTATTTTTACACATTCAAAAACCATCAGCTGTAGATGCTTGTCACTCTTGGTTTCAATATAAGGACTATAATGAAAATCTAGATTGTGGTGAGATTCGAACCAGGGGATTCTGAATTATACCTATCCGACTTTCTACCAGTTGATCTATGACATCTGAGTGCTAATCAGATCATTATTTCACTTATATCACCGCGTTCATGCCCAGCTATCCTGGGAATTAATGAATTTACTATCCTTTTATCACCTGATTGATTGAAATGATGACCTGATTAAAAGTTTTCACCTCGGCCCACGATTGTCCATAATCTCTCATCTCTTTCTCACGCGATCCCCTCAATATCACCCTCTCACAGACAACTCCCTCCTCGTTAACCATTCGGTTTCCAAGTGACATATTGCCTGACAACCAATGTCATTCCACGGTCTCCTCTGCGTCTAACCAACGCATCTCCACTTTCTCCTATATATTTATTGAACAATAGGTTCTTGGTTAGTTTTCGCCCAGCCAGAGTTTCTTCTTGTTAATTCTTTCTGACCGGCCGGCCGGCTGGCTGGCCATTTGATCTTCAGTAAGGAGCTAGACAGCTATCGAAAGGGGCAGCTGTTGATGAGAGTCTGCAGTAGCCTGTTGGAAATCCTCCTCGTGACAAACATTGAGAGTTTTCGACCCATATCGAAGAAGTGACTGACTGATTGACTGACTAACCAACTTATCATTGGTGTAGAGAATCCGAATGTTGTTGTTTGTCGTGAGTTATTGTAGAAGATATCCGAACCGGTTTCAGATTGATGGAGTTGTATCTCACCTCCCGGATTCTGACCAACTTTAACATCTTCATCTGTTCCCACCGTCTGTAGTTGGAGTGATTCTGGCTTCCTAGATGAATGAAATAAGTAACCTGTGTTAAATTTTTTCTTTTTAGTGGTGATTGTAGCTGGTTCTTGTTGTTGTCTGGTTGTTTGGTTGATTGCTATCATCACCTCCATCTTTTCTATGTTCACTTGCAGTCCTGCCTTCGCGGTTCGCTTTTTCAGTCAGTTTGTTGGTTTTCGCTCTTTCCAAGTCGATGAGACTGTTGAGGTAGAGACTGCCATTTGACTGCCATTCTATACACAGGCTGTTTGATGACGATGCGTAGAGTAGCACATGATTTGCCTTTCCTGAATCCACCTTCTTCCCGGGTTTGGCGGAACTCTGCACAGGCAGGTAGGAGTCTTCCTTCTTTGGCGGCTTGACGAGGTAGCCAGCCGTTCTTCCAATAGGTAGGAACCTTTCCGTTTTTCCAAACATTTTGCGATAATGGCGTGAGCACATCTGCCGCAGTCTCTGCGTCCATTTCCACCACTTCAGAGGGATTTCCATCTAGTCCTAGTGTCTTCCCTGTCGGACTTCAGTAGCTTTATCGTATTCGGGATTTATGCTTCCGTTGGAGGAATGGTGTCCACTGGCAGGCAGTTCTGTGCCTGCTTTTGGTGGTGGCGGTATTTCTTAGCAAGTTGCAGGTGATGTTCGATTCAAGAGTTCTGTGAAGTGATCATCCCATTGACTTATTTGTTTTTCCTCCTTGGTGATCAGGTTACTTTGAACATCATTTATTTGTTGCATCATCTGGGTTGATCTCTTCCCGAATAGAGACCTGGTTATCTGATATAATGTCCTGAGATCTTTTACCTGCAGTCTGCCTGTTCTGCTTCAGTCACCGGCCAGTGTGTCGTAGAATTGTCTTTTGTCTTTCCTAGCAATCTTCACTTCTTTATTCTCCTCAGTGTACACTGAACTCAGATTCTCCTTCTGTCGTCCATCTCTGCATTGAGTCATCTTCTTTTCCACCATCCTCCTCTCCTTTCTTCTATTAGCTTCCAAGTAGGTATCCGTTAAGAGCCATTCCTTGGTTTGTCTCTTTTTTTATTCCTAGAACAGTTTTACACGTTTCCTTGAATATCGCCTTCAGATAGTTCCAATGTTCTTCCACATAGGTTTCCTTGGTGATAACACGTATTGTGTCCGACTTCACTCTGGTATGGTCTGTAGTGAAGGTATCTCTTGCGGTTTTGTCCTTCAATTTCTATATGTTGAACTTGAATTATAGTGGCCTGTCTACATTGGTTTTCATAGATTTAAGCTTCACTTTGAAGGTTCCTTTAACTAGATGATGGTCTGAGCCCACATCTGCTGCCCTTTTCAATTTTGTATCCAGTAGGCTATGTCTCGACTTCCTTGAGCGACATTGAGATGAAATCTGTTTGGTTTGAGGTGTGTTCATCAAGCGAAATCCATGTTCTCGTACACGCTGCCTCTGATCACCAGATAACTGAAAGAGCAGAAGTCTGCGAAGAGTTCTCCGTCCTCATTCATTTCTCCGAGCCAGATACTCTCCACCCATGATGAGTTCTCTTCCTATAATATCTGATCCCAGTTTGGCTGGCATTCATATCACCCCTCAGGATTTTGATGTCACCACTTGGGATGTTGTCCATTACTGTTTGTAGTTGTCTGTAAAAGTCTTCCTTCTTATCTTGTTCCGCGTTGGATAATTGTGACCTTACTTCCTTTTGAGTTGAATCATGATGTCCTGTAGGATGAAATTGGTTCCTACTGAATTAAGGCTCTGGCTGCCACTGGTAACATTGTGATAGCCTTAGTGTACTCGTGGTTGTCGTTTGGGTGAACGGACCGCAGTAGATTACTGGCTCTCCATTCCATCTGCTTTGGCAGATACCCAGCACCTCTGTGCCGTTTATTCGCATATCTTTGGCCACCTGGGCAGCTTACCCAGTCTCGTACATTGTACAGACATTCCACGTCCCCATTCCTACTCTTGATTTCATCGAGAGGAAACACATCGGCTGGCTGACTGGCTTCCCGAAGCCCGGCTTTCGCCAGGCCGCTGTGTCATTTCACCTCTCCGATTCGAGCAAAGAATAAGATTTTTATTTGAAGTTTTTGTATTTTTAATATATCTTCTACGCATTGAAGTTTCTGTAGCAGTTTGATAGGTTCAGTGGTGTGGGATGCTAACTGCACGCCCAACCCTCCCACTTTACCCGGGCTTGGGACCACCTAGGAAACTAACAAGCTAGTTAACCAGGCGAGGTTCTTCCATTGCCATTATCCTGTAGATATGGATGATAAATTCAATAATTACCTAAACAATATTCATATATTTCCCAGGTAGACCTCTTCATAAACGGATATTGAACAGGGAAACAGTCAAGAAAACTGACTATGAAACAGCAGTTTAGTTGTAGTTTGGAAATCTTTGTACGTTTACCTGTAAAATCCAATATGTGCAGCAATTTAGGGTCTTTTGAGTCTGGTTAGTATGTTATCATCAAGCCAATAGCGAAAGGTAACAATAATGGACTAATAATAATAGACTAATCCAGAAGTAAGGCATTAACACAATCCCTACGAAATGTTACAATCCTCTGCTTGATTCCTAAAAACAAGTTCCAAAGTAGTAAAAATGGCCTATCCATCTAACTGTTTTTGAAGAAGTAACCAGTTAGATGTGTTAAAGATTAACTATTAGGAAGTTAACTTCAATAAGTATGTCCTGCTAAATAATATCTTCAGATAAAGTTTTGGAATGTGATTGAAAGAATTTCGCTAAAAGCGTTAGATTTATGAACGGCTTGCATTTCATTCCATGATACCTCTTCTTCGTGTATTTTGCCTCATAAATCTAACTGAACTATTATTCTCATTGGATACTATTAAACTGTTGGACATCATAGAGACAAAATCAATTTAAAATGAGCGTATGATGTAGTCGTTCAACTAAATGATAATCTCTAACATCTTATAACTTGGATTTACAGCTAAAAGGTAGCAGACTGACAAAAAACAAAAACAACGGCTCACTGACTGATGAAAAACAGAGACAAAGACCAGTTGAAATCTTCACACTGACTACTTTCTAAGAATGACTCTGTGCGCGTGTGTACGTGATTGTGGTAACTAACTTACTACACTGATTCTACATCATCAGTCGACTTTAGAACTACTTCATTGTTAATATTTTTTTGTTTTATATTTATTTTCCAATTATGAAGAATAAAGTCAAGCTAGATGTATGTGAATAATAATAATAATAATAATAATTTGCTTTATTCCAAAACAGTACTTGTGATACAGAATGGAATTCGCAACATTTTACTACAGTATTGCATCCACTTAGTACATTATCAATAAATAAAATTCTACATAGATTAGGGGAATCTTAGTTCGTTTTGGCAACAACATATTGGGATGTCGGTAGCAAAGCCAAAAATTGAACAGAGTGTTTGGAGGTGTTAGAAAAGTAGATGGTAGCATATTTACTGGAGTAAGCAGAAGAAAGTGTCACATAACAGAGAAAAATAAAAGGTATGAATTGGAAAGACGAGATCCAGTTGTTCTACTGACTATTTAATAAGTTATAGGTATCACGCCTAATGCTTTCTTTATCGTACACAAAACACAGCTAAGTAGGGTATAGTTGAGTTTTTGTACTTACTAGTGCGAGCATATAGTTTTCTATATAGGCTTCTGGTTTTTCCTGATGAGATACAAGGGGAGAGTTGTGAATGAAGAGGGTGGTGTGAGTTAGATCGAATGGATTTAGCCCATTTTTCACATGAGTCCAAGTGCCTGTCGACCAGAATATTAACAAGCTGGTTGAGTGGCACCCTGTGGCTTACCCTGCTGACAACCTTTAACATCCTGCGTAATAAGGTATGGTCTTTCTTCAGTAGCCCAGAAAAAACTAAGGGGAACAATAGAGAATAATTGGCAGAATACGGGAGTTAACAAATTGTAGGAGTAAGGGTTGGGTTATACCAGAATGGCTTATTAATTATCAAAGTGTAATACCATCATCGCATGCTAAAATAACTAATTAATCCTTTTTTTATTGTTGTAGCAGTTCATCATAAATCTGTGTATAAGTTATCTTTTATTAAGAACTTATGGATAGACACTGTCCCAGGTGAAGATTTAAAAATAGATGAGATGTTTCATTATCCTCAGGTAAGTAAGTATTCATTATGCATCATTTTATAATTATTATTTTTATTATTGTAATTAATCAAAAATGCTAACAAATCATACTGAGCAACAGCTTCAACCAATTTTCAACATGCAGACTTGAAAACAAACATTTACTGAAATAGTGACTGTATCAATGTATTCTAACATAGCGGCTACTCTTCTCACGATCGAAAGGAATGGCTTGCTTCAAATGACATAAGTGTTGTATCGATGGTATAATTAATAGTATAAAATGTCCTGGGAAATTTTGTGCTTCCTCAGACACTATTATTCTCAGTAGTTGAGTACAGACTTCTTCTGCTTAGTTTACAGTAAAGTTCCACTTTAGGAGAAGTCCCACTCCTGCAGCTTACTGTTGCGTCATTTTGTAACGACAGAAGACATTGGCCAGGCAACAGATCCTTTATTGAGAAAGTCAACAGATACTCATAGATTTTTATGTACATTATTGTCAGCGGAGAAGCAACGTCTTCTGATTGGTTGTTTTCCTGCTGAAGGTTGTTCTGTACTGCTTGTAACTGTCCCTCAGACAGTTAAGCCATATATCTGCGAATCGTATTTGCACACGCTAAGTCTTCTGTGAATGGTTGTTGAGCTCCTCAAGGTTAAGCTTTGTAATTGTTTTTCTCATGGCCCCGATTCAAGACGCAAACATTGACGCAAATTGTTATCTACAATTTTGGTTTGCAGCCAGCTCTGACCACAAAGCTGATGTTTATGTGTCATGGCATAAAAGAACTTATGTCATGTCTTTTGACGGTTAGTTTATGTTCTTGGTTGCTATTTTGAGTGTGACATCCACTTCTACCAACAGGTCAACAGGACGATGGATACTAATATGAATTAACACTATAATAAAGAAACTTATGTAAATGACGCATTACAGTTAAGGTTATCAGTACAGAAAGTTATACGATTCATGGAGAGATTAGAGTAAAATCCACCGCACAATGGAAAATAAGCACTGAAGGTGTGATTTAGAAATACAATGAAAGCTTCTTAGGTAAACCACCCATTTCTTTGAACAGAACCACATCGAGAGTCTCTGTGTGAGCTTACAAATCTCCTCCATTATTTCAAGATTGCACACTTACAACCTTTTTCTTGTCTTCTTTTTTTTAATTTTTATTACTATAGCTTGATTCCATGCCGTACTTTTGATACAAGTATGAAATTTTCAGCATGCGATATTGGTAGCCCAAATATTGCAGGCCGACCATAGATATCAGGTGTGAGTCGGCAGGGGATCGAACCTCGGACCATGTGCATGGTCGGCGAGAGTCCTAACCGCTGTGTAACCGATAGATCTTAAACTATCTGACGGAAACAGTATGATGCTTTTGGGTTAATAACTGCGTAAAGTATTCATCACTGCATACTGCAATATATATGATAAATGTTCTACATCTAATTTTCAGGAATTACCAAAGTATATTTGTGGTTATTACAATACGTCGGTTGAAAAATCTGTGGAATACGGAGCACTAATCGCTATTGCCAATGGACATAAATTACTTGACATGTAAGTTATTCAGTACTCTTTGAGAATAAATTTTCTGAAAATTTCTATAAATTCATGTAGGCTATCACTGGACTGTATAATACCACAAACAGTTAGACAACAACTTTCAGATGGTGAATGGAGAGCGGTAAGTTGAATGTTTTCTATCGTTTTTATACGCTTTTTAGTTTCAGTCAAAATTTCTCTAGCTTCTGATCACTTTCTAATGAAATTTTACCTGGTTGGTGAAAAGGGTCTCCCCCAAGGCTCAAAGATTCTTCCACGAATCCTTTTAAACGAATATTCAGAATGTTTAGCCAGACAGTTGGAATTTGAGCTGCCAACATTTAAAATAATTTCATTTGGTACCTAGTGTGAGAATTTTCAGTCTCTTTGTAAAAAGTTAACCGTTTGAAAGATTGTATCATAAATGTTTGATGATTTGCAGAAGTGAATTTCAAAAAATACGTTTATTCCCATGATGACAGATATCACTGATTGATGATTGCATTTGCCTTCCAGTAAGCTGGCCATCTAACTGTAACTCAAACGCATCAGCCATCCTGGTGGATAAATACTACTAATTTATTACAGCCCTACTTATTTATATATGTTATCACATATTCTGAAAATCAAATACTGATAAATTAATTACTTAATGTGGAATAATTATTACTACAGATGTGATAACTTCGAGTCGAGAGTGAAAATCCTGATTTTAGTTGATCAGATTCTATTGATAGATGTATAGAACTGGACTTAAAATTTGAGCTTTAAAAACAATTGTCTTTAACCACACGGGACTTGATGTTCTTTAGGAGATTGACCCCCCCCCCCCGGGTGCCACATCAACCAAGTGCTATAATTAAAGACTTTACCACCTGAAAAATTCATATTCATCATGAAACCTGTATTGTCCTGGGTTTCTTGTTAATATTGTTGCCAGTCAACTAAAACCAATTGAGAGTCACCACAATGACCAGTCACCTTGTTTATTGGTGATTCATGATCCCGTTAGCATCAACACTAAAGACTAGGTACATCATAATGATTAATTCCCTCAGTGATCAGTCAATATAATAATAATTTTCGCTTTATTCCAAACACACTACTAATGATACAGCAAGGAATTTTCAGCATTCAGTACAATACTGCATCTAATTTAAGCAAAAACGACAAAAAATAAACATTACATAATAATAATAACGAAACGTTGTTATAACAGCTGTGTAGCAATTACAGTATGCGATAAGGAGAAAAATATGCACAAAGTATAAAATTGTAGTAATAATAGTAATAACAACTAAAATAAAATAGCTAAGTTATAATTAAACAATAGGAAGGGTGACACCATAAAATTGCAGAAAGATGAACGATTACATAGTAACTTATATGTTTCACGTCTAACAGTGTCTTCATCACATAAAATACGGGTTAGATAGGGTATTGTAGAATTTTTGTACTTAGTGGTTCGAGCATATAACTTCTTATATTGACTTCTCATCCGGTAGGATGAGATTCAAGGGGATAGCTGTGGATAAATGGGGTGCCGGGGTTCTTTACGTTTAGCTGCAGGGGGTCTGGCAGTACGGCCTTTGCCCATTTTGTACAGGATTTTATATGTCTCTCGACTATAATATTGGCGAGCTCACGCAGTGGCAGACCACAAGCCCTACTCACAACATTCAATACCCTTCGTAATATGATATATCATTTTTGAGAAGCCCAGGAAAGATTAATGGAGAGCAATTGAGTACAATAGGTAAAATACAGGAGTTTAAAAATTGCAAAACTAAAGGTTGGTTGATACCTGATTGTCTTAACTTTTTAATGTAGAAGGTAAGACGAAACATTTTCTTAGAGATAGATAAGATATGGGATGACCATGAAAGGTCAGAGGAAAAACTAATCCAAGGTATTTAATGCTTGATTTGGTTTCAATTTCCGTGCCATCTATGCTACAGGGATCATGGAACTAACTAGTTCAAGTAAGTCACGTCGATGCTTGAAAGTAAAGTCAAGCCTGACATTTGGAAGGATTTAATATAAGACCATTTGACTTGGACCAGTTGTTGATGTCCAACAGAAAGCTATTAAGTTTGGAGCTGTCAGACTCGGAAGTGATAGGCAGTGATACAGTCAGATCATCTGCATATTTGACAAAGTTAGTTTCGTTTGAATGAGGCAGGTCATGTAGGAAGAAAGAAAAAAGAAAAGGAGAGAGCAGCACCTTGTGGAACACCGGATTTTGTAAGCGAGGTAGAAGAAGATTTGCCGTTATATACAGTATACTGCATTCTATCAGAAAAATAGGAATGCAACCAACTCTTAGCCCAGGATCCTGTTTGTGTCAACGATAGCTTATTTAATAAAAGGCCCCTAGGTACAGAGTCAAAAGCAGATGTGTAGTCTAAGAAAGCACTACGAACATATTTAGCACCTTTGTCTAAACAAGAGACAACATTGTGATATAAGACAACCGCAGCATCCAAGGTACTTCTACCATGTTTGTATGCAAATTGTTTAGGATCATTAAAAGGTTTCAAAGCGGGTTCAAGACGAAGTAAAAGTAATTTTTCCATCAATTTTAAAAAGGGGGAAGTAATTGCAATAGGCCGAAATTTAATATCAGAACCAGAAGATGGTTTTGGTATAGGGATAATTTTAATGTTTTTCCATGCAAAAGGTAGAACGTTACCGGAAAAAGAGCATTAAAAATGTTAGTAAGAGGATAACACAAAATATCAGCACAATTCCTGAGGACAATGGCAGGTATGCCGTCAGGACCAAGGCTTTGAGAAGGCTTAAGAGACCGGAGACATTTAAGCACATCAAGGGTATTAAAACCACTAAAGTTATTGTCAATATGATTTGTATCATTTGGAAGGGTATCAACAGAAGAGCGTATGAAAGATTTATTAAGAGTGTCAACATTAAGAGATGGAACAGAAATACATCGCTTACCGTTAGTAATTTCTTTGAAAAGTTTCCATAAATTAGAAGGGGTTTTACATGACAAAAATCTTTGATTATATAAAACATTTAGTCTTTTTATTTCCAGTTTTATCAGAGTGTTTAACTTTTTTACACCAGGCTTATCATTTGTTTTGAACAACAGTTCTTTATTTCTACGTAGCTTTTTGAGATATGGCGAAGATAAGCGATCAAATCGAATGAATAATGTTTCTTTAGGACAACATATTTCGAAACAGAATTTAAGATAATCAGTAGTGTTTGTGATTGTTTCATCTAATGTTTGTTCTGTAAATAAGTCCCAGTTAGTGTCTTTCAACATGCATCTGAGCTTGTCTAGGTTGTCTTTTGAGTAGCATCTCCGTTGAACTTTACTGTAGAGGTGAGAGAGGACACCTTTGTGTGATTTGGAATATATTTTAGGCAGTACACGTATGACACAGTGGTCAGAATTAAGTAAAGAAGCACGTTTGCGAGCTTCATATATACCAACATCATTGATGAATACTAGATCCAGTTTTTACCAAGACGGGTGGCAAAGTTAACAATATTGTCATGACCAAGTGATATAAGGAAGGAGCAGTCACAGGAATTAAAGTCATCAGTTACTATTGATAAAGAGTTCTCGAAGCAAGCTGCAGCAAAAGCGGTGAATTCATCGGCGAACATAGATAAATCCAATATGGTACAGCCAGGAGAGACATAAACATTAGAAATATAAATGAATTTGTATTTTGACAAGTGTTTCGGGCGACATCTCACAGTGATCAATGTAGTCATTCGAGAATTTGAAACAAACTTTATTAGAAATGGACCATTTTGAGTGAATAAAAGTTGCAACACCTCCGCCACATTTTTTCTTGGAACAAACACGGTCTTGTCGGAATACATACACTATATTGTCATCAAATAGGACATGGAGCCAGGTTTCTTGCAGAGTGACAATACCAGTATTGTGATAAATTTCGGACTACAAAAGGGACTGAAAATCCAGAATTTTGTTAGGCAGGGACAGGCAGTTGGTACTAATGATAACCGGAATAGTGGTGTGATGTATGGATGTACATTTTAAAGCACGTCGCCAACCACCATGGTGCTTTTTCTTGGATTTATTAGAAATATGAAAGTTTTTGGGTTTTAAACATTTTATATAATCCCGAAAGTGAATAATACGATTAGAATGCATAATTTTATACGTAAACACCTATAAAATATGAGTAAATAGATGCAAAATGTACATGGAATATGGCAGTCCAAAATATTGAAGCAGGCCGCTCTTTTATACTATTTTTCAAAACAGTAATCTGCTTATACCATATTAAAATTCATATTTATGCATGATTCTATTCTCCTTTTCTTTTTATTAGAGGATAAATAATGCGATGGAAAGATTCATTGAACTAAACAAGGTCAATGCTCGTACAAAATTTCTTCAATCTTTGAAAGAGTATATAACTTTTGGTTCTTCATTCATGAAAGTCAAGGTACTATATAATGTTTACCTTAAATTATAAAATTTAATATGTAGTTATGGTAATTCTGCTGTTTTAATGTATGCTTCATAACCCTTACTATAGCATACACTTAGGTGTAGTGTAACGTTGCTTAAAAGAATAACTTGAGAGTACTTACACATTCAGCTCTCGTTATCGTCTAAATTCCTTAAAAATTCCTGAGATATCGTGATTTTAGGATTTCATCATGAGCTGACATTAGTTAGAGAACCATTGGAAAACCAGCTGGGAGTACTGGACAGCTGTTTATCCTAGTTTGGGACTCTTCAGCAGTACACACCCACCAGGATTCGAACCCTGGACCTTCCGGTTACAAGGCGAGCTCGTATACCATTAAACCACTGAGACCCGATCCAATGATCCTTGAATTCTAACTCCTGCCAATTCACGACATAGCGCGACCATTAGCCAATGTCTTCGGCGAGTATTTGTCCTCACACCCGACCCGCTGCACCCTACTAGTCAGCTCATGATGAAATCCTGAAACCAATCAAATTCCTACAAACCAACACTTGAATATCGTGATTTTATTTGTTTTCTGGAAGTTTTGATGGTGACATCTAATCCCTGGTTTGAAATGGGCTTAACTATTGGAATTATGATAATGTATAGAATGTTTAGACAAATGAGATGTGATTCCTGGATTTCACAACTACCTTCGTAAATGCAAAACTAATAATCCTTTCACATTACAACAATTACTTTTTCATGTAGATGTTTACGTCTTCAAAAGTTGGTTTGTAGGGATCTGATTTGTCTTAAGTTTGATCAAGGATTAATGCTAGTTAGGGAACCAGGGAGTAATGGACACAGCTTTTTTGTCCTACTTCGGGACTCTTCAACAATAAGCACCCATCAGCGCCTTTGGATTGGGCTCCAATGGTCGAATGGTTTGAGAGCTTCCCTTGTAACCCAGCATTCCTGGGTCCGACCGCCGGTGGGTGCATACATCTGAGAAGTCTCAAGCCAGCTGTCCAATACTCCCATATGGTTTTCAGTGATTCCCTAACTTTCAAGTATTGGTTTTGTATGAATTTTTGTTTGGCTAGTTGGAGGATCTCATCAGGATCTGACATCAGTTAGAGAACCATTGGAAAACCAGATGGGAGTACTGGATAGCTGTTTCTTCCCATTAGTTTGGGACTCTTAATCAGTACACAATCACCGGACTTCGAACCCAGGACTTACTGGTTACAAGGCCACCGAGCTCGTAGACCATTAATAATAATAATAATAATTTACTTTATTCCAAAAACAGTACTTGTGATACAGAATGGAATTTTCAGCATTAATCACAATATTGCATCTAATTTCCTCAAATTATAAATAAAAATTAATCACACAGAAAATTTTCCACATTTACCATAGAGGTAGTGTCAAAAACATGCAGCATATAAAATGGAAATAGCAATAATAATGATAACAGCTAGGGTAATAATAATAAGAGTACAAGTGAAAATTGCCGTTGGCTTGTGTCACACAGTACTGGCACTGGGACCCAATCTAATGGCAAGCCCTTGATTTTTAACTTTTGCCAATTCATGACATTCCGCGACCACTTCACAATGTCATCTTTGATGAATAACTGTCCTCACTGTTCAACCTGTTGTACTCTACTGGTCACGACTTCCCACTCCAACCCCAAATAACTGCCTGAATAAGGCCATTCGCTAGTGAGCATCTCATTGATATTCAAGTATTGGTTTTGTAGGGATAACAATAATTTGTGATCAAAATTGAAACAAACCTTCAAATGATTAAGTGAATCTGCTGCTTTTTAACATAAATATGGAACAGTTTTTCAAAAAAATTGACTTTTTGGAATTCAGTAATGATATCACTGTATTAATTAAGTTCTCTTAATCCATTCGTTATTTGTTATGTAACATGTATCCTAGGAATGTGTTTATATTGATATTGATCGAATGCATAGATTTATGTTTCTCATGTACAAAACAATATACCACCTGATATGTCAACTCAGATTTTGTGTAAATTTATAAGATAGTGAATTGTCTAGAATTGAAGACTTGGATATATATGATTTGCAGCTTATATTTTTTGCCATATCATGTTATCTGAAAACATAAATTAAAAAGTACTTTAAAATGAAAGTTTTGAGAATGACAGCTAAAATATTCTAAAGTTATTTTCATATAGATGGGATAATGTATATGAACAATAATACAAAACAGATTCGGAAGTTGCATTCTCAATCGATGGATTTTAGTTAGAATTTTAGAATTGACAGCCAAAAATTTAAAACTACTGGGGTATAAAACCAATCCAATAGTAAATAGACTATCTCATTAAGGCGGATATCTACATGTAATCATCAGAAAGTTAACTGGAAGTTGACACCTGCTAGACTAGCAGCAATTTGAAAGCTTGACAAATGCAAAAACAACACGATATTGTAACAAGTTATAAAAATTGAAACTTCATTTTCAGGCTTTCGACGAGATCACCAAAGTGTGTGTCATGCGGTGGTATATATATTCAATTTTGACAGCTTCCTATTAATCTGAATCATACCACCGCTCGCCGATCATGCACATGGTCCGGAGTTCGATCCCCTGCAGATGCACTCCTCTACTCCGCTAAGCCAGAAATAATGCCGGTAAAGAGGAAAAGGTTGGGCATGAGACTAGCAACCCCATCCTGTAAAATTAAACACTGCTACAGAAACTTCAAGCCACTAGCTTGAAGCCCTATGTTCCAATGGGGAACGTGAAGGAAATATATATATGTATATGTATATATATATATAATCACCAGCAAGGAGTTATGGGAACAAACAAAGCAAGAACCAATCGCCCAACAAATATGCAGGAGAAAGTGGAGATGGATCGGACACTCGCTGAGGAGACCGCTGGGTGACATCGCGCGTCAAGCCCTCGAGTGGAACTACGCCGAAAGGGAAGCGGCGTGTGGGACGTCCAAGGGTGACATGGAGGAGTTGAAAGAATATGGACTAACATGGATGCAGGCGAAAAGTACAGCAGAAGACAGAAGAAAATGGAGACGTGCAGTTAAAGCCCTATGTTCCACTAGGAACCCAAAGGAGCAATAATAATAATATATATCCTTTTCAAGCTAGTGGCTTGAGGTTTCTGTAGCAGTATTTAATTTTAGAGGATGGGGCTGCTAGCCTCATGCCCAACCTTTTCCTCTTTACCAGCATTATTTCTGGCTTAGCGGGGTAGAGGAGTGCGTCTGTGGCCGGGGATCGAACTCCGGACCATGTGCATGATCGGCAATCGGTGGTATGATTCAGATTAATAGGAAGCTGTCAAAACTGAAGTCAGCATTTTAAGTCAATGGCTACAGAGGTAGAAGTGTCTCTTCCTTAAATCTGGATTTAGTTTAAGTTATGGACATAAAATAACCTCATTGGACCACTTGTTTCACCTTGGTTCATTTGTTAACCAATCAGAAAGATCTGTTCTCCTCTGACTTAGCTGGACTTCAATATGTCTAAGAATGTATAAATATGATACGGTTTTTCTGAATAAAGGTCCGTTACCAAGTCTCTAATCTTCTGCCATGACAATACCAGTATACTAGCATTTATATAGGTTGTAGGCATTTATTTGTTACTGAAATATGGACTATTGAAGTAGCGAGAACAATAACAACGCCCTATTGAGTCTTCTTCAACCTTATGCAGTAGAGTGAACAGTGAAAATAACTTCGAAAAACTAGGTCCTTGGATGAAATTCGATAAAGCGAAACAGAACAAAATGTCAATAACAAAAGGATATCATTTTACTTTGCAGGTTTTCATCAGTTTCAGACTGCTTGTAGTTTCAAACTTCAACGAGGAATGAAAATACAAATTCGGTCTTTTATGATTTATCAAAAAAATGTCAGTACGATTAAATTATTGAATGCTACTCAAAAGATTACGTAAATTATTGACTGAAAGCCACAGTTCTATGTCCAAAAAAACAATTAGTACTCACTAAAAAAGATGTTCAGAGAAGACAGTTCAGGAGTTTAAATTATTAAAAGTTAAATTCAGTAACACGAATATTAAGTAATTTAGAAAACAAGGATATGTGATTCACCAACATTTCGAAAAATCTGCTTAGTATATGACATTATGACATATTTTTTCCGAGTAAAACATAAGGATTTAGCCACGGATGTTTTAAGTTGCAATGGTCACACTTCTACGGAGTGGGTTTGTCAACCTCACGTCCAACCCTCCATCTTCACTGAGTTTACTGCTGACTAGGCGAGGTTTAAGAGTACATCGGCCGAAAATCGAAGCCAGACTATATTAGTGTCTGTTTTGTATTTCCTTATTACTCCTTTGTCTCACACCTCTGCTCACTGTTTCTATTATGCTTTTCTTGTACTTTCTTCTCTTGCTTCGCGTGCTACACGGAATGTGGCGACTTGAACTTCCGCACATTTGTGCAAAGTTCTATGTCGAAAACAGACAGACAGACAGACAGTGTCTGGCAAGTATTATAGGCCAAGTTAAACCTTAAGCACCACTAACTATCAATCAGCAAATGATCTTGAATGATCCATTGAGTTTCATCCACATGAGTTGAAGTTTCTATTCCGCTTGATTCGAGTCAAATGCCTGCTCTAACGCAGTCGCACTTGCAGTTTGGTGAAGATAAGGTTTTCTAGAATTGCTTGGATTCAGGGTTGCTTAGTAAAGAAAGGATTTGTTCATGTGGAAATATCCATCCTTGTGCAATTTGTCTGAGACGAGTTATTGTCAAGGAAGGTAAGCTGATGATTCTAATATTTCGCAGGAACATTTTCTGCCAGGCTCCATCTGTCCTTAACTCAGATTTTGTATATTTGTAATTATTGGGTTTTAAAACAGCTCGTGAGACGTGCAACCGCTGAAACTGAAAATAACCTTGTATCAAAAGTTCACTGTTACCAGAACTGCAGAGACATCACCTCATGGAAAATGGAGAGAATTACTTCGTTAATAGGAGGAGGTTTCGTCGTACACCTGGACGAAACTGTCTTATTGAAATAGAAATACAAGCATGGTCGTGATCGAGCAAACAATGTTTGGGTGATCCGCTTATATGATACCTCTCTACATAAATGATCCGTTGAGAGAATAGCAAGCAGAAAGTCAAATACCTCAGTACCTATTATCACTCGACTGGTTAAATAGGGATCTGTAATACATACCTATGAGTGGAAAAGTCAAAACTCCCTGTCATCCCTTGGATAAATTCATCACAGAGTGAACCATTCTAATGATTTTCTGACTCCTATTACAGAGACACACACCAGTTCTATAGAAGGCTTTTGAGTAAGGTTAAAAAACCAGATTAGAGCTAATAATGGATCTCAAAAAGATGTCATTTATAATTATTTAGATGGATATATGTATAGAATGTGATATAACTTTTTCAGTTGATACTCCTATGCTAAACTGGGAGATGTTTTTATCACACGTCAGAGAAAGATACCCTATGTTCCAGTTTTATGCAGTTTTTATGCATCTTTTTCATAAATATATGTTTTCTATAACCAAAAATGCCTCTTTCGTGTAATTGGTTCGTTGAAGGTCACTCTCCGATTGATAGATAGTGGTGCCTAAAGTTTAAATTTTGCCGTATTCTATCAATGTTCGTCATTTTAATGTATGTTAATATTTTCTTTAAAGTTTTGTGTAAAAAATTACATAACAGCCTGTCAATACAAATAATTAAAAATTCTTTTTAGCAAACAACAATGCAAAAATTTCCTGAGAATATTATTTTGGCTATAAATCAAAGAGGTCTTTTAATTATGAATGCAACAACTAAGGTATGTTTAGATAAAACAAATTATATTTCATCTTATTGCAATAGCAACCAAATTATACATTTAAATAATGTTTTCTAAACAGTAAACTATATTTAAAACAATTAGTTTCCTTTATGAATCTAGATAAAGCAATAAGATGTAATTTGTCTGAATCGTGTAATGTATTTGCACAACACATTTCGAACAATCTGATCACACTTCACGGACTTGTCACAGGAATATATATGAAATTAATAAAGAGGTAAGAGGTGAGAAAATAGACTACTTAGGTCAAGTTAAAAGGACATATTCAAGGTAAAAATAACAATGAAGACCGCCAAACCAAATAACAGAGGTAGTAGTACATCTGATATGGTATCAAAACAAAATTTACCACGTAAGTTTAATGTGATGACGAATTGTTTTTGAACGCATAAAGGTGGCTTAAACTTTCTAATTGCTAGGGCTTCCACAAACTTTAGGATACGCCCCAAACACGTTTTATAGATAGGTTTAAAAGATCTGTTAACATCAATTTTATATCCTGTCTCTATAATATGTTTTGCAATAGAAGAGCTAGGTCTCCTGTTCTCACCGTTAATAGGTTTTGATGATTCCATTTGTTTCTGGAGCCATTTAGGAATATGCTCGGAAACCCTTACTTGCAGAGATCGATGAGTCCTCCCTATGTATCCATGCTGAAAATTCCATACTTGTACGAAAATACAGTGTGGAATCAAGCTGTAAATCAAAAATAAAATAAATAAAATGTATGTGTGTCCACACGTACATTCAAATTGATAAATACAGTGGGATGTGACGTCATTTTTCGCATGTTCGAAGGGCTTAGATAGATATAATGGTCTTCATTGTTATTTTGACCTTGAATATGTCCTTTTAACTTGACCTAAGTAGTCTATTTTCTCACCTCTTACCTCTTTATTAATTTCATATATATTCCTGTGACAAGTCCGTGAAGTGTGATCAGATTGTTCGAAATGTGTTGAGCAAATACATTACACGATTCAAAAAGTAATCTATATCATAAAAATAATATTACGTTTTTTCGGACTTCAAAAGCTCTGCTACTTTAATGGGACTTACGCACATTGTGAACGTTCATTAGCTTGTAGTTAGTCAGAATAATCGTTGTTATTTAATGCTTGAAAATGAATTTGAAAGTATTCCAATGACTGATATGAAGTGATGAGGATCATTCATGCCAACCAGTAGTACTTGTTAGTCGGTTTCTGAGCTCACTTCCTAATGGACTGATTGTTGATGAAATCTCAGTAATGATACAAAAGACTAGTTTGACACATAAATTTCGTCAGTGTCAAAGGTGTGATATCCAGGTGTCTATCACAGAACGTGTTTACTGAGCGCCATTTAGGTTTTTCCTAGTTTAAGACTATCAGAAATAGCTTTGGAAAGTGAAGTACATCAAGAGACTGACTGCATTTGACGGCTAATATCCTGTTAATATCTTCTTGCTTGGCTGAAGTGATATAATACGGTCAGTTTTAATGAATTTAAGACTTAGGGCAAAGCCAGTCGATGAGGTTGTAAAGACACACAGATCAAAATGACTTAGACACAAGTTACGATTGCTGAGCGAACTCCTTACAACTCTGAGCGATGTGTAATGGACATAGGATTAGTTTGGGAAAGAGTTGGGATTGGTCAAATCAAAACTTGATATCAATCAACAAAGTATTCGACTATTGGTTTCAGACAGGTAGAAAGGTGGAGAATGCCTGATTGAAATCCTCAAGACGCTAAGAATCAGGAGTTTGAAACTTTTGGGGATATTGCTGAAACGTGTTCTCAACGTATCAGTTGCATTTCCCATGTGTAACCTTCCGGATTCACTAAAGTCTCATTATTGATCACGTAATTCTTATTTTCCGCGTACTTTTTACGCATATTGTAGTTTCCTTGTAATTCTTTTTTCTACCTTATTTGCTTGCTATTTCTAAAGTGTGGCGGCCTGAACTGCTTCAGTTTTGTGCAAACATTCTATGTTGGAAATTCATTTCAAATAGACAGTGAGTAGTATTGAATAAAGCCTTAATAATTGGGTAATGGTTCTTGCCAAGCAACAAATCAGAAATTAATATATGTCTAAAACCTAGTCACTGTGGTATTACGTAATTCCATATTAGGCGTGTTTATATCGTGGGTTTTCGAACACCATCCTACGTGAAACAAACAAAGTTCATTCCTAATTCTATACTTAACTCACCTCGTAGATACGAAACACAAAATTGATGTAAACATGGCCTTCAAAGTCACCTAACATATATCAACTAATGTTAATTTCATCTCAAGAGTTCGTCTATTATATATTACTGAGACTGTTGGAATCTATGTTAATTAGTCTAATCTATTCATCCAAAATAAATTGGTTCAGACGCTTTCCTTACTTGGGTCGTCAAAGTTCTAATAATCCTAAATCCGTTGTAAACAATTCCTTAATTTTATATGATATTCTATTTACCATTATATTTATAACTTATGCATCTTTCTTCAACTGTAATTTCACTAATCTTAACAAACTGATAGTATTTAAAAAACACCAATACTTTTGACTGTGTATTATGTATAGTCCCATCTTTGGTACAGACTGGATTCGATCAGTCAAGTTTGCAATGTAGCCACCATGCTAAGTGACTCGCTATCACTGGCTAGGCACATCACACTAATTACTAGTGCCCAATCAAAGTATCTTATACAATCCTACAGGAGGTAGGTCGCAAACCCGGCTAGCTTAGTTGTAATGTCTCTGACTGCAAAAATGAGTGAAGAGGGTTCAAATCTCAGAAGGGAAATGAGTTCCTTCGAGGTCGCAGATACACCTTGATGACTGGTGAGTGCCAACTAGCACGAAACCTAGGTCACGGCAAGGCATCCTACCGACTACCTCCAACCATCACATACCAGCATTGTTGATGACGATTATCCTAGAATATATATATATATTTTGGATGACATTTCGGACACAATTTATTGTTCATAACTTGCACACACAGACACACACATTCGTGAAACTTAGAATTATTTGCCACACCATTTTCATGTTCGTTTTCTTTTTTCTTCCTTCTACTTTTTGAATGTACAAAGGAATCACTAGAACATTATCCACTGAATGAAATTGCTACCTGGTCATTTAGTGATGAGTCTATTAGTTTATACATAGGAAATCCTGATGATTTTAGCGAATTGAAGTGTGAAACTATTGTGGTAAGTAAGAAATATATTTAACTACTCACTTATACTAGTTTAATTTAACTTTTACCTATGCTGGACAATTTGAAATCTTTTAGATTCTTATTTTTATTACTTAAGAATTGAATGCAGTAGCAGTTAGTGTCACAGTTATCAATTTTTAATAACACTGAAGGTTTGAAGTCATCCTGTTCAAATGTAGTCTATTTTCAGTTATTCACAAGTGTTATATGCATATATATATATATATATATATATATATATATCCTTTAATTCCTAGAGGAACATAGAGCTTCAGTCGCGTCATAAAGGGCACTTCAAACAAACTACAGACCTTCATTAACAGCTGTGTTCGCCCAGTAGTCAAAATCAGATGGTCAGAAAGGATCAGCAACAGGGATCTCTGGCAATGAGCGAACCCACCAGGAACCGTTTGTGAAACAAATACGCAGGAAGAAATGGAGATGGATTGGCCATACTCTAAGGAAACTATCAAGTCACATCACTAGACAAGCCCTCGAGTGGAACTCAAAAGGGAAGCGGTAAGTTGGTCGTCAGTGCGAGGATAACTTGCAGGAGGTCATGTGAAGAGGAGATGAAAGAATGTGGACAGACTTGGAGCCAGGTGAAAACTCATTCAGAGAAACGAACGCAATGGAGATGCGTGGCTGAAGCTCTATGTTCCTCCAGGAATTAAAGGAAATAATAATGATACTGCTGAAGCTGACAAAGTTCTTTTGTTCAGTCAACTTAAGTTTTCATCTGAAAAGCTTCCAACTTCAATCAAAGCCTCAATTTCAATGCTACTTCCTAAGCACGTAAAGTCGAATAATTCTTCAGTAAGAAACTGCTGTGCCTATTACTGATAAATGAAATATGGGAAAGCGTCAGTGATTCACATTTCCTGTTTACATTGTTTCATTGGCATAAATTCCCATTTCTTTTCTGTGGTTGTTATATTCTATTGCATGTAAATTTCAGAAACTATCAACTAACAAAGATACAACGGAGAGAACTGAGAGGCAGTTAACAGATTCTTTAAAAAAGAGTTGAAATACGAAGGTCATATTTTATCAGGCTTGTATGAAATATTAAAACCTGTCGGCATGGTGAAATCTAGGTTATACGGATTACCAAAGATTCACAAATATGGCTTGCCAGTTAGACAAGTTCTCGGTATATCTAGCTGGCCGTACCATTCAACTGCGAAATGGCTAGTGGAACTTTTACAGCTGTTGCATAAGAAACTTGTGAAAAATAGCGTAAAAGATAGTCTTGAGTCCGCAGAAAGAATCAAGGAATTAAATGTGAAGGATAAATACATGATATCACCGCATGCACCAATAAGCCTTTTTGTGGAAATAGTTGATTACATAGGTAATGAATTGATAAAGCAATGTATAAAGATTGGAATTCGAGTGTCTTCCCTGAAGGAACTTCTTCTTAGGTGTACAATGAACATAAACAAACGAAATGTATAAACAATCAGATAGTGCTACCATGGGATCACCACTAGACCTAATCTTAGCGGGTATTTTCCAGGTAAAACCTGTGAATGGTCCTCTTAAAGATGTAATGGATAATTTTGATTTCTATTGCCAATGTGTCAGTGATACATTTGTAGTTGTGAAGAACGAAAGTGAGACTAAGGACATATGGGATAAATGCAGTAAAGGACATTCTGGCATAAGCTTCACTAAAGAAAAGGAAAAAGGTAACTCTATCTCAATTTTGGACATCCTAATGACTAAGCGAATAGACGGAACAGTATGTAGAAGTTTGAATGGGAAACCTACTTCAACAATATATTCACTTTCGGAGCTTGGTAGCTTCACAATACAAACGTAATATGGTTAGATATCTGGTTCAAGGGATATGGTTATTCGTTCAAATGAAACACTGAACGAAGTACTCGGTAATATTCGTGATCTACAAAGTAGAAAAGGATATCCAACTAAATTCTTGAGCAAACACATGAACTCAGAAAATAAGAAGTCGAAGATGCCCACTTTTCCGAAAAAATCAGTCTTCCTGAGGTCGCAATTCACGGGTGATATCAATAGTGAGATCTTACCACAACGTCTGAGAAGGACTTTCATAAGTACTATCAACGCATCTAAGTCATGGTGCATATTCACTAACCAACCAATACTTGGTTCAAAAAATAAAGACAGATTGCCCTGTTTCTCCTCTTCCACGTGTATTTACCTGTTTAACTGCTCGTGAGGAAATAGTTACATAGGGTGTATGATCAGCCAAGTTCACCTTTGAATTTCTGAACACTTCCCATCTTGGTTGGGCAAAGGTCCTAATAAAGCTGTACGCAGCTCAACACTAGCTCATTTCATATATGTGTAAAACTTGGCCACTGTGGTAGTAAGTAATTTCATATTAGTTTGTTTATTAGATATATCACACAGTGAAGAAACAGTATTATTTACTGGATGACGTTTATTGTTCATAATCATATCACTTGTAATCACATGACTTCGAAAGTTGAGTTTCATAGTTTTCTTTGTTCTCTCCTATCTGTCGTCGTTGGGGTAGTAGAATTTTCTAGATGTCTGGGATAGATGTTGATCCATTCCTCTTATACGTATTTGCAGTTGATTCGATAAACATAGCTTCTGTTATCAATCTCTCCCTCGACCCTGCTGTCACATTAGATTTTAAAACTATCATCTTATCCCATCCTATTGTGTGGTTGTGTGTAACTGCATGTAATGCTATGGCTGAACTATTCTCTAGATTTCTTATCTTATTTGGATCAACCAATCTAGATTTTGCTAGGTTTTTATGTTCAGCTAGTCTGGCTGCCCCTGTTCTACTAGTTTGACCGAAATACCTGACCTGACAATCATTGCAGGCAGGATATTAAATAAACTGAATTCTATTGTTTTAAAGACTCCACAGGATTGATCCTTTAACCGACAAAGCTTGTTTCTAATTCAGTTTGTGAGTTTCAAACCCACAAGTTTAAAGTTATTTATCGTGTATCACCCTAGCTCTCGCCGCATGGTCTACGAGTACGAACTTTACATAAAGCTGAGGCAATCGGAATTCACCTGTACAAGCCGAATCTGTATGTTCAAAAGAAATTTGTGCAGCTAATTTCTTTGCCATAGCCAAATGCATTAATATGCATTAAATTTTTTTCAAAAAGATTTCTCCCCCTTCCTTTGTAACTATCTTTTGACTTTGTTAATTTTTACAATTCTAGCTAATTCTGTTAACTTGTTTGTATTTTACTTAATTCTTATAAGTCATCATTATTTTACAAATTTCCTGATTATGTAATAACTAATTGCCGACGCCTAAGAATTAACTTATCTTGAATTCCGTAACTAATTCTCACCCCTCCTTCAAAATTTAGATATTGTGTTACTAACATCTATGAGTTATTTATTTTGATGACATCCTATATTAATGGTCGGCCTGCGAAATTCGGGCTACCGATATCACATGCTGAAAGCTCCATACTTGTACCAAAAATACAGTGTGGAATCAAGTTGTAATCAAATATAAAATTTTTTTTTTAATTAAATGCTGCAGGCAGGGAGGTTACCAGTGAGCTATTCACTCTCGCGACTGACCTCCTATAGGACTGTAATGGATGCTTTTATTGAACATTAGGTACTAACTTGCGCTGTACCTGTCTAGTCCATCATTTGATGATGCATGTTTGTGAGATATTCCGCGTTGGTTTGTCTGTTCATCTCTAATTTAACTTTGTTTTATTTGCATTTTCTTACAAGTTGACATTGAATAAATATGAATTATTTTAACTGTGAATTTTCGTGTCTTTTTTTTCTTAAATTATAGGGATATAAAATTGATGAACTACTAGGTAAATATAAAAACCAATTATTTTCAGCTTCTAAGGATAAACAGTGTTAAATGTGTATATATATGAGTTAATTCATAATTTTATTACTTTTAATTAATGATATTCACTCCATAGTAATTGATGAATACTTCATTTATCTAACTACAATATTCTTCATTTCTGAAGCATTTTAAATTTGAATTATATTAAAATATATGAGTATTTAAAGCAGATGGTGTTCTACTGATGACATACATATTTGTGTGTGTGTGTGTGTGTAGGAATTAATTTTTGACTTTACTTCAGTAAGATAGATATGTTTCAGGATTTCATCATGAGCTGATATCGGTTAGAGAACCATTGGAAAAAAAGCTGGGAGTACTGGACAGATGTTTCTTCCTAGTTTGAGACTCTTCACACTACGTACCCACACCAAAGGGGTTCGAACTCAGGATCCCCCAGTTAAAAGGAGAGACCGCAAGAGTTGGAATCATGGGCTGGCCATTGGATTGAGTTATTCAGGAGGAAATAATTAAACTACGTGTTTTTAGGTTATACCTATATCATCAAGGCGTAATGCTTACCTTCAAAGTGCTTGCATTCTCTAGACGGTACACAGTAAGCGCTATTTGGAGTTCGCCAGCTGTGATAGGCTGAATAACGCAGTGAGAGCAACAACTCTTGAAAGACAATAGTAACAAAAAATCGTTTTGTTTAATAAAGTTTTCATCGGTTAAATGAAATCTAGGTAGTTAACTAAGTACACAATAATTGAGAAATAATTTCACAATTAATAGTCTGTGTCGTTATAGGTAATACTGTGGTGAGAGCTGTCTGCAAGCCAAAACTGTAGACAACAATTGACGTCAATGTTTACGTCCCGAATCAGGGTCATGAAAAAAAACAGTAGCAAAGACTAATCTTGAGGAACTCAACAACAAATCGTAGCAGACTTAACGTGGGCAAATACGATTCGTAGATATATGGCTTAACTTTTTGAGAAACAGCCACTAGCAATACAGAATAGCCTTCAGCAAGAAAACAACCAATCAGAAGACGTCGCTTCTCTACTAAAATTACGAATAATAATAATGTACATAAAAATCTATAAATATACGAGCTTGCCTTGTAACCGGAAGGTCCTGGGTTCGAATCCCAGTGGGTGCGTACTGCCGATGATTCCCAAACTAGGATGAAACAGCACCTGTCCAGTACTCCCTGGTTTTCAATGGTTCTCTAACTTATATCAATCCGTGATCATCTCGTAAAACCATAACAAACCCTTACAAACCAAACTATAGAAAACTATAAATATCTGTTGATTTCCTCAATTAACAGTCTGTTTCCTGGCCCTTGTCTTTTCTCGTTACAACATAGAATGAATATTAAGAAGAACTAACGAGATGCTTTTATTCATTTACATTCCGAGTAGAAGATAGAGCTTTAGGCTTCAGATTTGAAGTTTCAGGAGTGTTGTTCTGTTTACAAGAAGGAATTGCGAGTCTCACATACAACATCCTCACTTCACCTGGCTTAGTAAGGTATAGGAGTGTATGTCAGCTGAGTATTCTATGGTTGAACTATCGACACACTTATAAAGCAGATTGAGATAATATAATTTTGCCTAGAAAATAAAAGATAATCACACATCTCTACAAGTATTTTCATCAATAAAATATAATTTATCGAGCGAAATTCGCCTTCTGTGATAAACTAATACGAATTAGTTGTTTAGAGAACGATATACAGCGTGTATCAAGGCAAGATCTTTAACACCACCAACTAGGCGTGAGTTAGAGCCAACAAGGACTTGATCGTATCGTATCACGCATTATAATGTCTCTACTTCTGTGTTTTTATCATCTTTTCGCGATCCACCTTGCTCACCCTTTAAAACACCTTGTTTACATGACAAAATAATTGTTGTTACTATTTTTCAACCCTTGAATTTGCACTACGCAACGGTATTGATACGGTAGAAGATGAAGACTTGGAAATTATGTATGCCTTATCTTCAACTCACCATTTGCATAGATCTTCGTGTTGTGGTACTTCTGGAATTCATGTTGTGTTCCTTTCACGTCTCCCATGTATCTCCACAACGCTGTATCATTTTCTTTCTCTGACATCCAGTCCGTCTCTCTGCTATTTGATATTTCTGTGCCGATGAACGTCTCTTTATATGCTAGTGATAAATCTTATCAGTGGCACGAACCACGCTATGTCTTATCTCAAATAAAGTATAGTTATATTTCAATGGTTTGCACACAATGATAAGCTTTTTTATTGGTAATATTTCGAGCAAAATTAGTGCCCATGTTCACAACGCTGTTGGAGTTGTTTTGTTTTTACATTCACACATTTATGATTTGTACTCATAAATATATAAGCCGACATGTCAACCTGAGACCGAGCACTTCGGTCCAATCAATCGACGGGAAAATCAAAAATTCAATTCAATAGTTCATTCATGTTTTTGTATTCAGAATCATATTCAAGGTTGCTGACAGTCGTACTGAGTCACCCTTATTAAATGTATCCAGTGTGACCTTAATGAATATAGATTCTGTTATAAGTCTCTCTTAAAAGTCAATCTGAACGAAGAATATTCTTATCAATAATTTCTCTTCAGTATACAATTGGTGGATGGTGGCTAGCAGTGGAATCCAGGATGCGCATTTCGTCCTAATTGGGACTCGTCAGCTGGATGTACCTGCATTTCTCAGTGAGTGATGATGTTCCCACCGAGGCTCGAACCCAGTGCCCATAGTTTCAAACGCCAAAGCGTTATCCACTAGACCACTTGGGCCACGAGAGCCACCTCTTGTGCAACGGGTCATATACTAATTATTGAATTGAATTTTTGATTTTCCCGTCGATTGATTGGACCGAAGTGTTCGGTCTCAGGTTGACATGTCGGCTTCTTGTGCAGATGCTTCGACGATGTCTGGGGATTTGATTTGTATACAATTGGTGGATGGTGGCTAGCAGTGGAATCCAGGATGCGCATTTCGTCCTAATTGGGACTCGTCAGCTGGATGTACCTGCATTTCTCAGTGAGTGATGATGTTCCCACCGAGGCTCGAACCCAGTGCCCATACTTTCAAACGCCAAAGCGTTATCCACTAGACCACTTGGGCCACGAGAGCCACCTCTTGTGCAACGGGTCATATACTAATTATTGAATTGAATTTTTGATTTTCCCGTCGATTGATTGGTTCTTACAATTATAAAATATAATATTTGTGGTCGTTACAATAAAGATAGCCAGGTATGCGGCGGATACATTTTTTAACGTAGAATAACAGATTAGTTATGGGGTGTCAAAATAAATAATTCATAATATGGGAATATTTCACACTATCAAATCTTATAAGTCTCTCTTTCCATTTGTTCATATTAGTTTTTAGAATACAAACATTGTTCCAATCGATATTGTGGTTTTTGTCCCATGCATATGCAGATATAGATGAATTTTTTTCTAAATTCTTGTAAGCTTGTGTTCCTGTTGGTTGACCTTTAGTTAGGCTTTTATGTTCATTCACTCTTATTTTGAGTGATCTGGACGTTTGCCCCACATATTTAGTTGGACAGTCAGCACAAGATATTTTGTAAATTAAATTGTTTTTATCCATCACTTTTATGGGGTCTTTCAGTTGATTTATTTTACTTTTAATTAGATTCGTCGGTTTAAACGTGTTGCGAATCCCAATATTTCTGAGGTTTCCTCGAATTGCCTCTGATCTACATTTAAATATGGTATTGTGACCGTTTTTTGCATTCTTCCGTCTTGTCATTCTGTTTTTACCTCCTTTTTTCATATTATCTCTGATAAATTCTTTTGGGTAGTTGTTGTAGAGTAAAATTTTGCATAGGACGTTTATTTTTTTTCGCTGGTCCTCTGGTGTCGTTGTAATTCTACGTATTCTATCTGCAAGACCTTGTATTAATCCACGTTTTACCGTAAGTCCATGAGCTTAGTGATAATAAATAGATCTTCCAGAGTGCGTAGTTTTTCTATAAAGCGTCGTTCTTATGGTACCATCTGTTACTCTTTGTATTTTGCAGTTCTTTAATTTCATTCTCTATTTCCACAGTGAATTTTACTAAGTCGACATGGCTGTTTATATACGAGAAGAGTTTCTCAACATCGGTTTTTTTTCACTATTATTAGCGTGTCGTTCACATATTTCCACCAACATTTTAATGATGACCTGAATGGTTAAAGTGAATTCTCTTCCCGAAAATTCATGAATATATCAGCTATTGTTGGTGAGATGGATGATCCCATGGCTACTCCTTCATTTTGTTGGTATATTTTTCCTTCAAATGTAAAGTATGTTGTTGTTTTTGTCAGACAGAATTCAACCTGCTTTATCATCTCTACTACGGATCACTGTGCTCTGTCTTTCAAACCATCATCTTCTTTTAGTCTCGTTTTCAGTGCATTTATGTCCGTTTGAATGAGTATTTCGGTATAGAGACTGTTTATATCAAAGCTCAATAGTATTTCCTCTCCCTCTATTTTAGTGATTTCTAGTCGTCTCAATAATTCAAATTAATCTACTATTCTAGCTTTCAGGTGGTCTTTTGTCGGTCTTAGTGTTGCTGAGAGAAATCTTGACAGCATATACCTTGGTGTGTTTCTAAAGTCTACAATCGGTCTTATTGGATATTCTTCCTTATGCCGTTTTATCTTGCAATATATGATAGGTATATTATATGATTTTGGCATAATTTCAAACCATCTTCCCTTACCAATTAATTCTTTCATGTGTCAAACTACCTTTGCTGTTTCTCTCATTGTTTTGTTGGTGATTCTATCTGATGATTTCATCATTAGGGTATAGGGTTCAGATTGTAAATGTTTATTCATCTTTTCCGCATATGCTGTTTTGTTAAGTCTCTGCCTGTTTTCGACATAGAACTTTGCACAGATGTGCAGCAGTTCATGTAGCACACAAAGCAAGAGAAGAAAGTAGAAGAAATGAATAACAGAGACAGTAAACAGAGGTGTGAGACAAAGGAATAGTAGTAACGAAGAGCAAAACAGTTTCATTGGAAATCATAAGTCACAAGGAGTGGATGCATCTTGCTAGTCATTGAGAACGATTTTGAGCCATATCACCAGTTGTCTGCAGCCATAAGTTTTTACCGTCCCGAGGACCCCAACCAGGAGGTCTACACCTTCCTACTTGGCTTAGACTAACTGTTGTTGATTTCATTGATTGATGAAGCCATGTTTTGGTTTGACCGCCGCTAGCTCTTTTCCAGCCTGACCCTATGTCAGCTAACATTGCCCATCGAGGAAGGCGATGACCAGGCATACGTAACATATGTCCTAATCATCTCAGTCGATGTAACTTCACAGCCTCGTTGACTGATTTCCCCTCCTCACCTAGCACTCGACCGAAGCCTAACCTCAATATTGCTCACCTTATTATACAACTTCACACGGGAGATAGAACGCAGGCACCCATGACCAAAGACAGCTAATCTTTTCATGTCTTCCACTCTCAACGGCCAGGTCTCACGATTATAAAGGAGGACGGAGAGGACTGCTGAGCAGTACACACGCCCTTTGATCGATAGCCAGTCAGATATCACGTCTACGCCAAAGACGGCGTAAACTGGAACATGCGAAACTAGCCCTCTGTATCTGCGCTGAGATTTCGTCAGAGATCAACCCATTGGCGTTGGCTGATGGTACTTCCCAAGTAAGTGAAGCGGTAAACGTGCTCTACCACTCCCCTCCCTTCTTCTAAATTAGGAGTCAGTGTAGTCCAGTCCTGTAACATCATCTTGCATTCGGTGGGAGCTAATCGCATGCCAAACATTCGTAGATTGCGGCTCAAGGTGTTTAGAAGACTGCATTTTGTCAGAGTCACCGCCTAGGGGGACTATATCGTCTGCATATTCCAAGTCAACGAGATCATTTCCTGTAGGAAGTCAATCCCTGAGTCGCTGAAGTCACTTCGGGTTAAGTCCATTAGCGTGTATATCTATGATGAAGTTGAATAGGAATGGGGATAATGGGCATCCTTGACGGACACCACTGGTCACCAGTTCAGATGACAACTTGCCGTAAGCCCTCACCTGGCTGTATGAGTACGAGTAGAGTGCTTTATTCAGTACAATGTATTTTCTCGGAATTCCCTTTACAGCCAAGTATCGCCAGAGAACTTCTCGGTCGACAGAATCGAATTCCGCCTTTAGGTCAAGAAATATAATGATTGTTGGACGCCGGTAGGAATTCCTATATTCTAGAATTTGTCGAAGGGTGAAGATATGATCAATATACCCTCTTCCTGGTCTAAAGGCTGTCTGGCTTTCTCGTGTTTGTGCCTACCGAGCACCACTTAGTCTACGCATGATTACTGAGCCTAGGACTTTAGATACTATATAAGCCAAGCTAATCCCTCTGCGATTATCACAGGAAGACTTGTCTCCCTTCTTGTATTTCGGGATAATCAGTGACTTACACCAACCCGATGTGACTTCCTCTGATTCCCAGACGCTGCCTAGTACCTCCGTTAATGCAGACGGTAAACTGTCTCCACCGTACATAAATACCTCTGGAGTCATTCCATCAGGTCTTGCTGCTTTGCCATGTTTCAGATTGGTGACAGCTTTAGTAACCTCAGTTAGGGACGAATGACCTGTGTCTATATCCCATTCGCGGAGGTGTTGGATGTTCGGCAGGCTGAGCGTGGCTGTAGGCCAATCAAACTGCTCCTCATAGTGCTCTTTCCAGCGTTCCAGTCGTCTATCCTGGGAGCTAATTATGGTGCCATTTTCCTCAGAGATTGTTTCGCTTATCATTTGCCTTTTACCATCTGTTTCCCTGATGAGTCTAAATAGTTGTCTGTCGTTTCCAATCGCCGATGCCTTTCCCATCTCTTTCGCTCTTGTCGCCCACCACTGTTCAGTCTTTGGGAAGAATTCTTGTTTGAATAGCTTTCGCTCCACATCATAATCGGAGGTCACCGGAATCAGTCTTCTTGCGTCAATCAGTTGTTTTGTTCAGTAGTACTGTTGTGTTTCCTTTGTCTGCTCCAGTAATGACAATGGATTTGTCTACTTTTATGTCGTGAAGTGCTTTTAGTTCCGCCTTCACTACATTCAGTTTTTCCGCTTTTCTTCAAGGTTAATGCACATTTTGCCCGTACCAATTCTGCTTTTAGGTTGTCATGTCCTTCGAGTGCTGTTTCAATCACATGTATAATATCTTCAGGTTTTAATCTTTTGTTATCAATATTGAAGTTCATCCCTTCCATCAGTACACTTTCCTCTGTTTCTGTTAGCTTTCTGTCTGAGATGTTTGCAATCCGAGTGGTTTTAGTTACTTGCATGTTATTCGTGGTGTTTGCTATCATGAGTTTATCAAGTTTTTGATGTGTTTCTTCATGTGTAGTTGCTTTTCGTTTTGGTGCAACTTCTAGTATGCTTTCATACTTTTCCTCATATTCACACTACCAAATTCAGCCATGGACGTCAACTGTATTTTCGTTAATTATAAGCTTTACAATCATGTCACTTGATTACTTTATCTCATAACTCCACTGTCTGTACATTTTACATACACTTAAATCACAATCAAAATGATCAACCCACCTACCATTCATCCAACCGCAGCTGGTTATATCCATTGTTTCTATGATATGATAGAGGACAGAACAAACGCAAAATACAAAGAAAATGCGTAACAGACTTGAAGATAAGGTAGATTTAACTGTGGGTAGTGAATAGAGAGTGCCCTTATTTCTCTGTATACAAAATACGGAGGGGTATAAGTTCTAGCACATCTAAGAAGTTTCTTGTCACCACCAACCAATGTCATCGATGGGAAATCCATCCCTCTACTTCCGACTGAATGCACCAGTTCCCTCTAACTGATATCAATGCGTGGTCAAATTCGAAAAACAAATCAAGTCATTACAAGACAACCCTTGGACAGAGAGAACTAATTGTTTCAAAATTTAAGTTATATCTATTATGATATCTCTTTTTCTATTTTCTATTTCAATCACATAATACACTTTTTTGAACACCTTCAATAAAAAGTAAGTATAAAAAAATGTATGTATGTGTGTTAAGTGTGAAGAGACAATTAATTGGTAGTAGAGAGATGATTGGAGGCAATCGGCCAGGAAGAAGCAGTCTTCACCAAAGATAGGACTAGACACAATTACACACACACTAGTGAGTTACTTGACTAGTGTGTCCAATCACAAAGGATGAAGAGAGACAATTATTTATCTTTAATTTAAAATATTTTATTATGCTATACACACACACACACACAATGGAAAGGAATATAGGAATAAAAGCCATCTGAAAGTAATGAATTTTTTCTTGCGGGAGGATTATAATTTCAATTACAAGTCTGAAAGGAAGGGAAAGTACAAATCAAAAAGAAAAAACAAAAAAGTAAAAGAAAAAATTAATATTTCTTTCGTATCTGCATGTAATAATATACAAATATGTACAATGAGCAAGAAAACAGCAATAAAAGAGAGAGAAAAAAGTAAAAGGCAGTTTTATGATTTTGAAAGTTGAAAAACAACAATATATTAGCATATTATTATTATCATCACCGTTTAGGTTTAGATTTAGATTTTTTTGAGCCTGTTTCACGTTCTGAATGTTTAGAATTATGACTTGAATTAAATACAATATGAGAATTACTTTTACGTGAAGGGGGACCGCCAACAGATGTTTTACTTGTAATACGTGTATTTGCAGGTAACGGTTTATGTGAACACTTTGGACAAAACCATTGTGGAACTTCAGGTGCTTTTGTAAGTCCAAGACAGGTACTTTAAAAAAGAAAAGTATACATAGATAAACGTTATGTGAATGACATACTCATTCATTATTGGTAATAGTGGTAAGTCTATTGAGAACTTTGTTACTACTCTACTGGAAAATATTTACCGCAATATCCAAATGACTTTCGAATAACAAACTCGGTTTTGGGATATTTCAATGGCTAGGAGAGACAATGGAACGATCAAGCGATCTATTTTTTTTCATAAGCAGACATGGAGTGGACAATATCTTCATTTTACCAGTTTTGTTCCTATTCAGTATGAAAGTTCTCAAGTGAAATGTTTATTTCCAAGGGCATGCAAAATATGCATGAGCGAAACATTGATAAGTTTCTATACATCCATTCAGTTTTATTACCTAATTGTTATGCAGAACCCTTTATCTATTGCCACAGCAAGGATAGGCTACATCTTGAAAACAACAGCGTCAGTACCAAAGAAAGCTATCTGTATTAAACTACCATTCAAGGGTGACCAGATTATGCAGTTGACAGCTCAGAGACTACGGTCAGGCATCAGACGCACATTCCACTTCGGATCGTTATCCATCACATGCCGAACATTTTTGAACCTTCTATCTACGATTAAAGAACGAAATTCTATGGACTCTACTTCAAACTGTTCACCTATAATTGTGGTGTCATTTATATAGGGAGAACCAATACAATGCTCTAATTGTCATTAAAGTACAGAAAATCCTAAAGAAATAAATCTGCATAGAAATTCATCATCATCCATTGCAAAGCATATATTAATGTCAAGCCATGAAATCAACATTAACGACTGCGTCACAATTATATCACATAACTCTAAATCACAGTAATAAAGGTGATGGAAGCACATATATAAGAATAGAACTTGTGCACTGTGATAGTGCATAATTCCATTATGGATAAAATTTTCTTTTAATAAAATCACACAAATCAAAAAAACATCTCGAGAAATCAAAATCAGAAGAAATCAATACCGCAGAGAATCTATTCGACAATCGAGAAACCCGGTTGAACTAGAAAAACTTGAAAAATATTTTCAGATTATAATACAATTCATTAGTCAGTCAGATAAATAAAAAAAAAACTTATAAGGTCAACAATGGAAGATGATTTAAACATAAACACAACTGGAAAAAATGTAAGCATAGTATGCGTATTTATCTACCAGTCCTAGAGATATTAGATTCACAATTAACAAATTCAATTAATAATCCCCCCATTGAGACATGAAAACAAAGAATTCAGAGAAGAAAATTATCTTTTCGACGATTTCATTTTCATAACTGTACAATCGTTTACCGTATAACACATTATGTCGTAAAATGGATAGCAGAAATCTCAGAACTATTAAGAAGGCAAGTATGTACCTATTCTTTGTATGACACTCTTGAATTTGTTAACTACGTTAATGATATATTATGTTGTCACTTGACATATGTTCATTTTTTACTAATGTTCCATTAAGTGAAACTGTATGCTTCATTTGTTATTATATAGACTTACATAGTGTAAACGTAGGAATTCCAAGATTATACCTTAAAGAGCTAATACTTCGATTTACTCTCAATGTCCAATTTCTTTTCGACGACGAAATCTACAGACAGAGAAATGTGGTAGTTATGGGTTAACTACTTGGTCCACTGCTAGAAGACTTCTTTTTGGCTAGTATGGAGAGTAGTACTCTCACACCTACTATAAAGGGGCTCACCTTCCACAAAAGATACGTGGATGACACGTTCATTATATACGACGGGAAGTGGGATTCGAATGATATCCTGAATGTATTCAGTGACATTCATCCTGCTATCCGGTTCACCTTAGAAAAGTAAACTGAGACGAGAATATCTTTCCTTGATGTGCTACTACTCACAAGGAGGGCTGACGAGTCATTAACTGAGTGATTGAGCAAATTGAACGATGTGTCAGATGTGGCGTGGTCGGTATATACAACATGTGTTGCAATATTGATGGAGAGTAATAGTGTTCGTGATGAACTCAAACAACTGAAAGAAACCTTCATGGAGAACCGGTATAAATTACTCTTCACCAATATTGCAACACATGTTGTATATACCGACCACGCCACATCTGACACATCGTTCAATTTGCTCAATCACTCAGTTAATGACTCGTCAGACCTCCTTGTGAGTAGTAGCACATCAAGGAAAGATATTCTCGTCTCAGTTTACTTTTCTAAGGTGAACCGGATAGCAGGATGAATGTCACTGAATACATTCAGGATATCATTCGAATCCCACTTCCCGTCGTATATAATGAACGTGTCATCCACGTATCTTTTGTGGAAGGTGAGCCCCTTTATAGTAGGGTGTGAGAGTACTACTCTCCATACTAGCCAAAAAGAAGTCTTCTAGCAGTGGACCAAGTAGTTAACCCATAACTACCACATTTCTCTGTCTGTAGATTTCGTCGTCGAAAAGAAATTGGACATTGAGAGTAAATCGAAGTATTAGCTCTTTAAGGTATAATCTTGGAATTCCTACGTTTACACTATGTAAGTCTATATAATAACAAATGAAGCATACAGTTTCACTTAATGGAACATTAGTAAAAAATGAACATATGTCAAGTGACAACATAATATATCATTAACGTAGTTAACAAATTCAAGAGTGTCATACAAAGAATAGGTACATACTTGCCTTCTTAATAGTTCTGAGATTTCTGCTATCCATTTTACGACATAATGTGTTATACGGTAAACGATTGTACAGTTATGAAAATGAAATCGTCGAAAAGATAATTTTCTTCTCTGAATTCTTTGTTTTCATGTCTCAATGGGGGGATTATTAATTGAATTTGTCTGTCTGTCTGTCTGTTTTCGACATAGAACTTTGCACAAATGTGCGGAAGTTCAAGTCACCACATTCCGTGTAGCACGCGAAGCAAGAGAAGAAAGTACAAGAAAAGCATAATAGAAACAGTGAGCAGAGGTGTGAGACAAAGGAGTAATAAAGAAATACAAAACAGTTTCATTGGAGATCATAAGTCACAGGGAGTGGATGCATCTGCGCCACTGAGAACGATTTTGAGCCATGTCACCAATTGTTTCCAACCATAGATTTTTACCGTCCCGAGGACCCCGGCCTGGAAGTCTACACCTTCCTACGTGGCTTAGACCAACTGTTGTTGATTTCATTGATTGATGAAGCCATGTTTTGGTTTGACCGCCGCTAGCTCTTTTCCAGCCTGACCCTATATCCGCTAACATTGCTCGTCGAGGGAGGCGATGGCTTGGCATACGTAACACATGTCCTAACCATCTCAGTCTTTGTAGCTTTACGACTTCGTCGATTGATTTCCCCTGTTTACCTAGGACTCTACGCCTAACCTCAATATTGCTCACCTTATTATACCACTTCACACGGGAAATAGAGTGCAGGCACCTATGATCAAAGACAGCTAGTCTTTTCATGTCTTCCACTCTCAGTGGCCAGGTCTCACAACCATAAAGGAGGACGGAGCGGACTGATGAGCAGTACACCCGCCCTTTGGTCGATAGTCGAACATCTCGTCTACGCCAGAGTCGGCGTAAACTGGCAAATGCGGAACGAGCCCCCTGTATTCGTGCTGAGATTTCGTCAGAGATCAACCCGTTGGGGCTGATGGTACTTCCCAAATAAGTGAAGCGGTCAACGTGCTCCACCACTTCACTTCCTATTTTTAAACTAGGCGTCAATTTGTTAATTGTGAATCTAATATCTCTAGGACTGGTAGATAAATACGCATATTATGCTTACATTTTTTCCAGTTGTGTTTATGTTTAAATCATCTTCCATTGTTGACCTTATAAGTTGTTTTTTTTAATTATCTGACTGACTAATGAATTGTATTATAATCTGAAAATATAAATTTAAATAAGGCATTTAGAAGACAAATTTCGCGAGATGATGGCATCACTTTGTAGTTTCTCTTTTCAATCGCTTTACAACTAACAGGGTTCACAGTTGTAAAATTAAAGAGCATGACAATTACTCAGTTATATAAAATCAAAAGTACATACAAATGACCAATCCTATTTCAATAGGTCAAGTAGTCCATGGTGAGTGACATTAATTGAAATCTATTGTTTTTGTGCACATAGTTTAGGATGCTTGTGATTAGCATATGTGATAGGATGTACGAGAGAATAGAAAGGACTTCCTTTCACAAAGACATATATCTTAAGCCCTAGTTGTAGTCACAAGTTATCGAGTGATGTATTGTATATCGAAACACTCTGTGTTATGGAACCTATTTCCTATACCCACATTTTTATAGCCACGCTTAGACTACAAATATTAAAAACGCCTTCTATTGAAAATCTCTGTTAGAAATACATTCAACTGCTGAAAGAACGAGCAGTGAATGCTGTAATCTTAGAACCGGTATCAATAACTGTATTATACTTTCATGTACGAAAACAACTCTTATGATATTTGAAAACTAACGATTACTACAAGACAATTCCGCTTAAATGAAATGGGAAAACAAACCGTGCTAATTAAGTACAAACTCAAACCTACTGCCGTCAAGTTTTGAGTCATTTTATTCAAATGAACATTTCAACCTTTTTGAATAAAATTTATTTTGATACAATCTGACCGTGTTATATAGTAACATATACTAATGACGTTTCGAGCACAATTTATTGCCACTCATAATCATATGAAGGTACTCACACAACTTTCTGGAAGTTAGAAGGTGCACTTTATCTTTCTTTATGTTTCACGGATGTCTTTATATTGATTTTATTCAAATGTCTAGTCAATTTCTTACTCATGTATATATAAACGAAGAAAGAAAGTTGTGTGGGTACCTTGACATGATTATGAGTGGTAATAAGTTGTGTTTGGAACCTGGTCTTCAGCAAATATTACTGTATAACACTGTGTGACTTTATCAAAATAAAATTTTATCCATAATGGAATTATCCTGTATCACATTGTCTAAGTCCTATCCTTATTATCACGTATACTTCATAATATTCACTCAAATGCTTTAAGCTACTTAATACAACTGTTAGTAGGCCATTTACACACGCAATAAAAATATCCCTTCATATTTTGTCTTTACTACAAAGCGAAGCAACAAGTTTCCGGTATACTTCTGGAAATACATCACCTATTAGACTGATACCCAGCCATATAAAAATGGAAAGAGTTGCAATTCAACCTTCCTGAAACAATGTATAGGAGAGTTAAATTTAAGCAAACGTATTCAGTATATACAACAGACTCATTAAAACTAATTTGTGAGCATTCTAATCAATCATTTCAAAGTTCTTTTAGGAATCCAAAAGCCATCACACAGTCTGAATACATAGTTGACAATAAATCACTCCTACAAATAAAACGTGTCATATTAACTCCAGATAACTAAAGCTTAAAACCTTAATAATTACTTCAAAAGAGTATATTAAGACATGCTAACATACTACATCTATTCATATGAACTGTCGTCAAGATTTGACTGAATAGCATCAAAATAATTGGGCTCCAAATGGAAAGTAGATATAAGAAAAAAATTATGTTGGTAAAATCTCAAAGAAATTGAAATAAGTAATTCCAACGTTTCATTCAACAAACTGGTCTAAACTTTAATTTCAATTAATTTACCTGAAGAAGTTCGGACTGGTTTTTCGGACGAAATGTTGGAGTTACTTACTTCAATTTCGCTAAGATTTTACATATGAATACGATGTGTTGTGAAAAAAATATCTATGGCCTTTGGTACACCTCGAAGAATAAACTGCACCAACCTAGGTTGGGAAGTCATATATAGGGATGACAAGCTATCTTATGCATCTGAGTTCATTATCCTCAACGTGCACATATCAGTTAACTTGCTCCTGTAGAGTTAATTACATTGGCCATACCATGAGTAGACATGTAAAACGCGTACAAGAACACTATACAGCCTGACTAGGCACAAGGATAACGTAGGTGTATATAGCTCGACAAGATAACATCTAGTGAACTCAGAACACACAGCTCCATTTGAAAAGTCCTACACAAGATCCGATCAAACCTCTCAAAGGGAGTGGGATCACGACATATGGACTTGGCTGAAGCACTAACAATCCGAAAATTGAAGTCACCACTATGTATTCAAAGGAAGTACACGTCCAACCTATGTTTTGACCATAGCCATCAAAAAACAATTATTCTCTCACAATATCTTTTATCTAAGTTTCATGTTTATTTTTCTTATTATTATGTTCAACTCCTGTTTATAATCTTGTTACTCAATATAATTTGACTCTCGAGTGGAAATAGTTTTGAGAGTTTCTCGCTACTATCAATATATTCAACGAATGTACACCTTAGTTGAGGACTTTTGTCGAAAAGGAAGTTTTCTTCGTTGCAACCCTCTTTTTAATTCTTTCCCATCATTATAATGACTGAGACGTGTCTTTCCCAAGTTTAACTATAGCTAATACAGACGGTAATTACATAAACAAGGATGATGATGACGACAGCATGAAGCTACTAGAATAATTTTATAACAACAGATCGAATATATTCTTCATTTAGCAGCATTCAGGAAGGATACTTTTAAATCAAAGTGCAAATGATGATTGCTTAAGAACCATTAGGGTAGGAAGAGATACATTCTAAGTTAGTGTTTCCCTCGTGATCTGTAAACCAGACATTTGACTCCGACATGGATTAAAGGTCACGCTACTGGATTTTTATAAAGAATCTAAAGTTTCAAGATGCGATATGAGTTTAGATCACACATGTTCACCACAACTTAAGGAATTCTCTGAACTCTATGAATTCAGTATATCATTTCCTTTCATATATTACCTTGGATGTCAGAACGTGGACTGCGAAACAACACTAAGGGAACTCGAAGCCTTACGAACACATTATTATTATTACTATTTATTATTTTTCAGGTGGATGTTCTGATAATTAAACAATTCGTTAGCATTCAAGTGTTGGTCTGCACACATTTGGTTGGTTACAAGATCTCACCATCAGTTGGTATCAGTTAAAGAACCGCTGGATAACTTACGATTACTATACAGCTATTTCGTTCACGTTTGAGACTCTACAGAACGCACCCAACAGGGTTCGAACCCAGGACCTTGAGGTTACACTTTCATTAACACTTGAAGCAACACATTGATCAGTGTTGGGTCAGGAGATGGCGAATAACGAATCAGTTTTTCCTACATGACCTGTAAATCTGAAACTTGACCCTGATGAAGATTAAAGATCAGGTCATTAGATTTTTAATGACAAGAGCTACTCAGTTACGATAATGTGTATTGCCGTTGCGTTGAAGTAACAATTGAATGAACCAACAAATTCATTATCATCATCGTTACAACAGGAACAGACAATTCAAAAAGTTTAGACTTTAAAAACGCCTACAACTTCGTACCAGCTCAGAGGCAACTCAATGAAGCCTTAGAGTGACTGTGAATAAAGGCAATGCGAATGTCGACATCACACACACATACTAACAAACCTAACATAAAACCATTATTCACTGTTTCATAAAAGATATTCAGTGCAATTTATAGACTTTTCTAGCCATTATAAATACTGAATTACTTATTTATTTATGTAAGTGAACATACCTGTGGTACCAGTCTTCACAACTGTCGCATCCGATCATTAAATTCCCATCGTCTTCTAGCAGACAAATAGGACACAACCATATCTGTTCACCATTATTGTTCTACAATAAAATGTTTAACAAAAGGAGTTAAAGTATACGAAACAAAAGTCTAAAGAATAATTATTAAGGCTATACAAATACATAAAAATATAAACAGTGGCTACCGATTTGTGTCCAAAATTTGAAAAACAAACCCATCATTATCAACACTGGAAATATTATGGTAAAACTACAAACGTTTTCATGTGTAATTGATTCGCAAAACTCCATTACTTACAACTCAATAATCCTATATGGGTTTGTGTAGAACATACTTATGAACGACACTTAGAATGCAGTTACCAGAAATGGGCATTTCATGCAACTGATTGACTTACTAACTGACTGGTTTCAATACAGAACTCTGTACACAAGTGCAATAGTTCGAGTCACCCCACTCCATGTGCCACACAAACGAAGACAAGAGAGAGATTTGAAGCAACGACAATAAGCAGAAAAGTGAAGAAGAATAGTAACCTGGAAAAACGACAGGGTTTTGTTGGATATCGCGGATCACGTCGGGTGAATGCATCTGCACCAGCCATTGAGAACGATTTTGAGCCATATTACCAATTGTCTCCAGCTGCCATTGGTTGTAACCATCCAGAGGAACCTAACCTACATCTTCTTATGTGACTAGTCCAAAATAACTCTTTAAGAATCTATGGACTTACGCCATGTTTTCGTCTGAACACTAAGACCTCTTTTTCCAATCTGATCCCGTCTCAGCTAACACTTCACTTCAAGGAAGGTGATGGCTGGGTATGCATATGCAACACATCTCAATCGATGTAACTTGACAACCTCATCGATTGACTAATCCTCCTTACATAACTAACACTCTACTCCTTACCTCGGTATTACTCATCAATACAATAGCACCTAACACGGGTGATAAAACGCAGACACCTATCATCAAAGACTGTTAGCCTTCCCATATCCGACACCTTCAATATCCATGTCTCACAACCACGATAGAACGGAAAGAATTGCTAAGCAGTATACACGTCCTTCGATCAATAACCGCATATTACATGCATCAAGCTGAGTTTTCCTTATTCCGAATGTTAATCAGACTATTCAGTCACATGGGCTGAACTGGATGGGAGAGCAGTTTAATCTAGGAGTCAATGACTGAAAATCGACTGCTTAAGCCAACAAGCTAAATTTCTACATCAGTGGTACCCAATATCCCCATTTCTATTCACTTTCATCATAGATGTACTAATAAACTTAACCCTGACTTCAGCCACTCAGGGATTCACTTGTTACCACCAGGAAATCATCTTGTTGACTTTGCATATATACATGATAGAGTCCTCCCTCATAGGTGAAGACGCTGACAAAATCCAGAAGAGTTTTATGAACACATTGAACTGAGCATTAATTTCCGAATGTTTGCCATGCGATTCGCTTCTGCTATCAAATGTAAGATGGGGCAACAGCAATGGACTGAACTCGACTAGACTACATTGACTCACTCCTAGCTTAAAGATAGACAGGGAGTGAAGTAGTGACTGCGCGTCATGACCACTTCACTTATTTGGGAAGTTGCATCAGCCAACCCCCACAGGTTGATCACTGACGAAATCTCACCACGGATACAGAAGGCTCGTTTCGCACATGCCTGCCAAATTTATGCCATCTCTGGCTTAGCAGACGTGATATCCGGCTGTATGTAGACCAAGCGGTGTGTGTACTGCTCACCAGTCCGCTTTGTCCTCCTTTGTGGCTGTGAGACGTTGTCACTGAAATTCGAAGACACGAAAAGGCCGGCTAGCTGTCTTTGATCATAGGTGTCTGCATTTTATCTCCGGTACAATAGAGTAAAGAACACAGGTTAGGCATATGTTGAGTGCTAGGTAAGGAGGGGAAATCAATAGACAAGGCTTTGAAGCAGCTGCATCGATTGAGATGGTTAGGAAATGTGTTCCGTATGCACGCCTAGCCATCGCCTTCCTCGACAACGGGTAATGTTAGCTGACAGGATGGATGGATCAGGTTGGAAAAGAGCTAGCCAGTGGCGGTTGTGTTTATACGAAAACGTGGCTTCATCAGTCAGTGAAATCCATAACAGTTAGTTTAAGCTAACCACGTAAGGAGGTATGGACTTCTTGGTTGGGGTCCTCGGGGTGGAGACGATTGGTGATATGGCTGGCTTAAAATCGTCCTCAATGGTTGGCAAGGATGCATTAGATCTTTGTGATTTGTCATATCCAATAAAAACTTACTGTTCTTCCATATTACTGTTCTTTTACCCTCACTCACAGTTCTGCTTATTATCTCTCTTTTGAATCTCTCCTCACTCTCTTCTCTTGCTTTGTGTGCTACATGGAGTGTAGCGACTCGAAATGTTGCACATCTGTGTTAAGTCCCACGTTGAAGCCAGTCAGAGCATCCACAATCTAAGCTATACGTAGAAGAGAGTTGTTTTACAACTAATCCTGTGTTCAAAATATTAAAATATTCTGTTCTCTCCCCTACCAGCAAATGATACTGTTGTCTAAAAGGGAATCAGCACTTCACCAATCAGTTACTGGCTAAACGGTGGAAAAGATCAAAGTTGAAAATGCTAGAAAATAGATTAGATTATTGGAAAAACTATCAAAAGCTGTTCACAGTTTCCGTATCATAAAGTAATTTGCAAGATGAACCATAAAAACGTGTGCGCTTAAAAAAAGTCAACTGGAATGAATTTCAATAAATAAGTAAAAAAAAATAAATTAGAATGATGATCCATTTTACTTACGAAATAATATGAACTGCCGGCAGATTCAACGACAATTTGTGAAGCAGTTTCACGAGGTACAATCTTAGAAGTGATGACTTGAGGAGTTGCAATTGGGGGCACAGGTATTGGTTTGATCTGGTCACAACTTTTTCCACTTTTTACTAATGTAGAACTTTTCGTACTGGGATTTCGAGATGACTTTGTGGCTGGACGATATAAGGATTTTTTGTTAAATAAACTAGTGTGTTTGGTCCTTGGTTGGGTTTTCAAAGGAGGAGGGGGAGGAGGAATGGAGTTAGGCAGGGATGCTAAAGGATCTAAGGAAGAATGAGCTGAATAAATATTTCGACTATTAGAAGTACGGATAGATCTTTGACTATCCGTTGCTTCAATCGAAGAAACTGGGGATAATAAAGGAGATCGGTCATCATTTTTAACATCACTTTCATCATCTGTGAAAACAGAGTCCACTGTAGCACGAGGCCGTTGAACAACAGCTGAAGATTCAGTGCGACCTGATGTTACAGTTCTACTTGACTGATGCACTGCTCTACGTTTAGCCAAAGGAAAATGTGAGCTTTGATCTGAATGGCTTCTTTTCTTTCCACGAACAAACCGTGAATCTGAAATTATTACAAACATTACTGTTTACTTTCACAGTTTAAAATATTTCTAATTTTAAAATGAAAAAGTTTATCCTGTTGCAGCTATGCTACTTATTATCTTGCTATGATTTCAATATTTTTTCCTACTTTATTCAGCTTATCACAAAATGTGACTGGAATCATTTAATCCATTAAGTATGAAATGTACAAAAATGCGGTTGAAAAAGAGTAAGTTATTTCAAAAAAATGTTTTTAATTTTGTATCAAATACATGCAACAACAAGATATGATTCCTAACTAAATGGTTGAAACAATGATATTCTAAAACTAATTTATTTAACAGGCTCATCATAATCTGTGGGTGATTTGGTTTAATGTCGTAATTTATTCATAACAATATACAGATTAATTAGCCCTTCAAAGAATAGTGAATGAAAATAAACTGTTAAAGAGATTATCTCCTATCAGATCTACTATGCACAACTTCAATATTGTTATAGTAATGTAATAGGCATGTACATATCACAACATTGAACTTACTGGACTTGGATTGCTTACTCAAAGAAGACTGATGTGTTAAAACTATGTCCGAATGAGGCAGAGGTGATGAAACAGGTCCTTTCTCTTCTCCAACTGGATTGAAAAGAGGGAGGAGCGGTGGGAGATGGCAGTGAGTAGCAGAAGTATCCGGACCGTTCGTGACAGAAACTTTTTCCCGCAGTGGTGGCAGATCACTAGATATGCTTACACTGGAGGTCAATGAAGGTGGTGGTGGTGGTGGCGGCGGCTGAGATCGATGAGGCAACCGTCCTTCAGTAGTGATTTTATTCGGCTGGAGACCGCTTTGACCTGATCTGGGAGGTAGACGTTCTAAACAAGGAGGTGGCGGTAAGACTGCGGTCCCTGTAGGGCTGATTTGGGGTTGAACAGTCACTTTTTCCTCTTCTTCGCCTTCACTACTCGAAAGACTTCCTGTAATCGTAGAACTGGTATTTGATGCATTCGAATCACTACCTTGTGAAGCAGTTCGACCTCTGTACTTTAGTCTATCACGAGAAATGGTTAGCTGCAGAGGAGGAGGAGGAGGAGGAGGGGCGGAACTAAGAGAAGTTGGATACTTCCTGTCGATAAGAGGAGGGGGATTTTCTGAATGAGGTGTTACACTTTGGCCATCGGATTGGACGTGGGAAGATGTAACAGACTGTGATTGAACAGATGTGACAGGGCCGTTACCAAAGCGAATAACACTACGATTTGAAGGAAACAACAAATGTATAACAGGAAATAGAAAATATACTCATTTAGGATGAGAATAAAAAAGGAATTTTTAGCTATATATCAACAGACTTCTGCAGCGGACCTACTGCTAGTGCAAATTGGCTCCAGTTTACCAGTCACTTACGGTGACTACGAAATGTATAAATAACTCATTCTAACCATAAGGCCAAAGTTATGCTTACTTACACTGTAGATGAAACTAACAAATCTGAACACTGCAATCGCATAGTACAATCTCCAACCTCAGATAATTATCAAAAGAGTAAGTTGTACCTTACTGACCTGAGGACTTCACTCCCAACAAGTGGGATACAGCGTTGAACCTCGCTTCAGCTACGAAGTTTTGGGCAGCCACCAGGCCTCAAACAATAGGTAGAGCTTATTGCCAACTGCACACGATTTTAAGTGATTGTTTTGTGATATTTCGTTTATTCATTTATTCATTTTTTATTACATTTAATGTAACTAACCGTATAATAAACAGAATTTCACTGAAAGAACACTTACAAACACAGAAAAACCCAATACTGCAATTTCCATTAGGAAAAATAACATAGATCACAAGTTTCACTTACAGTTTTGGTGTTTTCTCCGACGATATTGTAGACTGAGACAATGACCCAGTATATCCATCAGATCTGTAGTACGATTAAAAATGAAATTTAATGATGAATACATTCTACAAAACGAGACTGAAGAGTCAATGAACTCATTATATATTATAGCTTGATTCCACACAATATTTTTGATACAAGTATGGAATTTTCAGCATGTGATATCGGTAGTTCAAATTTAGCAGGCCGACCATTGATATTATGTGTGCCTTGGCCGGAGATCGAACCTCGGACCATGTGCAAGGTCAGTAAGTGTCCTAACTGCTCTGCCACCGACGCACATATATATACTCTCCTTACCTAACACACTCGACGCCTGACCTCAATATTACTCACCATATTATATTACTAAACACGGGAGATAGAACACAAACACCTATAGTCAAAGACAGCTAGCCTTTTCATGTCTTCCACTTTCAACGACCCTCTCTCACAGGCATAAAGGAGGACAAAGTGAACTGTCGAGCATTACACACATCCTTTTATCGATGACCGGATATCACGTATACAAAAAAGGTGTATCTTTTGTATTCATGCTGAGATTTCGTCAGCGATCAACCCATTGGGGCTGGCTGATGCAACTTCCCAAATAAGTGAAGTGGTCAACACGTCCAGCCACCACTTCACTCCCTATATTTATACCGCGAGTCGATGTTATCCAGTCCTGCAACATTATTTCACATTTGACAGGAGTTAATTGTATGCTAAACATTCGAAGAATTCGGCTCAAGCTGTTCAAAAGACTGCATTTTGTCAACGTCTTCACCTAGGAGGAAAATGAAGAAGAATGAAGACTATTCTTCTCAGAAAATTCCTATCATTACTATAATATAGATAAGTATGTAGCGAATAAATTTCATAATAACAAAATATGATTGTGGATTCAAAACTAAATGGACCATAAGGAAGCGTAAATTGTATTCTCCACACACATACGTAAAACTATGTACTACTGATTGCTTGAGACACCCTCACATTAACCAGTAGTGCTTGTTAGCCAAATTGAAGTGATCTAAACACCCGAGTGCCGTTTAGGAGTGAGCTCAATAGCGCTGTACCCGGCTCGACTTACACCTCAGAGAACTAAATCAGTCCAAACCACTAGATTTCTGGTTAATATTCCAGAATGAACTGGTAATACATTGAGTCAAATTTGCAATCTACACAGTTCGAGATGAAATTTCACCACAGTTTCTTTTGCAAACCGAAATTATTCAGATAAGAAAGTGCGATCTGCTTGATACCATAAATTATAATCGAAAGAGCAAACATAGACGACTAAAACTATATACTACTGACTGATTTAGATGAGTAGTTGTATGCCAACGACATCACTTAGATATGGCTAGTAAACACTACTGGCTCACTTACTATCTGAGAGAGAGAGAGAGAGTTGTTGATTGCTGTGTACATATTATTTAAAGATATAGTAGTAGAAGGACTCCCTATATAACATATATCCTTTGATCAAAGCGAAGATACGCCAAATTAACTTTGATTTTCCCACGTAATCTGTAGTATCTATCCCTCCTCATAGATATACACATATCTGGAGAGATTTAATTCTATACAAAATAACACCAACCCTACACATGGCGAAGAAAGTTGTAACCAACTCACATTCCCAGACATACTTTTTAGTTAGAGAGAGAGTATAACTCAAAACAGTTACTGACTTATACAAAGCCTACCTGAATAGAGCAGTATCAAAATTTTCACAGTTTCTGTCTATTGTAATAGAAGACAAACTTGGTTAAAGGCTTATTTAGGAGGATTCAGCGTATCGGTACTGCTAATGCTATAGGTGATGTGATCAGAACAGTGATGGGTTTACCAATCGAAAACGGATATTCAGTAAAGTTTTTGAAGCTACTCTATCCTACGGGAAGATGTCTACATCAAATTACCTAACAACAGGATTTTAAAACACAGACTAAATTTTGTCATTATCATCGAAAAAGCCAAGAAAACCCTCCACCTACCACGAGCCTCAAAACTGCACAAGTGATTACGTCAACTCCCATATTGTATACCAGTTTCCATGTGTGTGTGTGTGTGGACACACATGGCTTGAAAAACATGTGAACTCAAAAACCTCGATAAACTATGAAACTTATCTGTAGCAAAACATATAACTGATATCAATCAAAAAATTGGTATCAAAACATCTTTCAAGATTGTCAGCAGCGAGTACTGAAACACACTGAGACGACAGGCATCTGTAAAATAAAACGCCCTTCCACTATTCTGTGTGGAAACAAACCAAAACTTGAATATCAGTCTGATGCTCACTAGCAACTGGCTCTATTCAAGTAGGTATTTACCTGGGTTCTATTGGGAAGTCGAGACCGATGGGGTACAGCAAGTCGGGTGTGAGGACAAATACTTGCCACTAATAGTTGCGTTATATTGTGAATTGACAGAAGTTAGACCATTGGAACATCTCCCGGTGTCTTAATGGTCTACGAAATCGCCTTGTAACCGGAAGGTCCGGGATTTGAAACCCTGTAATAAGTATTCCTGGAAAGTTACAAACTAGAGCGAAACAGTTGTCCACTACTCCCACGTTTTCCAAAGGTTCTCTAACCAATGTTAGCTCATGACGAAATCGTGGACAAAAACATTTTTTTTTCCTTCACGTTCCCAGTGGAATATAGGGCTTCAAGCTAGTGGCTTGAAGTTTCTGTAGCAGTGTTTATTTTTGCAGGATGAGGTTGCTAACCTCATGCCCAACCTTTCTTCCTTACCAGCTTTATTAGTGGCTTAGCGAGGTAAAGGAGTGCGTCAGCCGGGGCTCGAACACCGGATCATATGCATGGTCGGCGAGAGTCCTAACCCCTGTGCCACCGACGCACTCAATCTAATTTGATAATCCTTACATTAATTATTATCCTTTTTATGGTTAAATCCCTTTATTTTCTTCATTTTAACTGGCCTTTCATTTTTCTTCATTCTTTGTATATTGATTAGGTTGACAAGTAAATGTCTGGTACAGATACATCTTATTTAACATATATATATATATATCAGCTTTTGCTCTTTAAAGTTTTTCGGACATCACATTTTGTTGTCTACCAATAAATTTATGAATTTATGTAATGAGCACATGATTGCATAAAATAACTAAGCGCAGATATTAACAAATATGTTCCCCTTCTTGATGCTAACAAAATAATCACCTTTATTTTTGAGGTGGATGTAATATCGACTAAAATGATTATCTTAGAACACGCCTTTAATTGAATAAAATTCAACGCCATATAAGCAAAAATTAAACAAAAAAGTTAATGACTATTATCGGGCTTGTGATGTACCAGACTGCAGTTGAAAGTAATAATAAAGCAACTAATGTATAAGCTGGTAAAGAAATGTGTTTAAGGAAGGCTATCCTGATGAGATACTTGTAAAGTTAGGAAAAATCTTTAATTTGGGAAAACAACAATCTCATGGTTTGATTAATGCTATTACAATATGAGAAGCGCATCCTGAGCTGCATCATCTTAAATACTAACAGTGTTAATTAATATTCATTAATTAAAGAAAATTCACATTGCATCAATTAGTTACCTGTCCTTTGTTAAGTAGATTTCATTTGACTCCTTTTTGACGGTATGAATTGGATTTAATGCTGGTGTATAATGAGTTGCAGTGTCTTCATCTTCTGATGTAGACCCTGACGAGGATAATGAAGACGATGAAGATGTAGGAGAAAGAGAAGAAGCAAGTTCCTCCTTTAGTGCACTCCCACCTAACTTGATGGTGATACGCAATCCTCCATTATTGTTACTATTATCACCTGATGGTTTGGAGGATAATGACTGAGAATTTGTTAGGAAACAGGTCCTAGAAGCTGTGACCGAATCGGTTTGCTTCAACTTTGAGTAGTCCGGATCAACAACACATGACTGAAAAGAGATAAACCCTGATTAATTCATGACAAACTGAAAGTACTCAACATACTTTTAATAGTAACGCAACACACGTGAGATATTGAAATGTATGCCGAGTTTTTAGTTAATTATATGGAAGATTCCTCGTTATAACCTATTAAATCTGAAAAGTAAAGAATGTGATATATGCTAAGAAATCTGCCATTAAGTCTGATGAAATTCCTGAAGTGTATGGACCGATCTCGCGGCAAGTGCTTTAAAGCTTAATTTGCATTCGTATGTAAATTGTAAATGAAAGACCTGGAAAACTTGCCATTTCAAGACAGAAATATATATATATATATATATATATATATATATATATATATACCTAACAATTAACCCCTGAAATTTACAAACTATACGTAAATCAGTTTTGAAGAACTATTTAGAAGTAATTCACAAGTATGCACCATATTTTTTTTTGTTACAGCTTGATTCCACACCGTATTTTTGGTACAAGTATCGAATTTTCAGCATGGATATCGGTAGCCCAAATTTCGCAGGCCGACCATAGATATCAGGTGTGCGTCGGCGTGGATTCGAACCCCGGACCATGTGCATGGTCAGCGAAAGTACTCTATTTTAAGTTACTTTACTGGACATTACATACAGCAAAACGGTATAATATACTTGATTACATAGTACCACAGTGTCCAGTTTCTAAGCATATACTCAAATATCTCTAAGTAGATATACTTCATGATCAAGAGACACCATAAAACATCAAGAAACAGCCTATGGATTCTTATCATGTAGTATAACTGTGGGAATAATTTGAGGAATTTGTTAAATCGTAAAATTAACTTACAGGCACTAAAGTAGGTGGGAGAACGGGAACACATTCATTTTCTTTGGATGTCACAGGATAGGATGAAACACAACTTTTCTGTTCCGTTAACTTATTGGATAAAGGAAGAAGAGGAGGTGGGCCAACACCTGCAGGTTGAATTGGTGAAGGCAAACTACGATAGGTAGTACTGATTGTATTAATACAAGAAACAGCAGGCGACGGTTGCATATGACTTGGTGAGATTACAGGTAACAGGTTCGTATCCACAGTAGTCTGAATACATGGATTTGGGAACAAAGATTTATTTGAATCTGGGTTAGATCGAAATATATCATACTTAATGTTATCACTTTTTGTGTCGTTTACTTCCAACTTCGTAGCCAGTGGTTCTTCGGGCGGAATCTTTGGAGTTGACAATGATGATGATGACGAAGATGAACATAGAGAAGAATCAAGAGATGAGGGAGAAGAGGGTAGAGACCTTAAAGCAGCTGATGCATGCTGCTGCAGTTTTCCAAAGCTTTCTTTGTTGAAGACAGAAGTGTCCGACTTTAAAAAGTGACTACTACACGTCGCGGTTGCACCAGTAGAAGATGAAATACCCTTCACATCATTAGCATCTGAAAACGGAATCCTTAGAAGTTCTGCCCGCTCAGCATAAGTCATGGGTTCAGTTGTGTCGGATGCTGGAGAGTTTATAATCTCATTCTCGTTAACCATAGGAGGTGACATGGTAATAGATTCACTTTTCATATCAAAAGAATCAGCTTTTAAGTCTACAGATCTTTTACCAAGTTTATACACGGATCTTGTTTGCCTGGAAATATCCGAACGGCCTATCGGAGTAGATGCAATAGGTTGTTGATCACCAAAATTACTTTCAGGTTTGGATAAAGGTGTACTTGGCAAACTTTGTGGAACATCATTTGATTTAACAGAAAGCTGAAAATGAAACAAATATTTATTAAAACTAAGTGGTAGGAAAAAATATTGTAACAAACCATAAAGGTAAATCACAATTCAAAGCAACTACAGAATATTAACACCAAATATAAAATTCCTCTATCCTGGTGGGGTTGATTAAAACACTTTAAAATTATCACGCCTGTAAATAACCCACTTAAACAAATAAATCTCGAAAATACGAACATCATTATCTGCCTCCCTTTCTTGTCTTGTGAAGAAAACTTTTAAGCAGCTTTCTCACCTTATTGTCATATTCAGAATTCGCTGGGGTACGTCTCCTTCCACCGTAAATCAAATTCACAACCTGCAAACTTGTAATTTGCAATGCACGCAGTAAAACCCCACGGTAGATTCTTTTGGAAACTAAATTATTCAAAGTCATAATATGGGAATATTTCACACTAAATTATTCGGATCACAATATTTGATCTACTTGACGCTTTCCACTGACAAGTTCAAAAGACGCCACAAACACTTATTACCATTTTCCTACCAATGAATGAAAGCTATTAACACTGCTCAGTGTTCATACCATAGACTACATATGATACCCGGCTTACACCGGGGAAGTACTTTCATCATACTCAGATCGATGTTTTTTTTCATCTTTTTAAATACACACTTCCTGTACACACCAAGAAGCTGAACAGGTGATGACTTGGTATCTGCTCGCTCCCTACATTTTTTTAATCACAGATACGCATGTGCGGCGATTAGTGCATGATTATAGTTAGCTTCGGTACTCCCGAAAGTGTAGCAATCTGCCATAGATTCTCTCCATCAATGACTTCCTATCCATAATTAGCTTAGTAGTGGAGATAATTATCGTTGTGGATGCTGATGTGACTGTATTCGTTTGTAGCCAATGGTAACGTTGTTACTGCGGATGGAACTCCAAAAATTCCACAGACAAACAACCAGTATATAACCTGCTACAATCAGTTGTCCTCTGGGATTTACAGTCAAGCAAGCATAAATCAACTTTTACGACAGAAACAGTCGGGACATAGCAATCACTCAGTCAAGCGTCAGTCACTCATTCTCATTCTCATGCTTTCATCTCACTGCTAACACCGTTTTCTAGTCAGCTTCTACATCTCATAACGCTGTGATAACTGACAGATATTTAGGGCTAAGAAACACGGTGACGACTCCACATGGGAACTTTTGATGTCCGAATACTATATCAAAGTGGACAACAGTCCTCAAAAGTCAAAACTAATATCCCGACCTCGAATGAATACTGTTTCTTTAAGGCACGTCCCTCCATCCCAATGTAGGATGGGAGGCATCATGACTGGTTAACTGGATGGCACAGATCAACAACTTACTGCAACTTTGCCCTTTTTGGTGGCCATAAAATATAGACTGCAGAGCTACCTCATAGTCTAAGTAGCTTATATGTGATGATAACAGGCTTTCATAACAACTTTACAGAATGATAGGGAATACAGAAACATCTGTTCGTGAGAGCAAAGCTGAAAGGGTGAATGTGATATATTTGTCCAGGCATCATGCCAAGATAGAAGCTATCAGTCCTCTTGGGGTGCTTAGCGTAGTGATAGACTCGCTTGTATTAGTTCATATGTTTGACTGACACAAATAAGTAAACATTTTATTTATTTCAATATCACTGAGATTTATACAAATATTTATGAAACTATTAAGTCAAATCTAGATCAGAGTTCATACATGTGAGCACCAGTTACTAGTAATTTAACGACACGTTATGCATTAATCCTATGAACTGTTAAGAAAGCAAAAAACATCTTAAATATTTTACTTTATACTGAAATGAAAACAATGTTTGATTGGAAACATAACTAGTTGATATTAAGAGTCAAATAATTCACCTGTTTAACGAAATGTTTTCGCTAGATTTCAAATTACGCTACGAATTAATTACATTTATTTATTTATTTATTTTGAATGTTAAGTATCCTTATAAATCTGACTTTGAAGAGCTTTCCCACATAATTTATTTCATTAGAAATATTAAAACTGAAATCGAATACCTAGTTTATATATATATATATATATAAGAGAGAGAGAGAGAGAGAGAGATTGGGATATGAAAATAAACAGGATAAGTACCATATTACTGGACTGCATCTACTTGTGTGATAATTTTCTGAAGACATAAAGAGGCAAAAATAAACAAAACTGAGAAATTTTCAACAGTTGATTTTTAAGGATTGGATTTTTTTTTCGGGTTTGACCACGGATTGATATCAGTTAGACAAACGTCGAAAACCAGGGAGTACTAGACAGCCAGCTGTTTCATCCTGGTTCGGGAATCATTGGCAGTACGCATCCACTGGGACTCGATTCAATCGCCTATGAATCTTATGCTCGCTAGTGACTTGCTAAACGATGGAGTTTCCTGGAGTTCTAGAGAGAAGTCATGACCAATGAGATTCATCCAGTCGGGAGTGAGGATGGAGTACTCACCGGTAACATTGGTTGGTGGTCTCACTAAATGCATCACGAATTGGTAGAAGTCAGAATTCATGGCCGATCAAATTGGGTCTCAGTGGCTGAAGAGTATACGAGCCTGCCTTGTAACCGGAAGGTCCTGGGTTCAAAACGTAATAGGAGCGTACTGCTGAGGATTCCCAAAATGGGGCGAAGCAGATATACAGTACTCCTTTGTTTTCAGTGGTTCTCTAGCTGACATCTATCTGTGGTCAAACTCGAAAATTGAGAAATGTCGAATTTCGACAAAATAGTAGGAAAATGTAATTTATCTGAAACGTGTAAAATGCATTTGAGCAACACATTTTGGACATTCTGGTCCTATATGATACTATAAAAGGCAATGGAGCATAATTTTTACTGTATTATATTTGCTAGCACCCCACTTCCAGTCTTCCGTACCTCATTTTCCTACCTTTTAGTTGTGATCGTGACTCATTAACGTTTTGATATATATTGATTTAAAAAATTATGATTTCTCATGTATGACAACTACACATATATGATCAGAAAGTCTGAAATGTGTTGCGCAAATACACACATTACACCTTTCAGATAAATTAAGTCTTCTTAATTTATTTTGTCGAAATTTTTAAAGGGAACTAACTGTTTCAAATGTTTAGTTGTTCCACCGACTCCGAATTAACACTCACTACTTATACTACGATAGAAGAAAAGTGGCACTTGAATAACAGCTCTGTATTGTTTCAAACAAAGAAGAAGAAGGGAATAATTATTACTATTGGAAGTTTTATTCATCAAGATAATAAGGAAAACTGGTTGTTGTTATTTTCTCAAGCTAACGTTCGCAGATACTCAGTATTAATCGGTATTTGATCTACAAAGCTTGAATCCTGTTCTATTTACTACCACTTTTACACCCACTTAGTATCATGAACACATATATATACATATAACGGATCAGAATCATCACCTATTACATCAACCTGTTTGTATATGATTCTTGAAAAATATTGGACTATCTGAACCTTTTGGTAGCAGTTAAAATTAACTGCCCTACTAATGTCTGTAAACTGGTAGATGCCTTTGATGTGGTTGTGTTCGCTGAGCTGGATGGTTAATTTGCGTAGCTTTCATCGCCCTATTAGGTGACATCTTCAGCGCATACTTCAACTTGAAGTGAGCTTTTAGATTTCTCTCCTGGTGACCTTGGACGTGATTGGTCAAAGTTCAAGTCAAAGAAACAATCAATTCCAGTACAAGTATTCTAGAGGGTGTGAAAACACACAAAAACAACCAATCACGTAGGGCGATGAAAGCTTCGCAAATTAACCATCCAGCTCAGAGAACACAACCACATCAAAATCATCCACCTGGTAAATGCCTATTTGATAAATTTGATGTTTTATAGTTGGGTAACATTTCGATATCGAAAGTAAACAGCAGTTCTATGGCGATAACACTTCCGATAAACTAAAATAACGATAATTATTTCTATACTTAACAGCTAATATATATATATATATAAACATGAAACTGAAAACCATTTTGATATATCAAAACTGCATATTGCGATTATACAGCAAAAGTAAATGTAAATCAACTTACTGATTTAGAACTGTTTGGTCGAAGTGGATTCTGAAACAGACTATTGAATGCAGATACTCTGTATTTATCTCTTCTTCGACCACGACCTTTTCTTCGAAACGGATAAGTTGGTTTAGGTTGTACAATATTTGAATTTTCCATTGGACTGTTTTTCTCTGGAACATTCAAAACCTTTAAATCAGTTGTCTCAATTTCACCTGGTGATTTAGAGTCTTCAGCTTGCTTTAGTGACGTGATTACACCAAGTGACATATCAGTAGTCGTAGGAGTAGTATTGGTATTAGTAGAAAATATTATTAATGAGTCATTATTTACAGGATTTCGTAAAGGAGGAGTACTCGGTGATTCACATTCAGGATAATTTTTCCCATTCCAGACAGTTTGTTTTTCCTCTTCTGAATCGATTCTGTTTGATCCACGATCTTCACTAAATACTTTTTCAGGAATAGTAGTTGGTGTATCGTTCATAGATTTAAATGAATCTATAAATATAATAAGGACAATTTAAGTTAGTGAATTCAACAAAAGCTTTACACACTTTACTTACAATAGTAAACTAAAGTTGTTGTCACTTGAAAGATGACATCAACAGTCGAAAGTTGGTATGCACAGATACTAAAAGCAATTCTCCCATCTTATTAACAAACCCATTTCATCATAAATCATTCGACTATAAAGGACCTGTAACAATTAGGTAACCAACCAAGTTGGCGAAATTCCCGTTCAAGCAAGAATTTATCAGACACGGAAAGCCAAAACATATCATTAACTGTGTACAAAAACCACTATGATATGGAAAATACAACACATCTTGATTTAAAATACGTTAGGCTTTACAAATCGAAATGTAAATATCGCCGTCTCAGGGCAAAACATAAAAAATTAGTTTCAACATATTCCAAGTGACAAAACTCAGGAGGGGAGTAAAAATAAAATGAGGTAGGATATTTATCTCTCGTGATATTAAAGTGTAGTGAACCTTAGTAACCAAATGTCCTTCTACTCGCATATTATGAAGCTGAGTGACACTTGTCGGACGCATATGCCTTGTATATAAGTAAAGTAGAATATAAATTTCTAACCAACTGATTGATTGCTGGGTAACCAGAAAGTAGTAAACTGCAACACAGAGGTGTTCTAAGTTATCTTATTTCTATCTCTCTTCTTCTTCATTGATTTCTAAGTGAAGAAAACTACTGATCGAAAAAACCTGCTATCTCAGTGAACACTTAGGTTACACTAAGTAAAAGTACGTGCGTCGGTGGCATAGCGGTTAGGACGCTAGCCGACCATGCACATGGTCCGGGGTTCGATCCCCGGCCGCCGACTCACTTCTTTACCTCGCTAAGCCAGAAATAATGCTGGTAAAGAGGAAAGGTTGGGCATGAGGCTAGCAACCCCATCCTGTGAAATAAACACTGCTACAGTAACTTCAAGCCACTAACTTGAAGCCCTGTATTCCACTGGGAAACGTGAAGGAAAAAAAGTAAAAGTACACGCCCACGATGTCAGTAAGGTGATCATCATATAATGCTTACTAAGTAAACCACAATAGTATTTGGATTTTTTGACTCTTCATAAGAATATGCTTAAAATTATTAAGTTAAAACAGATTTCAAACTCGGTACCAATCTTTTTTTAGCAACAATGACTAAATGATAATTCATAAAGTTTGTAGCACGTATCTTTTACATCCAGGTATTACAGAAATTCAACTCAAGTAATGAACTTGTGAGTATTAGTAAGATTAATTAGGCTTTTTTCTTACGTTCTTTAGATTCTACTACCACGGCTATGTATATAAATGTAAATACCCTATATTCCAGGTAGTTAACTAACTATCAAACAAATGAATAATTAGCCATCAGGGGATAACGACAGTTGTTTCGTCCTAGTATTCCCAGGTTTTCCAATGGTTCTCTAACTAATGTCAGCTCATGATGAAATCCTGAAACCAATCAAATCCCTACAAACCAACATTTGATAACGACAGTGTTGGTTACTTTCCGGTTGCCCACACCATGGAAGTTGACTGAATCTTCATGTATCTGAAACAGAGAGTTAGTGTTGTGTAACCACAGAGCCCAGGGGATAACTGCTTGTGGCCAGTCACACACAGCCTATCTGAACTGGCTTTTTTGTGTGGTTCCGCATGAGTAACTCATTGCCGGTTATGGATATATTTATATTTATATAATTAAAAATAAATATATATAAAATTTATATTAAATCAGACAGTGGTGAGCAGGATCAACCAGAACCATGGAAAGTCTAGTCATTAATTTATTTATGCTGCACCTCAAAGCCTGGTGGTATGCAAGATTCTAGTGAAGTACTTCGAAAAATTTTCCAACCAATAAGCTCTAAAGTACATTTCATTGTTGTTTGCCCGGCGAATATGTGGTATCGGCGTCGGGCTTGCATTAAGCACTAGAACTCGGTTGCATCCCTAATAAATCAGTTATGTGCTGTTAGTCTAGAAAGAGTAAAAACTAAAAAGCGTTGTCTTTTAATCATCTATATACCGACCGATAGAGCAACTGTGTATGAGGTCACCACCTATGACAAAAAACCCATACAAATTTTTATATCTTTTATAAACAGCAATCAGGTTCTTAAAAAAAATACTGCATCACATTACAACCTACCCATTCCATTTGACAGAGTGGAAACATCGGAATCCAACGGAGAAAGTTCTGCATTCATAGCATCGTCTTTAAAATCAGGTATTTCCTTGGCTGGATTTAATGACTGGTCTGTTGTATTTTTACTATCGGAAGCTTCTTCAAGAATAGAAGAACTCGATGCATTCGACTTTGAAAATCTCTGTTTTGACAATCTTCTCGCTCGACCACGACCAGTTTTTGACCGCCTGTGTACTCGACAACCAGTAGAAAGTCTTGGGACTTTTGGTGCTGTAACATAACTAAAAGTTTCGAAAAGGCATATGTTTTAATATTTACTGTTGTTTTTTTTAATTACATATCTGACATAAGACAACAACAGTAATAGTATATAACTACGCAAACCAAGCCAGATAATGCAATAATAAAACACCAGTAGATACAATTATTAAGACTTAAAACATCACGGCTATGTGTAACTCCGTTAAATGAATAAGTGCACATTTGTATTTAAGAGAAGACCGACTAATGTCTAACGTATAAACGATATCCACGACATAATTAACAATAAGTGGAGACATTCATTTAGATAATAATACCTGATAACCCCTTTTAGTTACCATTCACTTCATGGAACAAGAACACATGACAAAATAATTAACCGAATCCCTTAGTACGACTTGAGTTATCACCATTATTCCGAAGTGTGTATACACGTTCAGTTTCTTTATCAAATTGGTGATATCAACCCATTGGTACAATATATACAAATGTAGTTCAATAAAAAAAGAGAATCCATTTAGGTGGTTTAAATATTCAATCAGTAAGTAGGTTTGAGTTTTGAATCCCTCTCCACCTATCTCCGAATGGTACAACAAGCCCACGTGCACGTCATATGTAGTTCATGGCCTGGACAATATAGTGAAAAGAAATCCTTGTTATCATCAAAATGTTCAAAATTTTCACTTCCCACGTAATTATTCTCATCTGAAAACAAACAGACTTTTATTAATTACAGAACACTGTAGCTGGTGGTGAATACTACATCGTTTATGAATACGTCTTACTTATTAAGGATCCCAAAATATACAAAACTTGATTGACTGTCTGCTAGTACAACTTACGCCAATTAACAAAAAATCCAGAGACAACTACTAATATAAAGAATGAACGCGTTAGAAACCTTTGTACTTTAGGAGGCTTTTATACTAATTTAAAATAGTCTTTGTCACCAATCGGATAAGGAATTATTAAAGGATAAACTGTTTTCTTTAAACAGTCATTGATACTTCACTTTGACTTTTAAAATGATAAGAAGAAGAGACAGTCACTATCACGTTCAAGTTCGGAGAGAGAAAAAAAAACAAATTAATTACAAGAGATTAACTTATGCTGCGTGTTAAAGGTAGTTTTAAAAAACAACAAAAACCAATTTGTACGATGTCTGTCATATTGGCATGCATCTAATAAGATACCTTTAATGAAAATATATATTCAAGCGACTAAACTCACGCAAGTGAGGATGCTTGTCGTTTATTCCTTGAATTTTCTCCAATAGTGTGTTTAGAGAATAAAGAGGCACGTGATGAACTAGACACCCGTCTCATCCCTGACCAAGATGGAGTTGCACTAGGATCAAATCGACTAGGAGTAAAGACAATACGCTTTGGCTGCTGTGTTGATGGAGTTGCCTGGAAACAAAAAAGGTTAAGAAGGCAGTAAGACATGACACCGATCGGAATAAGTAGTCAATCTTGATTTTTGCAATAATTTTCTAAAATGTAACTATCATCAGAATACTACTACTGTAGATGTGTGATACAGACAATGTGTTCCAACTTAGTACTATTCTCACATATTCCTACAGTTTAATAATGAATTAGAAACAGAATGCTATATTTACTTGAACATTTTATTTCATGTCGTTTAGTGTAAATCAAAACTACAAGCTCAGTGATTGGTTAAAGAATATAAAACTGTACATATGTATAGAAATAGCGGTTTGATCAATGAAAAGCATACCTTGGCATCCGTATCTTGACTTCTACCATTACACTACTACTAACACCGCTTGGAAAAGTAGTATGACAATAAGTCATGTGATGAGTGGACTAAATTAACAAAGGTCGATTACTTTAGAATGCGAATTACTTTTGTGCACATAGGATTTTCCTCAAGGATACACATATTCCAAATTCTTCATCAAATTTTACTTTTACAAACAATAGCACACAAATATTGCCTAAAAATGACCCAGATACATAACTATCACTGACCACTGGTGTCAATCATCAAGATTATGACTACTACATCGATAGTTTTCATCGTAACTATTTAAATCTAATGATTGACATAATTCATTGAGGTAAATGACTTTGAGCACAGTATAACTATTCATAGAATGTTATAATAAAATCCCTATGACTATTTCTTAATGAAATTTAAAGATACTTCAGCTTTAGAATTATGTAGAACAAAGTGTTATAGAGTGTGGAAACGAAACTTTACGCAAAAGTAAAGGCCCAACGACTACTGAGTGACATCTTCTGGCCTTGATTAAACCGAATACTGTCTGGTGAAGAAAGAGATAACAGACATGTTATAACAATCACAATTATGATAACCATTTAACGGAAATTCGGAGGACGCCAATATTCATGTACACACAATACAGGCCTGGTATTTAACCTTATTTAACCAAGTTTAAAAAGGGAACTACAGGAAATATACAAGCACCAAGTTTTTGACCTCATACACACTTCAAATTTAAGTTGTATATATCTCTCCATATTAATTAATACACGCAAATAATTTTGAATAATATCACCTCGATAAAACAAAATAGACTAGGAATGCATCACTAGGATCCTTTTAACTTTTGTATAAGATCTACTATAAGGATGATTTTCAAAACAGTATAAAAATTCATATAAAGGGTGAATGAACTGCACATTCTTTTAATTTGCCAATGCCTACTGTGGAATACAGCAGTGTTCTGTCCTATTTGTTAAGGGTCAAAGGTCAGCTGCACTCATTGAAATCAGTGGGAAGTCAAAGAATTAACAAGTGATTTTTGCACTATTCGAGGACTGTACAGTCTATGTAGACATTTCCAATACTTCGGAGATTTTCGTCTAATCAACAAAGTTAGGTTACACAAAAACTTACAAAAAAGCCATTTCATCACTAATACAAAATAATGCCTTACATCCTCTCTTTCTAAGTTACTGATTTGATTACTTCTGATAGGATCCCACATATTTTGGTATTGACTGTTTAATCTTGCATATATGGTATGTTATCATTCTCACACATTTTGGTATTGACTGCTAATTTTGTATATATGGTATATTATCATTCTCACACATTTTGGTAGTGACTGTTTAATCTTGCATATATGGTATGTTATCATTCTCACACATTTTGGTAGTGACTGCTAATTTTGTATATATGGTATATTATCATTCCCACACATTTTGTTACTGACTGTCAACCTCGCACATATGGTATATTATCATCTCTCACGCACTTTGTTATTGGCTATTAAGATAAATTATTTCAAATGCTGTTAGCTGTCCATATTGTTGTAAAATGTATAAATACCATGGCTTTCTTTATCGTTGTTGCACTTCAATACACAGTCACAGTCCAGCCTTTGTCTTTTGATATTTGCGTGCTTTACTAAATCGGAAGGTACGACGAGCAGATAGACAGATTAGTTCAGGCGCAGACAGAGCAAGGTGAAAACGTCTTCATTGAATTCCCTACAGTTATAACAAATTGGCGACGGGGTTTTACTTTAACTCATTGCAGTATAACAAATTGGCGACGGGGTTTACCTTAATTCAGTGCAGATATAACAAATTGGCGACGGGGTTTTACTTTAATTCATTGCAGTTATAACAAGCAAACGACGACAGTTTTTATTCTGTTCAGCGCAACTATATAACATTTTTGACTGTGTTAATTACAACCCAATTACAATGTCTATCTCTCTGGACGATCTCAAATCTATCTTGCAGCAGCAGCAAGTTCAGAATGAAGCAGCTCAACTAAAATTAATCGAAGCTCTCACTCAGAAGCTGTCCATTCAAGTTCCATCGACATCTCATTCTGACAAATATGAAAGCATCTCAAATTCTATCAGTGAGTTCAACTACGATCCAATATCTGGTCTCGTATTTGATGCATGGTTCAATCGTTACGAAGACGTCTTCCGTATTGAATGCTACATGTTTGATGATGCTGCCAAAGTCCGATTGTTACTAAGAAAACTTGGTACTGTTGAGCACAACAGATATGTTAACTTCATTCTGCCCAAGAACCCACGTGAGTTATCATTCGATGAGACAGTCACCGTTTTATCACAAATCTTTGGTGAACAGTCATCCATGTTTAATATTCGGTATCAATGTTTTCAGTTGACAAAAATGCCTTCCGATGATTATGTGACTTACGCTGGCAAAGTGAACAAGGAATGTGAAAGGTTCAAACCACACGAAATGACATCAGATCAGTTCAAGTGTTTGATTTTTATTTGTGGGTTGAAGAACCCAGAAGATACTGACATACGAACTCGACTTCTGTCACTTGTGGAACAAGACCCGAAAATGACTTTACAAATGGTGACAGCAGAATGCCTACGTTTAATCAACTTGAAGCACGATACTGCTATGGTGGAGTGCAAACGACAGTCGTCTGAATTTGGTTCGATTAACACAGTGAAAAGTCCTCCGATCACCGTTAAGCACACAGAACGTCAGTCTCAAAATTCAGCTAAACCTCCTTCAGTGTGCTGGCACTGTGGTTCGTGGCATTTTGTCAAGTTCTGTCCTTTCAAGAAGCATAAATGCCGTAATTGTCACCGTTTTGGACATAAGGAGGGTTACTGTACACCGCAGAAAAATTCTTCGGTGAGGAACAGAAGTAGTCGTTTCAAGCCGAAACAATCTCCTCGAGTACAGACTATTTATACAACTTCCAAAGTCGAGGTCGCCAGCAAACGTAAGTACATAACACTAGATATTAATGGCAAACGTATTCGTCTTCAGTTGGATACGGCATCAGATATCACCGTAATTTCCCGAACTACGTGGCGCAAACTTGGTTGCCCACAGATTCTGCCGACCGAGCATGTCGCCAAGAATGTCTCTGGAGATATACTGAAACTCGTGGGTGAGATAAATTGCCAGGTTCAGTTTGGTGAGCATCACTTCAATGGTGTATGTTACGTTACAAACTACCATGATTTGGATTTGCTTGGTCTTGACTGGTTAGACAAGCTCCATATCTTTAATGTACCATTAAATTCAGTATGCTCTAATGTTTCGTCTTCACCACACAACGTTGTTCCCGGAGATGTATCTGATCAATCTCTCTTGCAACGCCGTCGTCAAAAGCACGCTTCTGTCTTCCAGGACAAACTTGGTTGCTGCAAACTGTTTGGCATCCAGCATATTCGTAGCCCCCCGTATCATCCCCAATCGAATGGACAGACTGAACGTTTCGTCGACACCCTTAAGCGTGCTTATGCAAAAGCGAAGGGGGAGGGAACAACAGAAGAAATTTTGGATAAATTCTTGCTGCATTATCGTACGAATGAAAAAGGACAGTTATGTGTCAGACACACAGATCACGCTCTATCCAGTACCACGCAAAGGTCAACTCGACAAAGAAGAGCTCCGAAACCTTTTCAAATAGATCCAAAAAGCAAGTCCTACACTCTTTACGGGGGGAGGTGATAGGATCCCACATATTTTGGTATTGACTGTTTAATCTTGCATATATGGTATGTTATCATTCTCACACATTTTGGTATTGACTGCTAATTTTGTATATATGGTATATTATCATTCTCACACATTTTGGTAGTGACTGCTAATTTTGTATATATGGTATATTATCATTCCCACACATTTTGTTACTGACTGTCAACCTCGCACATATGGTATATTATCATCTCTCACGCACTTTGTTATTGGCTATTAAGATAAATTATTTCAAATGCTGTTAGCTGTCCATATTGTTGTAAAATGTATAAATACCATGGCTTTCTTTATCGTTGTTGCACTTCAATACACAGTCACAGTCCAGCCTTTGTCTTTTGATATTTGCGTGCTTTACTAAATCGGAAGGTACGACGAGCAGATAGACAGATTAGTTCAGGCGCAGACAGAGCAAGGTGAAAACGTCTTCATTGAATTCCCTACAGTTATAACAAATTGGCGACGGGGTTTACTTTATAACAACCTTAATTCAGTGCAGATATAACAACTTCAGTTAACTGTTAGTCTATTGTTGGCCTCAGGTATACTGAATTTCCTCGTGTAACTGGATTTGAATCCTGAGTGTCCGGATTTTCTGTCCATTTTCTTCGTCTAGTGGCTAATTCTCAAACAACAATGATTCGATATAAAATGTAAACCCTATCACTACAAACTACAATTCAGTAAAGAAAGTACTCTCTCTTTTGAATAAATGCGTACATTATCGAGAATTACAATTTTTTATAATAATTTTAGTGAACAATTAACACTGAGCACCGGTGAAACTATAATGGCTGGTAACACAAACTAGTGTACGGTTCTTCATTTGTAACAGACTAAAAGCTTTCTGAGAATATTTATACTTTAGTTATAAGACATTGAGCCTTAAAAAACTAAAAACCACAGATAAAAGCTAAGTCTGATACAATATCTAAAAAATCTGTTAAGAATGGTTACTTCTATAAACTAGAAGAATAATACTAACAAAAAGAAGTCTTTCTTAAATTCCGACTTTATCACCAAACTGAACTATTGATAATAAGCAGGTGACTCACCTGTAAGGCTGCTGCCCACTGTTCATCACTAGCGCCACGCTGTCTCGCAGGTGAATGTGGTAATTCATATGCACCTTTGGTATCTTCTGGCGTTGAGTCGTAAGTAAGTTCTCTTTTCGAAATAGACGACAGGAAATTACTTGTAGAACAACCTGCATAGCTATCTGGAATCGGTGACTGAAGAATATCAGACGGTTTCCATGGTGGACAATGTTCCACTAAGGATTTAGTTAGAGGATCAACTGATACACATGTTAAACGATAAGTTGATCTACTAGCCCATCCAGGAAGTGTACGAGCGACGCTTGTAGTAACTGAATTGGTTGAACCAGAAGCACAACGGGTGTTAGCAGAGATTGTACAAGGCAACGAAAGTGACGAAAAGCCATTGGAACCTGGTTCTTTAACACTTTGTTCTACCTGTGGAAAAGTTTCACTTCCTATAAACTACTCTAGAAGGGTAAGTATGCGATATTTACCGAAATCCTCACGGAAATTAAGCGGTAAATGCCGAGGAATGAAAAGTGGCCGCTCTTCCAACTCAGGGTGATTTTCACCTGGAATATTCAAACACAATTTCCCATACACAGGTCCACAGGCCATAGAAGGTGCTGGTGTAAAGAACTGGCTGTTTTCTTTTACAAAATTGGCAAGGCCTTGTGGCGTTTGGCCCATTAAACGCAAAGCCAACAACCCATCCGCAACCTGTGCACCACCATCTGGGAAATTATCAACTGACAATATCAATACCTGAGTCAATCAGTGTATGTACATTTTTAACCAACGCATGGAAATATGCGTCTGTAATGCTGATTAGCAGCTCGAGTGAGGCTTCGGTAATTTGTTCGAAGCCAACTTGACCACATAGCTGAGCAATTACTTGAATCATCGTACTTCTGAAGTCACTTGACATTGCAGAAGAAAAACTGAAATGAAAAGCAAAGAAAAGTAATGCAGTTCAAGTAAAAACAAGTGTAGTTTTTAATAGTTTACATAGTGTTGCCTTTACTATCTGGTATTTCTACTTATAGTATACTCATACAATCACCTGACTTCTATATGAAAAGAGGAACAAAGTGTTGAATGTGACTTCATAAAACAGTGAATTTACTACTCAAAGTATGATACAGTATGAAAAGTCAAAAAGTCGTAGGCTATACGAAGATTAACTCTTCTTAAATAGATGAAAGATAAATGCGGTGTCCAACAACATCTAGTTAAACTATAACAGAAAGATCGGTAACTCGAGGAAATATTCAATAAGACCCTTAGAATACTACAGAAAATAGCCCTGATTTTTCAGGCTCCCACCCTGTTTAACTACAACAAGGGAAATATACACTTTTTAATCGGATTGCAAATGATAATTTTGAATTTGTAGGTGCGGTATATTACTGTCCTTTGGAATCACATGTTAAGTTGCTTAGACAAAAACACCTTATGTTAAGAGGAGCATATCACCACCTACCATAACTATCCTCATCAAGCAATGAAACTACACAAGGTTCGCCAACCTTATCATTTTAGCTTAACTTCGCCACCGATGACATTATAAAGACAATTCCAGAGGGTGTGGTAGTGATGCAGTATATTTGTCACTTGGTGAGAGACCGACCCTGAGTATTTAAGGGTACATACTCTCATGGTACAGTGAAACATACGGTACACGAACCGAACTCAGTTAGCAATCAGTGTCAGTAAACACGATATGCGAATTAAGACGCGCGCTTTTCGACTACTGCGTTACATTTGGCTTATTAATAAAAACTCTCGTTTCTTTAAAATTTTATGCCAAGAGTTTGTGGAAACTATCACAATTATTTACCTTTCGAACATTGAATCCAAGAATACAATCTTATTGACAGATAATACATATAACTAACTATTTGGATTTGTGGAATTTTTAAACATAAACACATCTATAATTGTATATATTGTTGGATTTACATGTTCAAGTTGCTCCAAGTCAGTGAGTTTATGGTTGAGATATCATTTTAGTCAACTGTGCTGAACTATATTGCATGTTGTTTTATTGTATAGTTGTTGTCGCTTTTTGCCCTTTTTTCTGTGAACTGTTTCCTTTGTTGATGTTGTTCTCATTGTTTGTCCGTTATTTTCTGATTTTGAGGGGAGCAAGCCAAAAAGTTGCTTCTCTATAAACTTTATCTTAATGTAACCATTCCTTTCTCAGGCGTGAGGCTAGCAACCCCACCCTGTAAACAAAATTGCTAAAGAAACTTCAGTATGATGAACCTCTTTGCACCAAAAGAAAAAGTCTGTGTGGGAACATGGAACGTCCGAACTATGTACGAGACTGGGAAAGCTGCCCAGATCGCCAACGAGATGAAAAGATACGGAATACAAGTGCTGGGAATATGTGAAAGCAGATGGAATGGGAGTGGACTGACCAAATTGTCAACGGGTGAGTCAGTGATCTACTCCGGTCACCCAGAAGATAACCACACGCACACCGAGGGCGTGGCTATCATGATGTCACCAATGGCAACGAAAGCCCTGATGCAATGGGAGGCGATCTCGTCCAGGATAATGACCGCCAGATTCAACTCTAAAAGAAGGAAAGTGGCAATCATACAATGTTATGCACCCACAAACAACGCAGACCTCGAAAAGAAAGAAGAATCCTACAGACAACTACAGGCAACAATGAACAATACTCCAGCTGGCGACATGAAAATACTAATGGGAGACATGAACGCCAAACTGGGACCAGACAACACAGGAAGGGAACTCATCATGGGTAGAGAAGCTCTCGGAGAAATGAATGAAAATGGAGAACTCTTCGCCGACTTCTGCGCCTTCAACGAACTAGTGATTGGTGGCAGTGTATACAAGCACAAAGATATCCACAAGGCCACATGGGTGTCACCAGACGGGCAAACCAAAAACCAAATCGACTTCATCTCAATCTCAAGGAAGTGGAGGCGCAGCCTACTGGACACAAAGGCAAGAAGAGGAGCAGACGTTGGCTCAGACCACTATCTCGTACAAGGGACAATCCAAATCAAATTAAAAGCTTTCAGGGAAACAGGAGCTGCAGATAGACCAAAATCCAAGTTCAACACTCAAAAGCTGAAGGACCAGGCTACAAAGGACATCTTCATTGCAAGCATAAAGGACAAAGCCGAGACACAAATCAACACCAGAGAAAAGGTCAGCGTCGAAAAGCACTGGAACAACTTGAAAACGGTGTGGAGTCAAACCTGCATAGAAGTTCTAGGCAGAAAAAAGAGACAGGACAAACAGTGGCTCACTACAGATACTTGGAAACTAATAGAAGAGAGGACAGTGAAACAAAAGAGTGAAGAAGAGTGCCAGGGAAGACAAAAGAAAATATTATGAAACCATGGAAAACGAAGCAGAACAAGCTGCAGGCAAAGGAGACCTCGCCACACTCTACGAAACAACTAGGCACCTTTCGGGCAAAAGTTCGACACAGATTAAGCCAATAAAGGACGACAATGGAAAGTCAATCACAAAAGAGGTGGAATAGAGAAAGCACTGGGCTGAACACTTCAAAAGACTTCTAAATCGTCCGCCACCTACAACGCGCCCAACAATACCAACAACGGAAGCAGAACTACCAGTGAACATTGGCCCCCCGACGAAATCAGAAGTCCTGAATGCCATCAAGATGCTAAAAGCTGGGAAAGCACCAGGACCAGATGGAATCCCAGCAGAAGCTTTGAAAATAGACCCAGAGACAACAGCGGACTTGATGACGCCACTGCTGGAGAAGGTGTGGAAAGAGGGCAAAGTACCCGAGGATTGGAAGAACGGATACTTATTCAAACTACCAAAGAAAGGAGACTTAAGTCAATGTAAAAACTGGCGTGGAATTATGCTTCTGTCCATTCCAAGCAAGATACTAAGTCGCATCATCCTGGAGAGAATCAAACAAGCCCTAGATGAAAAACTTCGTCCGGAACAGGCCGGATTCAGGAGAAACAAATCATGTATTGATCAAATCGCCACTCTACGGATCATCATTGAACAAAGCTTGGAATGGCAGTCACCTCTCTATCTCAGCTTCATCGACTTTGAAAAGGCCTTCGACAGCGTCGATCGAGAGGTAATTTGGCAACTACTTCGCTACTACGGGGTCCCATCGACATTTATACATCTCATCCAACAGTTATACGACAATGCTGCATGCCAAGTAACCCACAACGGGAAACTTACGGAAGCCTTCGAAGTGAGGACGGGAGTGAGGCAAGGCTGTCTACTATCACCAATGATCTCCCTGATTGCAATTGATTGGATAATGCGACAGACAACGGCAACCAACGGGGGAACAGGTATAAAATGGACTGACACAAAAGACTTGGAGGATCTGGATTTCGCCGATGATATATGTCTGATTTCCCACAAACTGGAAGATATGCAAGTGAAAAGTAACAAGTTGGCAGAAGAAGCATCAAAGATAGGACTTCAAGTGAACATAGAGAAAACAGAGGTGATGAAGATTCCTGGCCAACATCAATAGCAACAACAACAACAGACAACAATCAGCGCATAAATGGGAGGAACCTGAAAGAAACAACCTCCTTCACCTACCTGGGAAGCATCGTTTCAACTACAAGCGGAACTGATGAGGATATCAAAGCCAGAATCGGAAAAGCAAAACAGGCTTTCATTACTCTCAAGTCTGTGTGGAGGTCTACATCACTCAGCATGAAAAATAAGATCCGGATTTTCAACTCCAATGTAAAGTCAGTGCTACTATACGGATCAGAGACTTGGCGAGTCATAAAGAGCATCTCAAACAAACTTCAGACCTTCATTAACAGCTGTCTTCGCTCAATACTCAAGATCAGATGGCCGAGAAAAGATCAACAACAGGGATCTCTGGGAGCGAACCAATCAGGGACCGATTGTGAAACAAATAGGCAGGAAGAAATGGAGATGGATTGGCCATACGCTGAGGAAACTATCAAGTGACATCACTAGACAAGCCCTCGAGTGGAACCCGAAAGGGAGGCGGCGAGTTGGTCGTCCAAGGGTGACTTGGAAGAGGTCATGCGAGGAGGAGATGAAAGCATGTGGACAGACCTGGAGCAGGGTGAAAAAGTTGTCAGAAAACCGAAGGCAATGGAGGTGCGCAGCTGAAGCCCTATGTTCCTCTACGAACTACAGGATACAATAATAATATAATATAATAAACACGATATGCGCTTTTAGCCTTTTAAGTGCACACATCTACACATGTGAATCATTAGAAGTGATCAAAAAATCTTGCATATCTAGGGTACCCACATTTATGCTGGCAGAGGCACGATATACGAAATTTTCAATCGCAAACCAAAAGCCAGAATGATATACGCCTACCTCAGACGTTTCTAGTGCCTTTACAATTTTAATCTGCCACATACGTGCATGGACTAATGCACGAGAGTCCACCCTGGTGATCTAGCAAAAACGGCAATTTCCACTAATCCTTCCCACCGATGATGCACAGAAACTTAATTTGTCTCCGATGTTCATACAACCTCTCCAGTTTTAGAGAGAAAGACAAAGCAGCATACGCCAATTTGGGTCATCCCTAATCATGTCAGGAAGTTACATTTACACCTCTTCGGCGCTTGCAGTCTTGCTCTGCGCTTCTGAAACATCGCCTACCACAGTTGAGAATATGCGCCAACACCATGATAGTAGATGCATTTGACATGACTATCAGACTGTTTTTGTGAATGACCTTGAAGAACAATTTTCCTTAATAGCCAATTTATCACAAAGTGCTTTCCAGACTTCCTGTCTGGATTCAACATAGAACTTGGCACCGAAGTGCAGCAGTTCGAGTTGCCACCTTCCAAATAGCACACAGAGGTAGACAAGAAGATGAGTGAAGAGAATTAATAGAGTTTGACAAATATAAGAGTGAAACAGAATGGGTAATGGTAGAAAGGAA